AGGATTTACTGACTTCTGCCATAGAGTGATTTGCTGCTCGGATTTCTTCGGTTAAAACCCGAATCTTCAAGGGCCAAATTTGATTATGCAAATTTGCAATTTATATCTTTATTTGATATTGAAGACCGGGACAGAGCTAATTTTTTGCCTATCGCCAGATTGAAAATTTTGTTCCAGATTTGAAAATTTAGGCAGTTATGTTGGATCAGGTAAAACAAGGAAGAAGTCAATCAATACGATCGCTTTCTGCCAGTGGATATTCATTTTGGAAATAAAATTTTGTTATTAAAATTTGTTTCAAAGAATGCAATTTCTGGCGAACTTGAAGCATTATGATTATAAGAAGTTTTCCCCTTCGGAGGCAACCATGGTGCCGCCTCAGGTAGCAACTTTATTCAATTCCTTGTCCTAACCTACTGATCTATAGGTTTGCGATATGTATGAGATAAACAAAGCCAAGTTAAAAGTGCATTTTAAATATCTTTCGAGCTAGGGCAAAGGTTATTTGTTTTCTCTCCCCCCCCCCCAAGACTAACATGAAATGCTTTTTTTTATTAAAATAAATCAGAGAAATTTTATCGGAAAATGTTTCTTTCTGGCCCCCTCTAGAATTCATCACCACGACGCCTCTGTGTGTAATGTTATAAAAAGTTTCTTTTTTGATTTCTGAGCAAGTACTGAAAATTCCTTATCTACTCAGCAGGCCCAGTACTGAGTTTTGAAACAGTTTCTTTTAAAGATATGCGCGGATCAGCAATCAGTGCAAAAATCATTAAATTTTGTTATGGCGGGAAATTTCAATTTGAAAGCAGTACCTGCAGAGCATGCGCAATATGTGTTTTTGAAGGCAAATAAAAATGGCCGTAGAAGGAATTTACCAGGTGGCAATTTATTGTTTAGGCTGATTATTGCGCGATCGCAGATGAAAGTGAGCAACTCGCTAGTGCAACTACAAATCATCCTAGATATAAAATATGTGGCCAGCAAGTGGAGTTTCTCCGGCTCCACCACAAATCGACCTATCTCATTTATCACAAGACGAAAGGGAGGTTATACAGTCAGTCATCGACCGTCAAAAAGCTTTAGACAATGAGATTTCGATGATAGAAAGGTAATGGACTCATATTCTTATTTGTCAACATCTGTATTTTGAATTTTGCCATAGAAGTTGTGAGTTTTCAAGCTGCTTTGTAAACTAAAGCACCCCTTTCTGTACCACTGAAAAGCACCAATCTCTCAACAAAGGGGCTATATTTTGGACATTTCTACCAACAATAGAGTGCCCCATCGTACAGTGCTGTCTTCAATACTTCAAAGAAATGCCTGCTCGCTCTAAACAGTTCGTTTTGCGTTGACCTGCCGAAGGAGTTTAAGAATCTTATTTACGTTTCTGGTGTTAAACAGTTTCAAACCCCAACCTAAGCTGATAAGATTTAGAGATAGTTGTACTTATCGCATGCACAGGCTTCCCTTGAAACTCGATTATAGTTGAAAGTTGCCATAACTTCACTTAGGCCAGCGTTAATACAAGAATACAATTGCTCACAGCTTTGTTTATTGTATACTATTCAGCTACTAATAACAAACTAGTCAGTCAGGAGGCAAGGGCTTTCAAAGCTGGGCTTTCCTTTTTAATATCTTGATAATCTCTCAACACTGGTAGTAGTCTCTTTGAAAAAAATGTTGTCTAGCAACAAAATCCTTATTGATAAGAACATGCCTTCTGAACAACTTCCACTGTCTATTTAATCAAATTTCATCCATTGACACCAGCTTTTAAACGTGTTCCTCAATCTCACATCCAACCATTTAAAATTTTTAAATTCAATTTGATGCTAGTGCTATTTTTATGCCAATGTGAAAATGACTACAACATTGTTAATCAATAAATATAATGTGTTAATATATTGTGAAATGAAGAAACTATAATGAAAATAAACATTGTTTATAAAATGTAGAAATGAAGAAATGAAGAAATGAAGAAATGAAGAAATGAAGAAACTATAATGAAAATAAACATTGTTTATAAAATGAAGATTTCTTGCTAAAAAAGATCTCTTGCTAAATGATTCATATTAATTTTCAATCATTTTTTAAGATACTGTAAATAAGAAACTCTCATAATTTCTTCCTGAAAATTAAAAAATCTGTTATTTCACTTGAGCATATGCTACTCAATTATTTATCAACAAATAATCTTCAAAATCTTATGCTCAAGCATCAGTGAGAAAAGTGTCAATTACTTCATGAGATTACAAGAGTTACAAATTGTGATTTTTGATGCTCAAAAATTAATAGTGGACACTTCTAAATGTGTTTTAATAAATTTGTTTCATGATGATTTTACAAAGTATAGAATATATTAAAGCAAACTAATTATGTTTTAATTCTTGATTTTGAAAATAATTACATATGAATTTAAGAAGCTAAATGAAAATAGTAAGGCACATTTTCTTATAAAAATTATTGCAAATTTGAGGGTGTGTGGCATGTTCTCATCAATTTATCAAAAATGATAAAAATGAGAGAGGTGATGTGACATAGAATAATAAATGTATCAATTCTGCTTTTTAACAGTTTTAATTGGCTTCTATTTGATTCTTTCACCAAACTTTGTTGCTTTAAGCATATTGGTGTAATTTCAATGAAAATATATGACTTTGAAAATCAATTAGCAACTTGTAATACTTTGAGAATCATGTCAAAAACCTGTACATATCAGTATCAAAAGTAATACAATCAGCAATATTAATAATACAATTATAGAACTATAACCTTTTTCCTTTTTCCTTAATAGAACTTTTTCCAATTAAACCTTTTTAAAACATATATCTTTGAATATAAATTGTTAGGTTGTCATAATCAATGCTACTTAAATTCTTTCTCAAATATGGTAGCATTTGTAGCAAAATATCTCTTCTAAGTTCAATGGATTCTTATATATTTATAAACTGTATGACCAGATCTATCATCAAGCTATTCTTCTGCCTTTAACATTACTCTACTTTATCGTTGAATTAAACTTTTAGCAATTACCCATGCTAAATTAATGCTAAATACTCTTTCAACTAAAAGTTTGATTTAAAGTAAACATTTGTAAATTGATAGATAAGGTTAAATTTTTAAAGTTTTATTTTTCAAAATTTCCAAATTACCATAATAACACTCAAAGTTTTAGGTAAAGTCGGTTTACCTAAGAAGTACATAAGTAAATCCTTTTGACACTTGCTTTTATTACTTAGTACTGTTCATTCTTCTGTAATGAATGAATTGTTTTCATTACATTTAAAGGGGCATTCATCTGTTTTAAGTTGGTTCAATTTAATCGATTTGTTGTACAAATTGCATAACTTTATAAAGTAATAGATGTCAATAAGTGCTTAAATTTTGATATTTATCAGAGATCTTTGATTCAATTGGATAATAGGCAACCATATGCATGAAGCCCCACCTCATGAGTAGTAGCAGTCCCAAGGCTAAAAGAATAGGTGTATTGGCATCAACCATACCTAAAAGTGTTCATGAAAATATTGAGACAAATATATCTTCACATGGTAAAACCACCAAGAAAAGAGAATGGCACTACAATCTAAGGATAGAAACAGGGGAAATATCTTGCTTATTAAATTTTTCTTTTTTGCATACTTTTTTTAGTCTCACAAAAACATGTGAACTGTCATAAACATATAACCTGGAACAAACATGAAGAGATTGGCATCCTGGAAAAACCAGGGCCAAAGAGCCCTATGATTTGACAACATAAATTTTTAGTTTTTGAACCTTTTCACAACTTTATCCCACAGCTTCCCACAATTTAATAATAAAAATTATTCCAGTGCAAAAACATGTTGCAAACTTTGCATATTAATGTTTTAAAGATTGTTCATAAAAGTCTTAACTGATGGACAAAAGTGTGACAAAATTCTTTTGCCAGCAATAATATTCTTCACAGAAAAATTTTCAACTGGTGAAATATTTGACAACAAGAAAAATATTTGACTCATTGAAAATTGCCTTTTATTGACTCCATGTCACAAGGTATCAATTGAAGATTCAGAATATTTGTGTACATGCTGACTGTCTGCATGTCCACAGGTTCTTGTCCTGAGAACAACATTGTACCACCTCAAAAAATTGTTTGTGAGTCTTCAACCCAATCAAGTCAATTTAAGTTTTGTGTTCTGAATTCTTGAACAATAATTGACTATTGTTTGATCTATATAAAAAGAAACAAAATTGAATTGCAAAAAAACAATGTTTCCCTTATGATTGAAAAATGATTCATCAAATCAGTTGATATCAGTGGCTTTTTCCACTTGAAAAAGTTATTTTTAGTTATCCCAATTACTTTGACTTTGAAAATTATATCATGATATCAGGTTTATTTCATTATATCATGATATAGGTCAGGTTCCTTGCAGTTTCATTGGTCAAGTTCTACAGAAGCCAAAATCCTAATGTTAAAACTTGCATGAGTTGATGAATAAAACTTCAATTTAAAAATCAAAGTATGTAAAAAAGTAGTCACAGATAGGCTGGAAAATGCAAAACAAGAATAGAATATGGAAGCATCTGTGCCTTATTATATTCTTTTTAGTAACATTTTCAAATAGTATGCCTGCCAAAATTTTTTTGGCTGCTGGAGTCACAGAGCTATATACAATTTGAATAATTGATTACAAAGATTGAATAGGAAACTAAATCCTAACAATATCTTCATTTACAATTTTGTATTCATTACAGTCTAAATATTTTCTTCGTTTTTTTTCAGCAATATTTCAAAAGAGTTGTCAAGTTACCAGCTGAAGAGGGAAGCTAGAAGTAGGAATATTATTCCTGTTGAAACAGCAAAACCTACAAAACAAGAGAATGTTTGTGAAATTTGTAGAAGAATTGCTTTTAAAGACACAGCCCAAGGAAAGCCATGTAAATTTTGCAAAATGAAAGTTTGTGAAAACTGTGGTGAACAAGTGAAAACTCCTGCAAGTATAAAGGTCAGTGCAAAATTTTGATAAACTGTGTATATATTGTAACAGTACGTCCACATGCTTGCTGTTTGTTGAGGTTCTTTTGTTCTAAATGCTGTTTATTTTCTGTTTATTAAACATGTCTGGTTGAGCTTTTCTTTGCTCACATAGAATCAATACTCTCATTTTCTCTTTCCACATGGTCATCCATAACAGCTTCCATAAGACATATCTATGTTAAAACTGTGAGGTGTTCCTGTTGAAAAACATTTACACTGATTTTGCAAAGTAGTATGTCAATATTTTGCAGAAAGTCAAGTTGAAAAATAAAAATTCCATCTGCTATTCAACTACATGACTATTTTTTATTGAAAATTTGAGCCTTCTTTGGAAGTTGGTTTTATCTTCAATTTTTGTAATATCTTGGAACTGGAAGTTAAAGATGTATCTTGTCTTTTTGAAATGGTTTTCTTTAGGTCTAATGTGCTTAGAGACCATCTCTTTGTAGTACTTTGGCAACCAGAGCAAGAGATGATTCCATAATAAATAAAAGTCTCAGTTGTAGACCCTAAACAACATATAATTTCTTTTTGCGTGTTGTACCCTTGGGATGTGGTCTTTTCTAGGAGGACTAGAAAAAGAGCAATGCATTTCTTGATTTCATTTGTTACTTTGACGTTCTACAAGGAAATAGAACGTTTTTGATAATCATTGAGGGAGCTGTAGACCCCGATTATATCGCATCTGATGGTCCTGATCAGAGAATGGTTATTTTGGACAGTCACAATTCAATTGTCAGTAAAAGGTCAATGAAGTAAGAAAAGTTTCAAAGCGTATTATCATAACTGAATCTCTGCAAGAAAGCTGAAAGTTTATAGATTTCGTTTAATTTGTAATCATTGAGGGAGCTGTAGACCCCCGATTATCTTGCTTCTGATGGTCCTGATCAGAGAATGGTTTTTTTGATCAGTCATATTTTGATTGTCAATATTTTCTCAATTTTATGACAGCATAAGGCATAAAATTAAGGTAAAAATGCTTGCTTTTTTCTGCCAAAAGAATTTTCATTTTCAGATAATGGCTCTAAAGCTTAACGGCTGATTCAGGATTGCATAAACGAGATGCCTTTGCCGTAAAGCCGGCTCTGACCGATCCCGTTGCAACGCGAGGCCTATCCATAGCTAACAGAACGGTTCCATTAGGTCTCGTGTAAACGTAACCTTAAGGCAATGAACTATTTTACTTTTGGTTTTTCCGAATGGTTGAAACATCGATGTCAGCCGAAGCTGATGTCATTGCTGGCATACCTGGGAGGCAGTATGTTTAAATATCGGTTGGTTAATGTTACTCCATCGAATTATCTATTATCCTTCATTTGATTTTTAGGAGCGATATAGCGCATGTAAGGAAAAAGGGCACCATTATAATTTAAAACAAAAAACGAAACCAATTCAATTTTATTCGTAAGAATACTACAGAAGAAGAATACTAAATTGATACTGTAATAAACACGAGCCAAGAAAAGTACGGACTTATCCAGCTTTCGCAAAATTTATAATTAGAAAATAAAAGCATCACAGTAATTAAAGTAACAGAAACAAGATTGGCTATGTACTAAATAAACTGGAACAATATAATATAGCATGTGGATTGCGTTTCATTTTCCTCTCATTTCATAACTATTATTTTGACAGCATTTCTTCTCTCAGTGATAAGTTCGGCTTAGGGAGGTTACTATATATTTGTGCTTCCTTATTTTGTAGCATTAAATCCCCCCCCCCCCAACGCTTCTTCGATTCACTTTTTTGAAAATCATTTATTTGCAGGGTTTCATATGTATGTTTACAGCTATTTGTTTTATAAAGGTTACACAGGGCTCGTGGCACATTGTCATTATTATGTTTCATTCGATGCATTAGCTGGACAATCCTCAAGTGATACAGATCTCTTAGTTTTAGGAAGTTTGATTTCTTGTGTTGAACAACGATAGTCTTTAGAGAGTCAGGTCCTTTATATTCTTTGAGGATTTCTTTTGAGTCAGACCATAGGCCTCAATTCAGTAGCCTATTTTTAAATACACAAGATAATCATAAAGTGTTTTCAGACAGTCCTTAGTTTTGCAAACATGGATGAATATTTGATAATTCCATTTTTAAATTTCAAATATGCTTTTATCCCAAGATATTTAATCTCATCTACTTGCTCAAGAGGCTCCCCCATTTGGTATTGGGACAAACACTTTCGTATTTAGTTGTTTGGGTGATTGATTAAATAAACAGTAGCTTTATGTCTTGTAAAATGTTTTGTACATCATTAAACATACGAAAACTCGGTTTTACAATTACTAATTGCAAGGATCTTAACTCCACCGAAGAACTTACTGAAATCATATAAAGTGAAATAATGTTTAAATGGTTAGCATCGATAAATTTTGATTCTGTCTTCTTTTTTGCCCTGCTTTTTTCCTATTTTTAGTCTTTTTTCCCTTTTACTTTGCCGTCGTCCTATTTTTAGCCGTCTTTTTGTCATCTTTTGGCGGTTTTTGCCGTCTTTTTAGCTGTCTTTTACCCTCCTTTTTTCCATCTTTTTCCATCTTTTGGGGATTTTTTGCCTTATTTTTAACCGTCTTTTTTGCCTTCTTTCTGCTTTTTTTTCACTCTTTTTACTCTTTTTTGCCATCTTTTGTCTTTTTTCTAATCTCCTTTATCACCTTTGTTTCATTATGCTGTTTTTTTCACCAAATTTATTTACATTTGTTTTTAGCTGAATTCCTATCATATATCCTTCTTTTCGTATCCAAAGCTATTACCCATTATTTGTTGTGCTTCTTTTGGATTTGCTTTTGTGACAACTTTTTAATGGACCTTCGTTTCCGCATCTGCCTACGCTGTGTGGCTAGTTTTTTGGTACCTTTGGCTAGTACTTAAGTTTATTTGTCTTTTTGAATGATATCTCTTCATTTTGTCTGTGCATGTTCTTTGATGTCCAATTTTTGCAACACCTTCTTCCCCTTTTCTGTCAATTGTTGTCAGGGATTTGAGAGCTTTGCTATGTCATTTGGGTGCCAAGTGAAATCAGCATCGAGCGACTAATTGTCAGTTGTCTAAATCTGTGTCTTATATGAAATGTCTCCTTTATTGTAGGTTCCTTCTATCATACTGGTTTAAATGCTTCTTGTGCTCTTTCTAGATAACATTCTATGACCTCTTTTTAATGTGATAAACACACAACATATTTTAGATAACACTCTGTGACCTCATTTCAATGTGATAAACACAGAGCATATTTTGAAGCATGTCATCAGATTGCCTGTTAATGCACACATCAATCAGAAGCATTTAGTGTGTCATGGCCTTGTTTCTTGCTCTTGTTTCAATTTAAACCAGTCAGAGTTCACTCATCTCTAAGAATTCGTGCCTTATCATGATATTCTTGAACGTTATCGTGTATTGATAAATGAGTCAAGCAGTCCATCGTAAGCAGTGAAAACATATCCATATATATGCATCTTATATGATTCAGACCAGTTTGTCATCAGGACCTGTGACTCAGACTTTATTCCTTAAAGCCACCTGACGTAACATGCCCGAAGAATAGCATCAACCATTTTAATAGGAGTAATCTTGTCATCTAACAGATGCTTCACTAGCTTTGAAAGCCTTTGTAGTGTTTACCAGATGCCAATTTTCCGAAGGCCGTTGGTTGAATACGAGCCAGAGTTTTAAAGAACGTGTTGCTTAGCTCCTTGCAGAGCATTTCAAAGACGGTTTAAGGTGATGAAAATGCGGTTGAACCAACAATGAAAGATGCAGTTTAATATGAAGAATGACCTGCAATCGATCGGTTGATTTGTAATGTGTGCCTATGTGTTTATAAGCTGTGTTTATAATAGGCCTGGTTAAGTCCTTCAAAGACACCTCTGCAGCAGTCTTTCGCAGTGCACTTTGATCGACAAATCACGGCTTATAAATTGAAGACTAGGGCAACGCAATTGATGCTTTTGCCGATTATTTTTTTATTCTTGGTATGTATGCTCGTATGAGGATTTTTTGCAGAACTTGTAGCATTTAAGCTGAAAAGAAGTTGTTTATTTTGAAGTCTGTTAAAGGACGTTTGTCTTGTTTAGTTTGTTCCTAGCATCTTCTCATTGGTGACTTGAAAAGCTGTGCGATTAAGTCCAAGGCTGTTTTGACCAATCTTTTATAATCGCTTTTCAAAGCCGTTGCTACGATATCTGTACCCAAACGTCTCAGCATGGTATTAGAGAGAAAATTAGGTATCTGTATTTGCTTATATACTTGCAGCGTAAACTTTTTTTTAACATTGCAAAAATCACAGGATATTCTAGATGACTCTAGAGCTGTTTAACGATAGCTAAAATAACAATGCTCTACCCCATATTAAATCCTAATGCATTGATTGCAATTGGATCTTATGTATTATTTGAATTTAAGCTACTTTGTGATTGATGCAATACACTGGATGTGTAAGTTTATATGTAATATCATCATGCCTTTTTTTAATTGTCTAACTTTCTCTATTGAAGGGTATTCATACAAAATAGTTATTGGAAATTTAATTGCAGTTGTCATGCTATAATTCAAAACTTAGGATTAAGGGGCGAGTGATACCAATTTAGGCCTAACCAACTTTCGTATTTTCAAGTGTTTTGCCTTCTGTTGTAAGCTTACTGGATGGATAAGTGTCACCTTAACTGTTCGGGCTTTTGATCAACAGATCATTGAATCAATTATTTATGAGGGATCTCGTGTTCCTCTTCATTTACCGTATCCTTAATTCAACTAGCAGGTCTTTTTGTCTGGCTAGTATTTTACAAAACAATGTTTTACTTTGTTTTCCAAAGGGTTTATGAACCTCGTAATTAATTTTTGAATCAGGGAAGTAAGAAACTCATCAAATGGCTTGTTTTCAACTGCTTTTCCCAGAGTCTTTGCACTGTTAACTAAAAGTTTCTGCATTTTTTCATTTTACTCTTTAACGGCTAGAGTGCTTTGTTGCTAAAACTCACGGATTTTCACCACTACGCTCATTTTTGGTACACTTGATTGATACATCAGCCTTTTCGCCAGTATCATATTTAAACATCATTCTTTATGTTCCCTTTTCAATCGCGATCCTTCAAGCCCCGTCACCTCTCTAATAAGCAAAGATTTACACAAGCGCGCTCATCTCTCTTTCACTGCTATCACTGTGTTTGTTTTAGCGAAAAGGATTATGAAAATACACGCCAGTTTTTCTAGAACGTTGTTTTCCTTGTTAATCATGTTATGAAAATAATGCGATATTGTGTGATTATACAATTGTCTTAAGTCTTTTCAATATCCACGAAGGCTTCCAATCCCATAATTTTCGAAGGTTCTTATCCTTAAAGACTTAACGCTTTTTCGTCAATTGCTCCTAGTTTTGCAATTTTATCACCACATTTATCTTCAACTCTCATGTTAAAAGGGCTGGTATCTACGATGGGTGATTACTCGCTCTACACATGTTTGCAGATATTCCCAAAACGTATTAATGAAGCACTCATATGGCGATAGTTCAAATCTGCTGCAAGCTTTATCTGCATATTGTACTCCGTATTTCATGATAGATGAAATTCGTTGATAAGCTTTACCACCCAACAGTTTTTTGATTGAAGTTTTTGAATCAAACCAGGTGTCGGGTGCACCTGCCATGCATCTTGATAAACCAGAAACTTTCATCTTGCGTCGTCCCCCATCGCTGGATAATGGTTTTTATCCTCCTGTTCTACCAACAGTTCAATTCGAAAAAATGTTTACAATGCTGCAGATAAATGGTCGCTTACTCTAGTAGCTCTCTGGTTACAAATATATCGAAAGGTTTCTCACTCTATTAGTATTCAGGTTACCAGCGCTTGAGAACACCGTGATTGTAACATATGGATCAACGATGCCGTTTCGCACACATTGAAGAGGGTTTTGCAAAAAGAGTGCTTTACTTGCTTTTAGATTCCTTACTAGTTGCTATCTCAGTGAAAGTACCAAAGCGAACATATATCTTTGATTTTGTCTGTATTTCTATCTGAGAAAGAGGAGAGTTAAAATGCGTCTTTAGATTGAAGGTATTTTGCACTTAGTTTGTATTTGATAAAGCAATGCGTCGATTGTTTTTAACAAGCATTGGCAAACGCATGCCAAAGGCTCTGGTAATTTTTTACCAATGCCTGAGACGTGCATGCTCCTTGCACTGTTGGTATTGTCCTATCCATTAATTGTTAAAAACAAATATTTAGATCTAATCTCGCTGACCAATATCAAAGTAGATCTCATTTATATAAATAATTTCTTTATAACATACATCGAATATACAAAATTACTTATAACATACACTGAATGCATTTATAAGTATCCTTCATTACAAATATTTGATTGTAGAATTCATTTGTACGTTGTTTTGATTTTGAGGATGTTTCTTTGCATCAGACATGCGTAGATAAACAGACATAAAGTTTTCAAAGTATATTTTCTTCAAGTATTGTCCATAAAATGAAATTCCTTTTCTTGAAAAAGTTTTAAAATTTATTTCTTGAAAAAGCTATATTTTTTTATTTACCTAACATAAAACCTTGTAAATCTGCAATTGCAGCTTTTAAACATGGTCTTCCTCTTATAAACATTCACATCGTCAGTTACTGCAGCTGGTCTGTGAATTAGACTGGAAGTTCCTAATGTGCTAGATTTAACAAATGTAACACAATAAATTTTACGATCTTTAGGCCAAGGATAACGCAGGCGAGAAACACCAGCAACTTATTCTAAGGATTTCAAAAGGCGATCTTTGCATCCAGGCAACCATTTATCATGGATTGAAAATGACTACTGCGATCTTCTCGTTACAATGTATCTATATATAGTTTTGCATGGCCTAATCAATGCATGCTTTGCATAGATATCAAACAAATAAAGCGAATACAAACATCTGCAATCGTTGCATCCAAGTTGCTGTCAACACTGTCAGATTATTACATTCAGTTCGTTAGTTGTTTTCATTTCAAATAAACGCGTTTCAGATAAGAAACTGATGTATTTAATTGTCTTCTTCATCTGACATGATTCATATCACTTAAAGTAAACATTATTATCTCGCTATAAGAGATTTGAACATATTTCACTTGCTTTACAGTCACCAAGATCTTTCTTTAGTCTGGTTCAAGATCTCAAGGCGATAACAACAGGAGTAGAAGTGAGTTTGTTTTGACGTTTGTTTTTTTTTCAAAATGTTGCAGATACTTCCAATACACGTTGTTAAGTCCTGTTTGAAATGACTGTTATAAACAGAAGCAAAGGCATTTAATGGCGTTTTTTCATCTGACTTTGATGCCCCAAGAGCCACTGCTTACTCACTGCGTTTCTGGAAACGATTTGTTGCTTGATATTTCATTGCATATTGACCATTTTTATTATTCTTGTTAGCTTTACCTTTGGTTATCAGTCTTATTTACAGCATCAAAGCATCGTGGGCATTCTGCGCCTCTTAGAGTTATCAATTGTTTCCTTCATCAGTTACTTGAAAGCTCTCATTATTTTGTTGCATTTCCTTTTAATTGTATCATTTTTAAGAATATATGATCATTCTGTTTGTGGCAATCTGTAAGCACATGCTTGAATGCCAAAACTTATCCCCCTTAAATCATTGTGTATTAATTTTGCATTTCTAGCTAAATTTTCATAAAAGCATCCTTTTTTCCATCAAACGTTTACGTTTCGACTCCAAGTGCATAAAAACGTTTCACTTGTGGTCGAAGATAGCACAGTATTGCAGAGTTCCCAAGTTCTTTGATAAATAATTTAGAAAACTGTTTTCTCATCAGGTCTTTTGGCTGTGCCTGATCTGCAAGAAAAAGCAAGAACTGTTAGCAAAGACTGGATCGTGGTTTCACGGGAAAACAGGACAGGAGCCTAATACTGTACGCGAAATAGAAGCGGAACTTAGTACACCTATACACTCACCTAGCATTAAAAAAGACAAATTACTAGATTCCAGATCGGAGAAGTTATCGTTATCTCCCATAGCATTTAAAAGAAATCAGCCGGGATATGACCCGACTCGGGTGTCTAGACTTACCGGTTTTAGTGGAGAGTCAAGCCCAGAGATAACAAAACCGATTTTAATCCGGGCGAAATCATTAGAATCTTGTGACGTATCACCATCGAGGAAAGGAAGAAAAGATTATAAATCGGACAATAGTGACTGCAGTAGTGTATCTGTGGATAGCCAATCTAGAAAGAAAACTGTAACTTTTGGTAAGAATGACGTCATCCAAACGCGTATAGAATACATTGAAAGTATGGAACGAAGTACAATCGTTACAGCGGATACTACACGACGTGATGGTACTCAACACATTGAGGTAAGATATGTTGTCTAATACAATACCCGTGAAGATTGCTGTCAGCAGACTGCTTTACAGTGCTTGATGCCGTATAGGTAGAACTACACACGCTCTTGTGTATAGACAGTTCTTAATTGCATCTTTTAACGTGATCATCAGGCTACGGTACGTACTAGACGCTGCCTGAATAACAGGTACCCGATCAGCGAAGTTAGAATGAACCTCGGAGTTGCAAAATAGAACTGTCTTGTTCTACACACGAGAGCGCAATGCAATAGTCAAATATACAGTCAATATTATGATGGATCTGGACGAGCACCGAAGCTTTTTGTATCAAGGAACTGTGCGAAATTCCAATCTACTATCGCCGCTGTACTTGCATATGTTTCTCGAAACATTATTGAACGCCTTATCTTGAAATCCGACTGTTTGTTCACATATCTTGCAAACAAGATTTTACGTTGATTGATAATTTCCTCAGTTGAATGCTAATTTTTGTACCCGCACATTGGTGTGCCAAAAAGGGCGATTCAGTTTGGATCTTTTGAGAGTCCTACTTAATTTTTATCATTTAACAACTAGTATTTAACAACTAGTATCAAGGGACAAAATATTATTTTTCATTTCCTTGATTTGAACTCGAGGTTTCCCAAGAAAATTTCTCGTGAATGAAGTTTAGGTTATGTTTTGAAATTTGAAACTCGTAAATATTCAATGTTATTGAAGGCAAACATGAAACATATAGATAGAAGATATAATTAAATTCTTGTCTGCATCTTTATGCAAATACATTCTTCGTGACAGGTTAAAATCATTATATGCGCGATAAAGAGATTTTGTGAGATTAAATATTTTCCTTTGGTTTTCTCTGGCCAATTATCAAATGATCACATGAAACATAACGGCTCATTTAGTTCAATAATCGCTTTGACATATTTACCCCTTTTGAACATATTAAAATGAGTCAATAAGAATCTGACTGCATTCTGTCTGCGATGCATTTGAATGGCAGCCCACTTTTGTAAATTTTATAACAAAGATGTTGTACAATTCTGTTTGCAAATTGATGTGATGAAAATGACTTTTTGAACGCTCTGGTGTAAAGAATTTTTGAATGAATTTTCAAAAGCTCATGCTGTTTGGTGGGTAGAACGCAGATTGCCCTCCTATTTTTATAGAGCTTGGCTTGACGTCCTTGCCAGTTTTTTATTTGTCCAAATTGCTGATTTTTTGCAACGATTCTTGAAAAGCAGTTCTTGAACTGATGTTATCACTTATGTTATCATCAGCAATCTCAATTTTTCACAAGATTCATTTTGTGCAATGGTGCCGGTTGTAGGGTTGATTTTATTCGGCGTTACATCTACAGCTTATCATAAAGTTGTCTGATGATCATATTAACCGTGAAACTCAGAGTAGCAACTTACAACCGTTTTGTTCTATACACCAAATATCGTGTACAGCTCTGCCGTTACGGGCTAGAGCACTTCATGACAGACCGGTAAACTGTAATTTTCATTACCGATGACTTGTATATAAGTCAACCAAATGCGTATAGCTGAAACGATCTTATGGTATTCGCTTTTCACTCGATTGCTATCTTTTACAGCCCGTCATCCAGATGAAATGGTCACCACCAGACATTGACAACAGATGCATAGGCGATATACTAATTTCATTCAGCCCAGATGGAAACAAAGCCTACCCAGGTAGACAATGCAATTTTTCATAACTAATTTATAAGACATCACTATTCTGAACTATGCCATTCAGGTGCTGCTGTACGTCACCAACTACATGGTGATGGAAACTTTCTCTAGGCCAGCCTACGCTAGCTAGGTATGTGGAAAGATCTCTGCATCAAGGTACTTGAAATCAACCGGGATGAGCATGGGTCTCCTTGAGGAACCTTTCAATGATTCTGATTGGTCAAAATTGTCCTGCCCACTGGCAAACAACCAATCAAAGTACCGAGTTCTTTGGTGACCTGTTCAGAAACAGTCTCAAATTTCTAGTTAAAGAATACCAAGCTTACAGGTGTCTGCAAACACTATTCCGTAACTTTCAGCGTTTACAAAACTTTCCATAATGAAAGAAATACTTTATTTTTTGGAAGCGAAAATTTGTGTAATTTTGGGTGTTTTTCATATTCAAAAAGTATTAAAGGTATTTGCGCAACTGGAATGCTTAGCAGCAGCTATCTTGAGAAATTGATTGTGTTTTATATTTTCATGCAGTACGATATTAGGCCAGTTTTGAAAATAGAGTCACAAAGCATGCCGGTTGCCCAAGAGCCTTTAAGTGAAAAATCTGCAGTTAATTAAAATTTTTTTGCAAAGATCTAAGTCATGGCCATGTGATTTTAGAAGAACAGGCTTACTTCGTTTTAGAAACTAAAATTTGTGTTTTAGTCGTAATGATCACACTTGAAAGTATAAAGTTTTTTACACAAAACACATGCACGCGAATTTTGTCAAAACATCTTCTCACGAATTTAATGCAAAACAAGTTCAAGCCAATTAAATGCAAATCACGTTCACACGAATTAAGTTCCAAAATAGTTCATGCCAATAAAATCAAAAACACGCTCACGCAAATTTATTGCAAAACACGTTCACACGGATGAAATGCAAAATAGATTCACGCCAATTAGATGCAAAAGAAGTTAATGCCAATTAAATGCAAAACACCATTTAATGCACAACACGTTCACGCCAATTTATTGCGAAACAAGCTCCCACTTTCTTGAGAATCTAGTGCAAAACACGTTCGTGCCAATTTAGTGCAAAAAGGTTCACACCAATTAAATGCAAAACACGTTCACGCCAATTTAGTGCAAAACACGTTCTCTCGTATTTTTAGCGCTGGACTTTAATTTAAGACAACTTTATATTCTACTGTTTGTACATCCTTCCTTTTTTAAAAGATGCCCACTTTCTTGAGAATCTGCCTAAATTATACAGGAAAGAATTAGATTTTGAACGACAACAAGCAATCTAACAGTTATTGCATAATGACTACAACTGTAGGGTCGTTTAGCTCGGCATTGTGTTGAAGATTCAAACACACGTTATTTCTAGAAACATCAGTTGTATTGGTCATTCTTAGCTGTATGGGTCAGTCAGATGTCCAATAATTGCAGAACGAGTTTGCCGTGTAAGATGAAGCAACGAACAAGCTTGTAGGGTTTTTTGGCCTATATATCTTATTACGAAATTCAAGCTAAATTACAGAACCATAAAAACTTTATATCATATTCCACATAATGTTTCAATGACATGATTTTAAGTGATTACTGATCTCTTTTACTGATTCATGCCATTATCTGGTTCAATTTTTGAGAACGCAAATTTCAAGATAAAATATTTTCAAAGCTACTGTGCCGTCTTCGTCTTTCTTTTCAATTGCTAATGTTGCAGCTGCCCCATATTGTATTCAAATTTCCCTTGTTTTGGCTTTAACTCCGTCTAGTTTACAGTTTCCAGCAGCTCGATGATTTATTAGCGTCGTGCTCAATCCGATTCCTTTAGAATGGCAAATTAATAGTTTGAGGTATGTTTGATAATAGGCTGATAACGAGGATCTCCTACTCATATCTCGACGCAATATTTGCGTGTTATTAAAGGTTTTCCGATCGTTTAAAGTCGTTTCTTCACCGTTATCTCATAGCGTTTAAGTTCTTCATGCACAACTTTTTTTTGGATTTACATCGCCATTGGCAAAGCAAGGTCTGAAATGAAGGCCGAAATCGAGTTTTAATATGGCTCCTTGTCTTCCTTTTTCCATACCTCATCAGCCTTTCTCTAAACAAGTATATAAATAACTGTTGAAAACATTGATATGAAAAATACCCATTATTTTGAAAGTCGATGTTTTATAGCCACGCCGGATATTGGCAAGTAATAATTTATACTTTTTTCTGACTTGTTTGAATTTAAACATTAAACCAATGTTCATAGCGCAGATGTGAGCTCGACAAAAGAATTCCCTTCTCAGCTTTTTTAGTCTTGTCGACAAAGTAAGTGTCTGTGTAGGTAACAGGATTGAAGGCGACCAGACAGTGATCTGTCTTCTTTGTAAAAACCGCAGATGATTCTTTGAAACGCGTTTTCTACAATAAACAATTTCCAATTGAAAAAGCCTCCCAAACATCTTCAAAAATCGACCAATTATTAAACAGGACATCCTTTCCGCTGCATAATCTTTATATGCATCCGTTTCTGCAAGTTTGTTTTTCAGCTTTGAAAAATGAGTTATTTGTATACGATACGAGGGTTTTTGTCTCTAAATTATATTCGAAAATTCGTCTTAGATTACTGTACAGCGCTTGGCTTCAAGGTTGTTGGCGGGCGGAAGAACGAAGATGGCAAGCAAGTAGCTATTATAACTGATGTTGTTCCGAACAGCATCGCAGAGAAAAGTATCAAACTCATGGTTGGTAAGTAAAGATAAATTTATATCATCAGTCGTTCTTAAAAGTGTTAAGATAGATATGACACCAAATATCTTATTATTGACTCGCTAGACACGAGCAATGAGAAAATAACGAACGGTAGCAGAAACTAAATTTAAGGAGCAAGCATGAAGTATTGCGTTGTATAAAGGTTTCAGATTATTCATTTTCCTATTTGAATTACTGTTTACATAAATAGTAATTTAAAATAATGAAGCAGCAGGAAATTTGAAAAGGGGATCTTTCTTGTGTCCTTACTATGGCCTAATATTTAATTGCGATAAACTCTTTTAGCAACATTGTTCCGTGGCTTCTTTAGATGTTTTTGCAAATTTGGTTATCGTAATTAATTTTTATGTCAACACCAATCTTTATCCACTCATTGTGATCCCAAGGATAATCTTGATAAGATTTTTAACAATCAAATTTAAATTTGTTTTGATAAGAGGATCTTTACCACCCATTATCGCTAAAAATCAAGCTTTTAGCAGCGTCGATAAGTGATAATCTTGGCATCGCTTTGTGCAATATTTTTAAGTTGCTGTGGCTAAGAAAGCTTCTAAAGCTGTATATTTAGATATTCTTTATTTAGATATTCAGATATTCTCGAAGGGAAACTAGTGGTAGCACCTTTAGAGAAAGGGCAGAAGGGTAACTACTGGTAGCACCTTTAGAGAAAGGGCAGAAGGGAAACTAGTGGTAGCACCTTTAGCGAAAGGGCAGAAGGGAAACTAATCACAGCACCTTTGATGTTTCTTCTACGTGGCAACAGCATTTGTCGATTGATAAACTTCGTTTTAGGAACAGGCGATAGGCTCTTACAGATTTGATAGTACTGTCTCAATTTTTTGCTGCGATAAACAACAATTGCTATCTGCAATCTGCTAGGAAGAGCTACATGTTTGTCTTGAGTGAGCTTCTTCGCCCATGACCAACGTGATCAGCTAAGAATGCATTCGCGCATGCGCTTGCAAAAAACGTTGAATTCCAACGAATACTGCAGTTTCCCATTTCTGTTTCCTATTTCATATTTCTTCTTTAGTAACGCTACAAAATCACGAGACAGTCTTGAAAAAAAGGTATTTTGATGCAAAAGTAATTTAGTCCAGCCTCAAACAAACGAAACACATGAAAAATACTTTATAAATAATGGTAAAAGCCGAAGAAAAATAATACCAAAGTTTTTTGCGAATTCAAATCAAATAGAAGTACTTAAAATGTTACAATCACGCTCTCCTTCTTGCCTTGTGAGCTAAGAATTTGTTCAACCTCGCATTTTGCATAGGGGAACATGACAGCAAGGTGTATATTGGTTAAGCAGGAAAAATGCATTACATTTATCAGACGTATGACCCGTTGCCTTATGTTAACATTAAGCTTGATCTTCTTTACTGACGTTCGAGTAAGGATGCTGACGAGGCGACCCAGGATCAACAAGGCGCCAGAATAAAAACCAAGAAATTTTCTTCTGTGACGTCATATTAGAAAATTGATATTTCGTCTGGCTCGGTGCCTGGCATGATTGAAGTTGGCAGTTTGGTTTTAGTGTGATGTCTAGTGGTTGGTGGGTTGTTATGGGTAGGGGAGTCACTACACCACACCTCCTGTTCTTTCTTATTTCTGCAGCTTTTTGCGGCTTTTGTTTTTCTTTGATTTGTACAAAGCATTGTGTCTGGAACCCATTGCCTTTGCTTGAATTTCGTAAGTCATTCCTGAAGACTAAAGCATTCAAAACATTGACGATTGCATATGTTTCTATCTAAGAATAGTTACAAAATCTAGATAAAAAATTGTGATAAAAGAGGGTCCAACCAGTGGTTTATTCAAAGGTGTTGCGTCTGATCAAATTACGCTCAATAGAAGAAACTCTGAAATTGGTGTTTTATTTTGTATCAAACAGTTTAATACTCAATTATGTTAAAACGTCTGCAGTCTTCTTTATTCTAAGAACAAATTTTATCAGGACAGCGATTTTCCCAATAATAAGAACATCGTAAGAACATGTCCGGCTTATAATGAAGTATTAGAAGAAAAATTGTTTTTCGGAAATTTCATCTTATGTTAACAAAACAGAACAGATTTGAGCAACTTAACAACCGTGCTACTTAAAATGCAATAGAAACTTTTATGTCTTAGAAATATTTTAATATATGTACCAGATATAGAAGAATCAATGTTGAAAAGAAAATGATATTAAACACCCAACGCGGGACTCGACTCCTCTTAACGCGGGACTCCTGCAGGAAAAGTCTATTGAAGAACATCAAAAGTTGTCTGGTTCTAATAAAAAAGAGTATAACACTTATCAGTTTAAGATCATCAGTCGTTGAAGATTTGAAACATTTTTCGAGTTGAGCTGTTCATAAGTGAGGGTTGTTTTCTTCTTTTGCTGGAGCTGTTTACCTTGCATGGTCGTGATAATCTATCAAATAAAGAATAAATAATTATACAAATAAATAAAGTAATAAATAAGCAATTAGATAAATTGTTTTGAATGATTCTTTACACAATACATGTCAATATCGTGCTCAGTTTGTGCAAATTCTGTGTTTTTCTAACGCATGAAAATTCTCCGAAAAGCAGCAGATATTTGCATTGGTCTCTGAAGCTTTGCGAAATTCGCCAGACATATCTTTCACGGGCTTAATCGGCATCGATAAACATGAAAGGAAACCTCTTTGTTTCTCAAGCACCTTTTAGTGTTTTGAATAATGGACTACTATTTTCGACAAAGGAGTCCTTCTGCGCCTTTGAATAATCATTATAAGTGTTGCAATTACTGGGAATAAGATCATAACAGGAATAAAAATGTAGAACCGTGTTGCTATTTGCTTTAATTTCGGCGGTTGTTTGGCAGCGTTACCTGTCGTTTATGGCTAATATTTGAGTTCTAGTTTGATATTCGGATCAGTACAAGGTATATTTATTTCATTACAGATCAACAGATTTTTTAACTTTTCTATGCAGTTCTATTTTTTCCTCGTAAACATGGATTGCGATCAACATTGAAGACTTTGTTGTTTCAATCTGTTGTTATGATAAAGTTTTGTCTACTAAATTTTATTTTGGGTATCTTTCCTTCACTATCTCAGGAAGGCTTTAGTGCGACTGAAACTGCTTCTTTGAAATGCCAATACTTCCAGTGCAATGGCTAAAGGTTTAATGATAAAAGCAGCAGTAGATGAATGCTTTTAGTTGATAATATGTTTTGTTCAATTAGACCTGAATAATGGTCCTGTATTGAGATTCGGACGGCCTCTCTAACCTTGTTTCTTAATTTCTCATATAGAGGCCAATGTTCTGGCTTCCGCCTGGCATCCTTTTTCGCTTTGTTCCTTCTCATTATCAGATACCCTTGAAATTAGATTTTGATAAAAATTAAATAACATTTTGTGTTCGATTAATTTAGTGTAATCATTGACGATCGTTAGATCTGCATTATGTAGCTATCTGCTCTTTATTGTTATGCAGTTTTTGCTTTATCATTTTAAGTATCACAAAACATTATGATTCGATTCATAAATTCTGGAACAATTCATAAAAAATTTCCTAGTTTGATGTCCAGTTATTTATAACTCTTTCCTTTGAACGTCAGAATCCTCACAATTCTTGTCTAAAATTTTTTTGTGTAACGTACTTTTGTCCGTTCGTCTTGGCCAGGTGACGAAATTCTTGACTGGAACGAAATTTCATTTGTCGACTGCAGCGACGAAGAAGTGCAAGATATAATTGCGATGGATGACTCATGTGATCTACATCTTGTCATTAACAGAGACAGGTATCGTTCAATTTATGACGTCATAGCTTTATTGCCTCCTGAAGCTATAAAATTTGTCATCAAAAGAGCATTGATGCTTGTGTAAGGGCTTGGGCGCACCAGCACTATCTATCTATCTATCTATCTATCTATCTATCTATCTATCTATCTATCTATCTATCTATCTATCTATCTATCTATCTATCTATCTATCTATCTATCTATCTATCTATCTATCTATCTAATCTATCTATCTATCTATCTATCTATCTATCTATCTATCTATCTATCTATCTATCTATCTATCTATCTATCTATCTATCTATCTATCTATCTATCTATCTATCTATCTATCTATCTATCTATCTATCTATCTATCTATCTATCTATCTATCTATCTATCTATCTATCTATCTATCTATCTATCTATCTATCTATCTATCTATCTATCTATCTATCTATCTATCTATCTATCTATCTATCTATCTATCTATCTAACTGTAGTTGCATTTTCCTGTAGGGCAAACATGGAGATCCAGGCTTCTGGTAACCCTTCATTGCTGCGAAGTGAAAATGGCTATCCTGCTGGCCAACAGATTATTCCAAATGCGACACAGATTCCCGTTGCAAGCGCTGTAAGCATCACGGGTCCCTCGCGTTTTCGCGAAAGTCCACAGAGCTCTCTCCTTGGTTCAAGTAGTTCATCACATGGCAGCCCCATTTCAGTTCAGAACGATCTCACTTCGCCACAGTCGCAATATGCTTATAGACCTTCCCCTGCGCAAGTCACTCCGGAGCATCAAAGATATGTTAATCAGGGTAGGTCTTATTACCTGGCAGTAGCTTTTGTTATTCGAGACTTTGTTCATCCTGATCACTATTAAAGGCAGTCTGTCCCCTGATTGGCTAATTTGAACAATTGGTCTTCCTGCCTTAACGGATTACGCTGCTCGCTTTGGCTGGCCTAGCTGCTGTAGTGGACAACATTTGAAACTGAGAGCAAAAGGCTATCGGAAATGGCAAGAAGATTCAATTACTGGAATTGAATGATGATAATGGAAGCATTTCTTTTCCTTGTTGACACATCTGTCGCAAAAACCAAACAGGGAACCAATTTTTTCTAGCCACAGCTTCACTACAACGGGAACACGGCCATTTGATTCAAAAGCTCTGGAATCAAAGTTTTCTCTGATTGGTTAAAATCATTTAATAAACGATCAAGCTCAATGGTGCGTGAATTTCACTCCCGTGAAAATATAGTTGACAACAATAGGGGACAGACTGCCTTCAAAATGGTTACATGTTTTTTTCGAATATTTACTTTTATTTAGTAGCAACTCTATTACGGTGTGGATTTATAGTCTTTTAGGTTTAATTTTACAAACTAACAGAACAGTTTGAAATAGTTTCTCTATTAAAAACCTGTGTTTTTCTTTGTTAATCGTTTGTATCTATTATTAACACATAATATTTGGTTCCAGATGAAAGAAATTTCTCAAGTGATGAGGAAGAGCTTGGCCTGCCTTTCCAGCGGGCATCATTGCATCACCCTCAGCGAAGGGTACGTTTTATTCTTTCGCTCTATTCTGTTTTCCATTCTTTATTCCAATGTCTCAAAATACGTCACAGGTGTTGCCATACTCTTTCACCAATAGTGTTTTCTACTAAGCGTGTGACCGTCCCTGATTCTTCTTGGTAAAGCTTTTTTCTTTGAGAAATATGAATTCGAAGTTTTCTTCTTTTAAGAAACATTTCTAAAAAAATTCACATTATATTATACCAGGTTATCCCCATTAAGGGGTTTTTTGGTCTCTGGACTTAAACAGTGCTACCGATTTTCCAGTCCTAAAGCCTTCTTCCGTTTTTGCCAAATTTAACCTTCGATTTTTCCTTCCTCGATAAAGGCCTTTATAGCAATAGATTAGAATTAGTAGCTTATTTTTTTATTAGCCTGCCAAGCTTTTGCCAAATAAGTTAAAATATTCATATTGGGCAATAATCCTGAGATGAATAATAGAATTTGATGTATGCAAAAAGCTTTGCAATCGTCTTACTACCAGTGACAAGCAATGTATTTAATTATGACGAAATAGCCCCAGACTCTTGCATATGTAATCCGCGATGTAAGAATATGTACACTACGCCGATTAAACGCGTTGGACGAATCGGAATCTTCATTTATACTTATAAAAGGCTTTCTTTATTTACCCAATCCCGAAGTGCAAAGTTGTAAATATACATGAATGGAAGAAACATGCTTGACCTTTATCAATTCTTTGGGAAGTGCCACTATAATCTTTTTCTGATCAGCTATGCAGAACGCTTAATGATTAATTCATTAATTATGCCTTTTAATTCAAGAAGGTATGGGTCATGGCCGTATACAGAAATACTTACTCCTCCTAACGGATAACGCAAATTAAGTCGAGATAAACTAATTCTGACTTTCCTGTCTGTTTTAGCGAGGAAATCCGCATGTTTCGGGTCGTATTCAGGTATATGCTTTTTCATTAACTTTGCTCTTTTGCCTGCTTACAGGGAAATATGGCTAAAAATAAGACTCAAGTCTTGCTGCTTAGCATGGCAGTTTCTCCTAGAGATTCTGTGAATAAATTCTCCGTTCAGGTAGTTTTATGCTTGCCCAAATATGAATTAATAGTAAACAAAGCCAAGCAGATCACTTGCAAACTGTTGGCCTAATCGCAATAGATAATGAGGATCATTGTTCTTCAAAGTTGATACTTTTTATTGCTGATGAGGAACGTCAACAGAAGTTCAATTAATCCTGGTTTTGAAAAAAGTTACCAATTTTTTATGTTGCATTGATCTAGGAAGTTCAATCCTCAAAGTTTGGAGCAAGCAGTATCTGTATTGCTAAATACTGTTGTATTTTTTTAATGTTCATATTGATATTTAAAATCATCGTGAATTAATAGTTAAAGGAAATTTGGTTAAGCCTGTGTAGCTGTCGATTGCCTTGCGAATTTCACATTTTGTCGACGAACAATAGCGTTTGAAACATTAATCGATGCTAGATTTACGCTATGGTTTTAATTGTCTTTTGGAAATTTATCACAGATAAGGTTTGAGTTCGATAAAGAAGCATCCAGTTTATACGTGACAATAATTGGTGCAGATGGACTGGCTCCAAGGGACAACGGCGCACCGAGAAATCCTTATGTAAAAGTTTATTTGCTTCCTGATCGCAGGTATGTCGGGGTGCTCTTTTCAATTGGAAAAGCTCTTGTATTTTTTATTTTTGGATAACATTTTCGAATTATAATCCTCATAAAGTGTTCATTGAAAACCTTCTGTTTTAATTAAATGGTTCCAAATAGCAAGGCCATTGATGCGTTTTTAAATAACCATGTTTTTTTCATGGTTTTGTTCTTAATGCAAAACATCAAAGATTCAACTTTTTTCGCTTTCAAATTAAAACCAATCATTAGGGACAAGACCTAGGGTAAAGCCGTCTGTGTCACCAGGAGATGGACCACATTATTCAAGAAGATACAAAATCTGTTTGTGTCTAAGATCTACTGACCTGAATTTGGTGACTGCTCTTAAGATGCATAAAAGTCTCAATGAATTTTAATGGATGATCAGATAAAGCTTTCTTCGTTATAATTTTGCTTAAATAAATATGCCCTGGAGAAGTCTTAAACCATCGAATTATGATAAAAAGGCAAGCTCTGCGAAAGTCATTTGCTTTTGGCTTGACCATTACATTGGTCTTGACAGCAATTGACGGAGCCTGTTTTTAAAATTACTACGAGGTGACGTCATGCGATTAGCCAACCAATAGTACACTAACAAAAAGAACAACTTGTCTCAGCTTACCCTTTAATTTTGTTATAATTAAAAACGTTAAATTTTTGAATCAAATCTAGTTCATACAAATTTTGAAGCTTAAAAGTGCTCAAGTTTTCCTTTCTCATTTAATGGTACTTATAACCAAATTATTTTTTTGCATGTAGCATCTTTAATCTTTGATCAAAATCATTTAATCTATCGAACTCAATTATTTCTAAATATTTCAAATACAAGAATTCAAATATTTTATTATCAAAAGTAAAAAGTTTACATGATATCAACGATTCAGTGAATTAGAAGCTACTGATTAAAATTCGTTTCAGTTAGAAGTGTATGGAATAGAACTGAGCTGTTTTATTCATTTTGATAAACATGGCTTTAATTTTGTTTCAAAGCAAATAAATCTACATTTAATGCTAGCATCCCTCAATTCCCTATTAAATTTGTTCTGATAAATGTTTTGTTTTTCTAAACCATAACCTAAAAATGGAGAAAATTGGAATATTTCGTAGCTTGCAAAGTAAACGACGCACCAAGACGGCCTTGCGAACAATGTCACCACGCTGGAATCTAACTTTCATGTATAGCGTCAAACATCAAAAGGTAATGGTTTATTTTATGGTTAAACAATATTGAGGTTTAATTACTTGTTATAATGTCTTATAATCATAAAAGTATTTAATGTTTCATGTTTCTGTCGTGTCTTAATGATGTTTTTAATTCTATCACCATGAGAAAAAGAAAATTTTGAGCTTGATAATACCAATCTTACAAATCCTTGAATTTCTCAACATCCCGAACCCAAGCTTAATTCTTATTGGCTTGTGTTAATTTGTGGAAAATTCTTCTTGGCTAGACATTCTAGCTAACGTTTATCAAGGTTATTTATTTATGATTTTAGTTTTGAATAAGTTTTAAGCCAATCAATAAAGTTAAACTTCTGATGCTTAAATTGACACCAAAAACATGCCAATGCCATGACGTAACACTAAAAATTTGAGTTAGTGAGCGATATTGTATAAAGGATTGCCATAACAAATGAGCCTCATAAAACCTTACCTAGTCTAAAGGGTAGAAAAAGAAGAGAAAATACTCGCAATAACAATTGAAAAACTTTATAGTTTCCAGTCATCAGTGGATATAGCTCCAAATCATATGTAATTTAACCTTATTATGATATTTAGCTTAAGTAAATGCAGCGCAGTTCTGCAAAAAAGTTAATTTCTTAATTATAAATGCCTGAAGTGAGCTTGTCAAGTGGAATGGTACTCATAAACTACTACTTGTTTTGATATGTTTTGCTAAAGTTCCGCAGACTATATATTTTTTATGTGCCACTCCGGGTATTACAACAATAACCAAAAGCTTGTTAAGAGCTAGTGAAGTTTTATTAGTACACAAGATCACACTCACAGTAGAGGAAATTATAAATCCATATTCTCATTTATACTTTGTGGAACATCAAGCTATTTTGCACATTAATCGGTTTTCTGGGTATACAAAGAGTTTCGTTCCATTAGCCAATTTTATGCATCAATTAAACGGCTTTTTGTCTCAAGCTTTGCAAAACGCATATTGCTTGCTGATTACGACATTGAAATATGCCGACTTATCTTCTTGCGACAGAGCTGACAGCCTGGATTCGATTTCAGAAAAGCCCATGACCTGAAACTTACAGGTTGCTTTTTCTTCGGTGCCGTTTCAAACAGTTTTCTTTCACCGTTCGTTAACAGCGAAGAGAGCCAACCGGTGTCCAGAATCTCTCCTTTGCTGTTTATTCTCTTGCTATTTTAAGATTTCTTCGATTGACAATGCTGACTTTATCGATGTTTGATCGATGGATTGCAAAAGGAATTATCCTATTTGACAGCTGATTTTAAATAGGTTCTTCTTATTGTAGCCCAATGTAGGCGCAATTGGCAATCTGCAATGAATGTTTTTGGTTTTATTTTTGAAGTTCCCGATGCAGTTTAGCTTCCTCTGCCTTAGACACTGTATAATTCTCAGAGTAAGGATGAGTGAATCGAGGCTTGATTATAGAGGCAATTACATGCTATAAAAATATCTGTCGTCTACTTGTATACAGATGGCGAGTCATATTGCTGAAGCCTTGAGACTTTGTTTCAGCCGTGCGGTTGTTCACTAATTTCCCTTATTTTCGCTAGAATTTCTGCTATATTTTTCGAAAGCTTCAAAGGCGTAAAGATTGTGTTTCAAGGTCTATTGTGGCAATTTTCTCAAAGATTCTTATAGACTGTGAATACTCTCCTATGCATTTTCTGACTGTTAAGCCTTAGCTAAGACCTTCCACTTCACGTTACCTTACAATGTGTACATCTGAAATTCAAATTTTGTTTTTAGCTTCTAGAACGTTCTTTGGAATTTACAGTATGGGATCACGACAGAATCGAACCTAATGAATTTCTAGGCGAAGTTGTTATCGATATGCACGAGGCTTGTCTTGACAACCTAGCACACTGGTATCCTCTTAACATCCACAACTACGAGACCCCTCTTCCTTCTCCTACACCGATGACGTCACCAAGAGGGTCTTTTCGTGAATCAGGTGACAAAGGTATTGATTCTTTGTTATTTCTTAAGCCAAAAGTCGAAATTACTTGGTGTATTCCTGGAAATTATGCGAGAGGAACGTTTCTTTATTTACCGCTGATAGCATACTATGTATGGTTTTAATTGACATTAGATGCTTAGAATGTCCCATACAGAAGGTGTTGCGATCGGATTCTTATCTTGTATTTTAACACTATTCTAGTCTCGTGTTATTTTTTGCTTCTTGTTAACTTTTTCGCCATTTTTGGTATGGCTTGTGGAAGTCTTGGAAAGCATAGGCCTGTAATCATATTTGGTCTACAGTTTTCCATTAAAGACTAATTGCTAACAATGGACGTTTGTGAGCGTGGCGACGATCCAAACAATGGCAGTAAACTTCTACGGATTAACCAAAATTGATTTCAGACTGTCTAAAAATGCATTATGGGATGCTTGCGTAGTGCAATGGCTCACTGTTAGCAATGAGTCTTTAAATGAGTCTTAACAATTACTGGATCATATAAAGAGGAAATAGACCCTCTTTGATCTGTATCCAGTCATTTTGGCTGTTTTCACACCCCTTACTAAAGTATTGGAGCAGATCTATTTTACTGGAATAGAAAATTCCTTGTAGCCTTTTCAATACTCTTGGTGCAGCAGGATCTTTTCTTACATGTTTATATCAACAGACATTCATTTATTTCAGCTATGAAACAGGCGAACGATGCTGCGCGAAATAGGGCAAATCTGGTTGGCCTATCAACTGATATAAATAAAAATGTTCCGGATACTGACGAATATTATCGAACGCCAACTGGATCCCCTGGTAGTTATATATTACAATGAGTTTACATATTCGATAAAATCGTTTTTTTGAGAGTATTTTTATTCTTAAAGAATTCAATACAGTGGTGTTCCGTTTAATCTCTGGTAATATATAAACTAAGCTTCTGTTCCCCTCAATATGCTCAATAAATTGCTCTAGTTTAACGAATCCTCGACCAAATGAACTCTCACTAGAATGAACTTCCTTCTGATTACGAAATCGGGATGGAAACCATCACGACTCACAATACTCACTCAAACACAAAGCTCGCATTTTTATGCTCATGTCACTAGGGTTGCTTTTTAATCCAACTTGTTTTCCACTTTCTTCAGCTTCCTTTCGCCTTTTGATAAACTTATGTTTCTAGAAACGTTATTGCATTGTGGCTGTACCATAAATGTGTACTAGTTTTGCATTTCAAGTATGCCGAAATTGTCCCTTGGCGGCCCAAAGTCGCATCGTAAGATCAAATGTGCTTTGATATAACCTAAATGTCTCCAGTTATAATCCAATATCTCTCTTCTGCTTTTGCTAGTTCATTTTTTACGAATGTCTTTTTCGGGCTGTTGTTTAAATTTTCATACTTGTTGATCCAATAGGTGTCTCGCAAGAAAGTGATGATATGCAAAACTCGGAATCACCAAGCTCTGTCCATACGTTCCCATTTATGCAAAGCCGTACACCTCAGGGAAGTCTCACACCCCAAGGCAGTCTCACTCCCCAAGGATCACTGACTCCACAAGGATCTTTAACTCCAAGGGGAGTTCTTTCTTCTAGAACAAGTCTAACCACAGACGGAACTGCCTCACCCCGTGGGACAAATGGCCAAGCTAGTCCTATGCTGCCGCAGATAATACAGGATGGGGATATAACTATGAATTCGCATGTTTATGCAGCCACCGTTTCCAATGTTGCTGCAACACACACTGCTCAGATGCACCAAGGACCTTCTATGGTACCCTACGAGGCCCAGCATGAAGCTAACAATTTTGCTAGCCAGCGCCCAAGTGGATTTAGAAGAACCAACAGTCTTTCGGATAGCGGCACATGGTCAGATTCAAGTTCTGCCGCAACAACAAGCGCCGACAACAGTGCTTCTAACACACAGACGGATGGAAGGCAGTCTTCTTTTTTGCAGAGAGCAACTAAGTTCTTCCAGCAACAGTTCCAGCTCGACATCAAGCTTCCAAGTGATAAAACTGCCGCTACCATTGCTCCTGTAGTCTCTTCAAGCGATAATGATACAAAAACAATAACAACAAAACCTAGCCAAGCATATCCAGAAAAACTGCAGCAAAGTAGTGGTCCGTCACCAATCACTTTCCCAGGAACAAACCCAAGTCAAAAAGGAATATCACCATATCGCCAAATGCCTGTAATTACAAGAGAACAAATAGCAAACCAATCTCATCAAGGGCCTAATTCACAAACACGTCCTGGGGCCACACAAAACTTTTTGCAGCCCCCAAATGCAAGGGCGCAAAGGAAAATATCTGAACCAAAGTTATCTTCCCAGAGCTCAAGCGATTCTTCCAATGACCCTAGGCGACGTTTGAGTGCCGGTGCTAAACCGATGAGATCGAACTTATCAGGAGAATCTGGTAGTTCATCACCGGTCGTAAGCAGAAAGCAGCGAATGTTACCGAGCACAGTTGGGCGGCAAAGAATTGGTGAGTCGAAAATTAGTAAGTATTTCCATGCGGACACCCTCATTACTGCCTACGAGCTTTACCATAAAGAGACTGATTTCATCAAATATAGCTGATCGTTTCTTTCAGTTTAATACTTAACAAACCTGGGGGCAGTGTCTTTTCGCGCCAGCCTTTAAAAACTTTGCATTGCATTTCCCTGAGTAATGCTATTTTTTTAATTTTTCCCACCACGGATTATCTGAAGACGAAAACAATTTTCTTGATTAAACTCCTGTTGATTAACCCTAATGATAAAAATTAGATCTGAGCTGATATTAAAATTATTTATTTGGAAACTCCTCCGCTATTTTATGTAGAAATCCTTTCCCACATGTTTAAAACAGGCAAATTATAAGGCCTAATTTCCTTATGAATAAAAAGCATCAATTTTAATCTGTCTTTCCAGAAAACGAATCAGACTATATTAATTATTCTGTCGAAGTAGTTAAATGCATATCCGATAATTTCAATGTGCCTAACACTGTTTACGATAACCAAAAGTAACGCTAACGACTAAACGATAACAAAATAGCACGCACATAAGAGCGGTTTCAACAGTATAGTTACGTTATAAAGAACGAGCAACATCAGACCTAACACATTGACGATCGTTTGCCTACTTAGACGAAAACGAAAAGACCGAAGCCATACGTCGACAGCTGGGTAATCGTGGGGTTTTAAGAACACCTCTTTCGGCTGTCATAGGAGAACGCACAGAAAGATCTTATTCGGATGCAAGTCAAAGGGAAGCTGCAAGAAGAAACATTGGAGGTAGGATTCTTTGCTTGTTTTTCCACGCCCTTCCTGTTAAGGTTTCAATGAAAAATGCAGATCTGGTCCCAGCGTATGTGATCGTTCTAAGGAAATAGGCATTTGATCAAGATAGGAGCTATGGAGATGTCAATGTGGGTTAGCGGGTTCTATCAAGATATTACATTTTGTTGACCATCTTAAAACTTTCAAATCGAAGAAGCAAACTGTGTATTTTAGTTAGTGTTCTAAACATAAACTAATCAGAAATTTTTAAAAGGAAAGATCCGTTGTTTCAAATAAGAAAAAAAGCGGACCATTAACTCGCCCTCTATAGTCTTTTTTTATAAGAACTAGTAAATTTAAGTTCAGGCTGACTGTTCTTAATTTTTCGAAAATTTGAGGCTGGATTGTTTTTAATTTGTGCTATTGCTAGCTTTTTCGCTCTAATGAGGTGTTCAGGCCTCATTTGCCAACAAAGTGAGTGAGACAGCCTTAATTTGCTGACAAATTTGAATATTCACCGAAAAAGCACCCACACATCGCTAAAAATCCTCGATTTTGAGGAAAAAACGTTGTTCAAAATTGCATTTTGCAGAAGCTCAGCCTCAGCTTGTTTTTAATTTGTTCTTAACTTTTGACCAAGTTTGAGGCTCGTGTCCTGATAAAATTGTTCTTATAAAAAGAAAGAGTGTACTCTGTCAAAAGTTTTTCTGCAGCAAAAAGCCAATTTATGGTTCCAGATCACTGTGTATAAGCTCGGTCTGTTCTCAATTAATGCTTCTTCTACCCTGGTAGTTGTTACTTGAAAATTTAACCATTTTTGAGTATACAGAGGATCAGATAGGGAGGAGAATCGCAAGTGAATATGCGCGTTTAAAAACTGCAATTTGAGGAGAGCGAGAAGAGGAAAAGCGGAAAACCTTTGGCTATTTGCCACATCAATAAAGCCTATTTTATTTATCCACGCAATGACGCATTTCTGCTAAGTATCATACAAGAGTTGTTAAATATAGACAAAGAATTCATTGTGAGCAGGAAGATAGGGTTATCCCTTTTCTGTGTGAACTTCCTCCGATTTTCATGTTCTTGCTCGTCCGCAGTTTCTCCTCTCTTCAGAGGCGTGTTGTTTTCTCTTCTCCTTTCTCACTTTCCTGTTTACTGTACTGTCAATAATTCGATGACTCAAAAGTGCATTCACACAACTGGAACGGAAAAGCATGGAACAGACCTGCTGCCAAACCACTAAACTGTCAGTGTCGCGCTCTACCAACTCATAACTAGATCCACAGTGCCTTCTTAAGCATATTTTACAATCAAAATGTTTTATTGCATTACAGTTCGCAGCAATAGCAGCGATTGTATCAAAGTTCCAGGAGGTGTTATGGCGGCGAGAAACAGCCCAAACTACAATGCGAACTTGAAAAGTCACGGACGTGCCCAAAGTAGCCAGTCTATATTCAAGGATTCCCCAGGTCATTACGTGCACCCTGGCGTCGGTCGCTCGGCTGTGGATGGCTATTCTAACTACGATCAAAATTATGATCCAGCATATCGGAAACGCAGGAAAGACAGTTTTAGCAGTGGTCGAAGCAGCCCTACGTCATCTGTTACAAGTGAACTCAGCACGCGAAGTGGAAGTTCTTCTAGCCTCGCCAGCTCACTGACGTTAACAAGTTTTGAAGGAAGGTCTGTTTCAATTACTCAAAGTCTAATTTTTACTCGTTTTCGGAGTGTATTGTTTATATGTACAATCACTGCCAAAACTACTTGGAACACCTAACACTTTGCGCTGTGCTCTTCTTTTTTTCATTTGTTTTTCTTGAATACTACCACTTCCGCCCCCCTTTCCCCCCAAAACAATGTTGAAAGTATAGAAAAATATAAAACAATCCACAAGAAAAAGCGTATTCTATAACCCCTTTCTTTTTTCTATAGTAAATCAACATTGTTCCTAGGGGGAGAGGGGGATGGCTGAATTTGCCTTTAGTGTTCCAAGACTTTTGGCAGTGATTGTAGCTTGTAGACTGAGCGTGAATAATAAACTCCCGTCAGCCCAGCATTGTTTTGTACAATCTGACTGATGAACTCCACTGGACAAATCCTCTACAGATTTCATTTTTAAGAGTTTATATATGCTTTGCTCAGGTATGATCATGTAAATATTAAAGAAACCTTAATTGGTTCTTCAAAGTTCAGTTGCAAAACCTTTGCCACTTTTCCTGTCCTCTCCGTACACTGAAACAAATTAAGACTTGTTATAAACACAACTATTTATTTCATACGGATTTTTTCATATCCAATTTCAAAGAAGCGCTCGTTGTTTTCAAGCAGGTTGCTAGTTTGGGCATGTTTCATTAACACTGTTTTGTATGTCTAACAGCAGTCCATGGGTACCAACAAACTTGCGAAAGATTGGCGATGCCCAGTTCACGGATTTCGTAGAGGGCTTAGGACCTGCTCAAATGGTTGGCAGACAAGTACTTGGTTAGTTGATGCATCGAATCATCTCTGCCTTTACATTGCTTTCATGTTAAAATTGTTGATTATGGGAAGATACTACTGCGTAATGATTCAGAGAGCTCAAATGCCATCAACACAAATCACAGTACATTGCTAAATTTGTTTATTTTCTATCACATCTATCCTTCTTCCAGGTTTATGAGGTTTTATATAGTAAGATTTGGGCCTAGAAGAAAAAATTCTTCATCCTTCTTTGGCTGGTCCCTTAAAAAACAGGCGTGTCATTTCCAAAGAGACCGATTGCTCTTAAAGCTTTCTAGGTTGCATGTTAATTTTTCTTTTTACCACTCACAGGATCACCGCATATGGGAGATATTCAACTCAGTATGTTTGATCGGAGAGGAATAATAGAAGTGGAAGTAATTCGCGCGAGAGGGTTGTTGAGAAAGCCCGGGTCAAAGACTTTACCAGGTTTCTCTATTTTAAAATCGTTTTGCAGTTATAACTGACGGTAGCTTGGATAAAGGCCTAGGTTTGGATTTTTCTACTCAACTGAATACACACTTGGAAAAAGAGGCCAACTATTTGATCGAAATGTCAACGGCCACTTTGGAAATTCAAATACCCTTTAACTCATTCCTATTCTGTTTACTTCAGAAACCATTCCACTATTGATTTTAATGAAACTAGAAAACTGTAAACATCTTAGGTTTGTGGGTAGATGTGGTTAGTTCTTTAGGTAGCCAATCGGTTTATCTTAGGTTTTTGGGTATATGGTTAGTTCTATTTCTAGCCCTGAATCAATTTTGGATTGCAGAGCGATAACAATATTAAAATATACTCCAAGATGTGACCATGAATCCACATATTGCGGTTTTGATTATAAAAATGTATAATATCTTTATGTTCAAATGTCTTTATCGTTAAATTTTACATTCGTTTTGAAAGTTTTTAATTGATATTGTTTATGTTACCCGTTATATAGTTAGTGATGTAGCATTTGTGATCATCACAATTCTGTCACTGCCAAGCAATGTTTTATTAAGGCTTGAGCTGGCTAAGTAATTTATATAACATCCTTTCCTTTCTCCGTTATCACTGCAGTCTTGATTGCTTGATATTTTCATCACCTTGCTTGTTTTTTAAAGCACCCTACGTAAAAGTATATCTAATGGATGGGAAGAAATGTCTCGCAAAGAAGAAGACAAAACCAGCGAGAAGAACTCTCGAGCCGCATTACCAGCAACAGCTTGAATTTCATGCCAGTCCTAGAGGCAAAACTCTACAGGTAAGACGGGAAACTGACAAATAACAAATAAATTTCCTATCAGCAGCTGGAACGTCCCAGATCGACAGAAAAATACCTTTCTTTTTTTACTTTTTAGGCTTTCCTCTGCGATACGAAACAAAACTTCATTTAATTTGGTTGACCGTTTGTATAATACCAAATGCAATATTTCGTTTGATAAACATGCCCATACGAAAGTTCATTAGGCCATACGTGTTCAGGTTTATTAGAAAGTTCATTAAGCGTTCTTAATTGTTTTCCTTTCTATGACTATGTCAAAGCACGTACCTCTTTTTAAAGTTGACTTCTTTTTAGGCTCAATTATGGCGATAGAATTGAATTGTTAGAGTCCTAAATCTCTCCCTTACCCTAGATAGAAAACGTTCATACTATTTTAGACAAAAGTGAGTAAGAATTTGAAAAAGGGCGGAATTTTTTAACCCAGCTTCGCTCGATCTGTCGACTATTAGTCCACATCGATATTAAGATGACAGTGATTACCCAAACGAAGATAATCAAGATTTCTTCTTTCTATTTATTCATTTATTTTGATTTGTTTGACGATTACCTAATTCGTTAACTGTGTGACGTCAGCAATCATCTCATGATGAACCATTCTGCATCCACCACACCCAGCAATCGATAACAACAGCAACACAGCGTTTTGCTCTATCTTGCATGCCATCCAGGCTTTTTGTTGACAGACAGGTGTAGCTGAAACTACCACCATCTTGTATCTGTTCACTGGAAATATTAAATTCATGCTGATGATCATCTCAATTTGTTTTCTTTTCTTGAATCAACGTTTGATCGGAGTTTATCAAGCCGTAAAATCATTTCGTATTCAATTTTCATCTATTGTCTAGCGAATCAATATTTTACGTTGTTTCACTCAGGTGAAATACGCAGAAATGTAGAAGATATCAACTGCAACTTCATATTAACGATCCCTATTCGTCCTGTGTCTTTAAATTCGCATTGCATCAATCAATCAGTTTCCAATAAGCAACAGTTATCTTCAATCATCTACATGTGCATTTTACATTAGGTATTGTGTGTTTTTGATGATCACTGGGTATATCATGATTCATCAAGTGCTTTGACAGAGGAATTTATCTCCTTTTTAGGTTATGGTTTGGGGAGATTATGGAAAATTAGAGCGGAAAGTATTTATGGGCGTTTGTCAAATTTTGCTTGATGACCTTGATCTTAGTCAGCTTGCTATTGGCTGGTACAAGTTGTTCACGACTGCCTCACTTTGTGACCCACCGCCTACTGAAAGTCTCTCGCGAAAGGACAGTGATCGGGAGGACTATTAGATTTGATTGGCTGGATTCCTGTCCATGCACTGGATGATTATTGAATTTGATTGGCTAGGCTTCTGACATTGATTGCAGGATTACTGAATTTTGACTGGCTCGATTCAATTTGATTGACAAGGGTCTTTATGGCCTCGCACGTAAAGACCAGTTCGGTCAGCATGGAAGCCCAAGAATGACTTCAGTGACTTGACATAGTTCTTTAGTCTAGCTTTTTCAGTAATTGAGAATTTCTAGGTTGGTCTCCAGCTTTATTCACTAATAAGAATATCCTCACCATCTACCCCGTGAAACTAACCCTTGTCACATGAAACAGTTTTGGAATTTTTGTCTGCAGCATACATTCCCCTATCCTTCCCAATAGTGCTGCTACATACAAACTTGCTCTAAAACACAGTATTGTTTTATTAATTGTTATTAAGTATTAAGTGTTATTAAGTGTAAATTCAGTGCCATTTGATATGGGCGTTGTTTGAATGTTTTTATAGGCAAGCTACATTTTACAGTGATGCCAACCAGCCTTAAATTTCCCTTTTGCTTTTACTCAATTTGCAGTATGAAACACTTGTTATTGAAGTTAAATTTATAGCTCTGAAAATTGCATAGTAGGACCTTGGAGGCTGAAGTTTTTAATCACAAAATCTTTGAGCCTTTTTCTTTACGTCTGATTGAAAGCATTGCCGCAAAGTAGTTATATGCTATAGACTTTATGACTATAATAATGCTAGTTTTTTAGGAGTTTGATTAATTTTTTTATCTCACAAGCACAAGCAAATAGATATGTGATTTTGGGATCTTAACTGTAGTTATTATTTTTGCTTCACCTTTTATTTTTCATTTCATTGCCTTGCTAAGCTTGTACCCCTAAATGAGGCAATTTTATGATTTAGTAGCAGACACCGAACAATGCTTTAATAATCTAACGCAGCTCTGTTTGCAGTTAATATCAGGCTGTGAAACATCATATCATAATTTTATTTTCCCACTAAGAGACGCGTATGCCTCAAGACTTGGGTAAAGCTATCTTTCTCATGATTTTTACCCATTCTCAGTGCAATCGAGACTATCTTCTGTATAATCAACTTCTGTAGAATTAATTTTTTTATTGGACGCACGAAACATCGTTAGTAGGTGATCCTCTATGCACTTTTTCAAAAGAAATTTATTAAGATTTTATGATTATTTGGTTTGTCAGAATACGGGAATAACTCATTTTGCCTTTTATAATTCTCAATTTATCATTATTTAATTTACCATTAATGACAATATGTTTTAACAGAAGGTTTCCTCGAATGTCACTTCACTTAAAGCCTTCTTGTAGTTGTAGGCAATAGGGATTTGAAACCTCTTTGCTGTTCATTTTGTCACAGTAACGGATCTGTTGTCTAGGTTACTTGCAGCCATTGTTATGCATTTATATTTCTTCTGTGACATATGCTTGTTATATTTAATCTCATTCGAATCGAGGAAAATGTACCACAAATTTATTGAATTTCCTGTTGACAACCATGTTTGCTGTGTTTTTTTGTAAATAACTCTCTATTGTCTTATCTGGTTTATATTAACTACACTTGCTAAATGAATTCTTAATTAAAAATATAAACGTTGCTCTTTTTTCAATACATGGGGAAATAAGTAACCCTTGCATGCATTTGTTAACTAGAGCAAAAGAGTTTAAAACGTACGTTTGAAGTTTTTGGAAGTGAAAGTCAATATCTTCACTCCCGTTTTTAAATGTGAGTTATGATTTTGACATGAAAATTTCAGTTTTAGCAAATCAGTCCTTTTAAATGGTTTGCTGAGACACTGCTTCAAGAAAGTCTCTAACGCAATGAATTTGGCACTCAGGTCACAAACTAAGTGTTTTTCGCGAATATCTAGCTTAGAATTTGATCGTACTTCCAACAAAACTGGGAGCTGATTTTGTAGAACCTTGGAATTTTTTTCCTCGTCCATTGGATTTTAGGAGGTTGTCCAATGGCGAATATTAAGAGGGGGGCAGAGGGCGATCGCCCCTCATCAATCTTCGAACAAATTTTGTCAAAACTTTTATAAGACCCAACAAAGAATTGGTCTGAATATATTGTGAAAAAATGACGCATCTAGGCATGATCTGTTGCGTAGCATTTTACCTTTTCTCTCTAGAATGACACTATATCTTATATTTGACAGGAGCAGTAGAATGCGAAAATTAAAATCACAGTATGATTATAATTTAAAATGTTGAAAATTGATTCATATCAGCTGAACATCGCTATTGCATTGTGGGTCTCATCTGCCAACTTGATCCAGTCTTTGCTGCTGATTTTTGTATTAAGAAATCAAAGGCTAAATACAATCTCCCGAAATTAAAAAAGGAAACGAAGTGTCCTCTATTACTAAATTTCAGAATAATTCTGTTTTGATAAATATATTGTAGCAGGCATTTCATGTTAGCAATGCATTAATGCAAAGGAACTAACTGTCTAAAGTGTTTAGAGAAAACATTTTGATAATTTTTTTGTGTTTTTATGTTATAGCAGCAAAAATTGTAAAATGCCAAGCCAATACAATGTCATACCTTATCTTAATGAAAATAACTGTCGTAAATTAGCTAAAATTCTTCGCACAAACAAGCAAAAATTCCTCGCTACACCAATGAAGTTCTCTAGTCGTTATAAACGACATCTTTGTTCAAAACCCTCTCGTCCAAGAAGCACTATATCTTAATAATTCTATATGCCTGCTTTAAGAACCAAACTAACTTGTGTGCGATGTGCGATGCTTTTTCATTAGGTAGAAAGCAGTCCGATTAGAGAAAATTCAGTGACTGGATTTCATCATAACAATGATTGCCACTGCTGCCACGCTCGACTTATCGTTTCTCCCTACTGCGCAGAAGATTTCTACCTACTTCCACCTACGCGTATCAGCGTGGATTCTCCCCTCAAATCCCTACATTTTTAAAAATCTCCTTACGTCTTTTCTCACGTCCACCCATGCTTCTAAGAACAGCTTTCAGCAAAAGTCTTTTCTAAAAAGCCATAAAGATCGAGGACCAAAAAAATTATTCAACTATGAAAAGTAATGCTTTTGTAAGATATTACTCTGACGTAAAATATGGTTTCGCGTTTTTTGCGGAATATCTTTTCATAACTACTTCTTGAATTTGCATGAAAAGTCAGTGGAAACTGATATCCAGAAAATGATATTCCAGAAAACTAACTACTTCTCTTGATTCATCCCGTAGGCTTTCCCTACAACCTTAAAATTTCTGAAATCCTCATAGATATTCCTAACTCTATGGAAATCCTGGACCTTATTTGAAACGAGGTTGGTGTGGGTGGGAGAGAGGATAGGAAAAAAGGACGAACAGTCATGGCGGAACCCAAAGAACCACTGAAGAAGACTTTTATATGCTACTATGCTCAAGACCATCCAGGATTTCGGTTACCTGTGAGTACTTTAAATTCCAATATTTCCTAAATCCTCTTTTTGATTGCATATACCAGCTTCCATACATTTTGCCGGCAAAGGGCAGCATTGTTTTATGGGGCGAATAATGACATAATTAATCTCCTATTTTTCTTTCCTTCTTTGTATGCTGGCTTTAGCTTACCAATTTTCCATGTGCATTGGATTTTTTATGTGAATCGTTTACTCGTAAGATATGTCGAATTACCCCTAGGAGGTTTTCTATCAAATGTTTTTTAGTAAGGATTTAGGGAAATGGCAGAGGTCTGTTCTAACAAATCGAAATTATGTCAATTTTTAGAAGGAAAAAATCCATCATTAATTTGACAAGATTTGAATCCTAAACAAATGATCCATACTTTATTTAAATAAGATTCCTTTTTTCCAACTACAACTACCAATAATATTGAAGGCATTTGACATGCACAGCAAATCCAAAAGAACTTAATCTAGCTCAGAGCACGGGGCACAAGAAAGGAATTGGAAACTGCTCATGTCAAACCACTGCACACTGCTCTAGGATTTCACTGATTTGCAGAAAGGTGGAAACTGTTCACATGCTTTTTTCTGTGTGCAATTGTAAAGCCACTTTTACCTTGTGTCAAATGCCTTTAATGAAAAGCATAATTGGCCCATATGAGACTGGAAAATTTCTTTTTGTATGGACAAATTTACTTTAAAAATTTGAGACTGTGCCTGAAATAATACATTCTAAGCTATTTTTAGAGTTAATATTGTTCAGTGTTATTATCTAGGGATTTTGCATGGCCAGTATGCAAAAGCATGCAGATATTTATGTGGGCAATAAATTTTGTGACACGCAGCAAAGTTCCCAGTCTTAGGCCCATATAGTTGACAACTAACAGCAATTGGAAAAAGTGACATTTCAAGGGACATAACAATTAAATGAAATAACCCATGCTGAGAGAGTAGTTAAACAGCTGCCTGATGAACAGGGCAAGCATGAGACTCAGAGTTGTACTTTTAGAACCACCATGTTCCAAATTGTGGCTCCATTTGGAGCAGCAACTTAGTATAAAGGGCAGTAATATTCTTTACTTGAATCTCATCATGCCAATTGAGTAGTTGAAACTCAGAGTTGCAAGACTAAATATGATTTTATTCCTATGTTTAATCCACCCAATCAAATTATACAGTAAAGATACATTGCAATCTAATCTAGCTTAAATTATATAGTTATCTTGGTAGGAAACTTAGCATCAAGGAAGGTAACATTAATAATTCAAATTTTAACCAAATTCAAGTTTTTCTTTCTTCAAATTGTTGTAGGAGTTGCATTCAGTGTGTTCATGTACAAACACTAATGTCGAATTTGGCTCAAATACACAAGTTTATCATAATGAGGTAATTTATTTTTCTCTTCATTTCTTTTCTAATGCCCACACTCTGACAATATCAAACATAAAAGGTTTTTACAAATGATGAACATGATAGGTTTTTGTATAAAGTGAAATGCAAAAATCAATATGGGCCCTTTCTGGTACAAATTATGAAATAGTAACACTTTTTTATACATACTAATAATTTTTCTCACTATAGCCTTTAAGCTTTAGTAATTTATAACAATAAAACTGTTATCTTAAAAACATTTGTAAGTCTTTCAGAGTGGAAGTATTAATGGTTTTTTGTCAAAGTGCATCTTTTTCGTTATTAACATGAAATTTGCAGACATAAATGGTAGACATTTTATGTTCAATCTTGAAATACTCAGTGTGAATTTGATATTTCTGTGGTATATGTACTGTTGATATTTTTATTTTTGTCAATTCAAAGAAACCTTACCTTGAAATCAAAGCATTTGATGAATCAATACAAGCAATAGCTGGAAGATCAATATTGATAAGGTAAATGATACTGAGTGTTATAACGTATTTTGTTGAACAAGCTCATTGTCATCATGCAGCTGTCACTTACGTTTTCCCAGAGGCAGAGTTAGACATATGGAAAGTTGTAATGATTGTTTGTTTGCATTGATTTGCTTGTTTCTGCCTTTTCTAATAAATTTTATAGTTGTACCTCTCCTCCAATCATTCTTTAAGCATTTTAAACATTAAGTTTTTAAGCATGTTTTCTGATCAAATTTCTTTCAGGTATTGCATAGAGCTTTGGGCACATGGGTGCTGCTTGGAAGAAATATTGAATGAGAAAAATACATTGGCATCATGGACAAAGGTACGTCTCATTTTTTCAACTTATTTCATTTAAAAATAAAAGCATATTCTATACTTTTATAAACAAAATTTCTGCACGTTTTCAGCAACAAATTGTAGAAAGGGAATGCAGTACAAGTACATAAATAACTTTTAGTTCTATTATTGTCAAACCTGCCCATTCTCAGAACTTTAAGGTAAATTAACTTCAAAATGGTTTTGAAAAGCAACCATTACAGTTTTAAATCGATCTATCTACAAACAGAAAACTTCCATTGTCTAGACAAAAGAAGTTTGTTTTCTTGCTTGGACTCCAGTGGTAATTTTTCTACAGGCTTGTAGCACTGATTGAACAATAATATGTACCTGTCTTGTGCTTGCATTTTTCTGATTGGCTTATTTTGATCCACAACTGGGTATATATTTTCCATCATATTCTTTCATACCCTGATTCTGACGTTTTATACTCTGAAGAGTGTCAGATGAAAAAGCTTTTAGTTAATATGTTGTAAAATGTTTCCTTTTTTCAAAGCCATTTTCAAGTTCTGTATCACCAAAAAATTACACCTCCTGTGGAATTCTAGTTGTATAAGAATGGATAATAAGTAGTACAGTATGGCTGTTTTTATGGCTGTAAGTATTTTTCAATGGCCAAAGATCCTAAATCTTTCTGTTTATTTTGTAGCAACATTTCACCAATGAAAGTATAACATTCAAAATTGATGTTGAAGCATTTGGAAAGAAGTTGAGCATAGACAAAAAGAGAGAGTGGATTGATGTATATATTTATTTAGAATCTTTGTAAAATATAACTCTGTATTATGGGTTGTACCTCTGGATGGATATTTCTGCTAAAAGTAAAACATAATAATTCTGGAACATTGCAATGTTCTTGTTTTAAACATTTAAATTACTATGTTTATCATATCTTTATTTGCAACAATATATTTGTTTAAAACAGCATGATTAAACATAGTATAGAGCTAGGTAGAAAACTATTGGTACCCATTGACAAACCCTATTGCAACTATTGTATTGTCTACTCTGTGGTTTTAATTATCAGATGCTCTTTTTCAAAGTTTATACTCATTCTCTTTGCTGCTTCTACTCAGTAAATATCATTCTAGAAAACAATAGTAAATCTTGTTTGGGACACTTAAGTTAAGACTTCAGTACCTTCTCATTGTTGCTTTCTATACGTGCCTAGAAAGCTCTCCTGTTAATAATTTATTGCTAGCTTACTGTTGCTTTTTGTTTCAGTCACTTGGAGATATTTTGGATATTCCTGGAAAAGTGAAGCTGAACGATCCATCGCATACACTTTGTTTACTGTTAGATTTCCATTCCAGTAATGCAGAGAGTGAAGGTTGCAAGTATATATACTTTGGCAGGCTGGTAGGTTAATGATTTTTTCTCACTAAACATATGTCTGTAGAATCTTGTCCTCAATTACTAAATTTCAAAATAATTCTGTTTTGATAAATATATTGTAGCAGGCGTTTCATGTTAGCAATGCATTAATGCCAAGGAACTAACTGTTTAAAAGTGTTTAGAGAGAGCATTTTGATATTTTGTTTGTGTTTTTTTATGTTATAGCAGCAAAAATTGTAAAATGCCGAGCCCACACAATGTCAGACATTATCTTAATGAAAATAAATCAAAATAACTATTTAACAGAGTATTGTTTCTGGAAGACTTCAAGCCTAAACGTATGCATAAGAACATAAAATCTATATTTTATAGACAATCACGATTTAGTTTAGGAAGAAAGGTTATTTCGCTAGTTTACAAAAGCAAGGAAAATGCGAAATAGGTCATTGATGCAAAGATTGGAATTGAATTTCGAAATATACTTCGTCTCTAAAATCTCGTACTTGAATGCATGCCAGTTGTGCGTGCAACAATAACCATCGGATTTTCAAACCCATGTACATCTCCCACGTGTAGACAGCCCTCAAAAGAAACTCTTGGGCCATACATAATTTGAAAGACAAGCGAAAACTATTTTTCTCTCTAAGCAAGAAAATGCCAACAAGATGCGTATCTTCTGGTTTGTTTGGGAACTTGCAGCACCCGTATTTCCACCATTGCATATTAATGTTTACGGTTTATTTTGTCAGTAGGTCGCAAGAGGCCAGCGAGAACTGCTTCATAAATTCTCTTTGAAAACGAGGTACTTCATTGGTAATACTTCGATGGACCCGCAGCTTTCTTTCTTAATGGCCAATCAAGGCAAGGTTAGTTCCGCAAAATGTGGTACCTTCATTAGTCGTTCTCTACTTTACCGTGATCGTTATCCATCACTGCAGTCATGCATTGCTTAAACTCGCCTTTTCATTGTAATTTGTTTCTTTTTGTAAAAAAGTGAACAGATTTGTGGACTGAGATCTCAAACTCATCGTGGTTCCGTTATTTTTACTGTTGTTGTTTCATTTCAGGTACAGCGAGGCTCGTTTGTTTTTGATCCATTCGTTGGCACTGGTAAGTCCTTATATGTAATTGCTGACAAAGACAAGTGTATAAAACGCAGACTGTATCTCAACTATCTATATGTTATGGCACATAACTAAACGGTGCATTTTTCTTGGCAGTTTGTATGTAATATATACAAAAGGCCTTTTGAAACCTTGAGTATGTATACTAATTCTAATGTATTTTTATATAATGTAATATACTAATGTAAGTATATATTCTTAAACTTACATTTCGCTCTTATAATAATATTTTCCTGCGCACGTCATAAAAAACTGTATTCTTTATCATAGAATGAGTATTATAAAGGATGTAGTGGCCGGGGGCATTAGGCTATAGCCCAGAGTTGCAAAATGTTTTACATTCTGGGAGCCTGTTAATTAAAAAATCCACTGGATGATATTTTTGTATCAAACTGTTCGACAAATAGTCGACACAGAGAACCAATTTAGAGTTCTCAATTTTCTTTAAATAGAAATCAGGTCTTTGTGTATCTATGTTCCACTTATGCTAAATTTTCTCAGTGTGTTAATTTTTTAAATATATATATAGTATTCAATAATATATGCAGTTTTCATTTCTTTTTTGCTTTTGGCTACCTTAATTGTTTAGTATCTTTATTTCAAGACACTTGATAGAAGTTATTTTTTCAACACGTCTATTCAGATGCAGATTAACAATTAAAATTGAAATCCGATTTTGCGTAGTACTATTCACAAAGCTCTGCGTGATCTCCGCCCGAATGCAAACTTTTTGCTCTACTTTAAGATGCTTGAGTTTTTGATTTGTTTGTAGGAAGCATACTTTCATGCTGTGCGCAGTTCGGTGCCTGCACTGCTGGCAGCGACATTGATAAAGCAATCATTTATGGTCGAGGTATGTTTTCTTTTCCTCCAACCTTGCAACAAATTTGTTTTTCAAGAAACATTTTGCTGTTTGAATACTTTATTATTGTTGTGCTACTTTCATCTGGAATTGTAGCGATGTCTTAGATATCCTCCCTTTGTTTCAATTTTTATTTCATAAAGTCTTTACTTTTTATCATAATAATTTTTCCAATAGACTTAAGATGAAATACTGCTTTATCTCTGCTTTTGTAACTTTTTCAGATCCCACAAGAAAAATGTTAGATATTCTTACTTTTAATGTTAGATATGTTAGACATTTTTCTTTCTTATGTTTGCTACAAGTGATTCTGCATCAAGTATGACTTGGGCTTGTTAAATATCGTTCATAATGGCCTGAAGTTTATTTATTTCTGTGTATTACTTGGCCAGATTTATCAATATTCACATGAGTACATTTTTTAAGGAACGTGTTATTGTTACATCAATCAGTTTCTCATAAATACCATCCAAAGAGGGCTCCTTGCTAGTATTTAACAGAAGTCGATACATCTTTGAGTTAACATGCTTTTAGTTACCAAACCGTGAACGATATATGTAGACCTTTTGAAGATTAACTATTGCTGTATTACCCATAGATGTAGGGCTTTTTGAGTTCTGTGACTTGAGTGAGGAGAGTCGCCAGCTCTCTGTAATTCTAGGCGTAGGAATCACGAGGTGTTTTCACATCGACAGGAATGACCAGGGCACTGCTCGATAAGCATAGCTTTTTAGTGTTCTAAAAAGTGCTTTGGATGCTGGGTAGCAACAATTAAAAATGCTTCTGAGCATCGCCATCTCAAGATATGAAAATGATTAGTGTTAGATCTACTATAAATTACAATTATAAATTATAATAAATTACTACTACTATAAAATCATATTTATAAACGTATTTTTCCAATTTTTCATACATCAGTACAAGAATTTAAATGACACAATCTGCTTATTAGTTTAATTGCTAAAGAGAGTTAAAAGTTTCTTTTTGTAACAGGGAAGTCTTCGAGAGCTGGTCAAAATTCATGGAGAGGTTTGATGACCCGTTTTGTTGCTAAATGCTTCTTTTAACAATTTCATTGAGCAGATAGATTTTTGCAGCAACCTTAATTGATAGAAATATGCTAATGATTTGATAGGTTTCTGAAACATATTTAGTGTACTTATTGGTATTTCAACCGTCTTTCAATTTTTCATCATCTTTGATGATTTGATTGATATAAATAACCTGGAATATAGCTATATCTTTATGATTAACGGTTTTAACGTGTACATTATATAATAGAATCTCCTTTCAATGTATAATAGACACAGATGGGTTTTCAATGCAATGTTCAGATGGGACACTTATGAATGAAACGATGTTTTGGAATTTTCAAATAATCTACGCATGATCCTTTCAGTCTACCCGTTTCGATATGCGTTCTTAGTTAGTGGCTGCAGCGGTATGATATAAAAGAAGCCGAAAAGCACTTCCTTGCACAGCAAATCTCCTACTTCCATAAGAAGTGAGGCTGAGAGCGACCCTTTTGTATCTAAAATTTACTACAATTTTCATACGTCTGCATTGACCATTAGCTTTTGTGATATCTCGTTTAAAAAACCCAAGCATTATCACCTTTATAGAAGGTGAAAACACACCCTAAAATTTCAGTTGCTTTTAGCACTTAAGAATTTCTTGGCCTTGTTTTCAGCACGTGATGAAATCATTCGAACAAATTACAAGCAATATTCGTTAGTAGACAAATACGTTGACGTCATGGCTGCGGATATTACCAATTTTCCAATGCGGACATGCGAATTCTTCGATGCTGTTATAACTGATCGTAAGTTAGCATAATCGAACCCAAAAAATTTTGCTTTGAAAAATCATTATTTATTCCTATGTGCTCCTTTTTTGAATTTCAATTAAATTTTTGTTGCCAAATGCGATATGATCATACGAAAATCTGAACTATTTCCCTAAAGTTAGCTCATTGCAACCTGTACGTCATTTCGTTGACTACAGACAGATTTTTTCGAACTCCTAAATGAAATTGTCCTAATTCATTTTTTAAGTAAATCCTTGGACCTCATGCTCTTTAAACGTTTGTCAATTTAACGTTTTTTTCGATAAGAAACCATTTTATCATAAGTTCTTTGCCTTTGCCTGTTTGTTTTAATACGAGAATTGATTCAGATTTCTTTGTGTGTTCCACAAAATTTAGTGAAACATTTGACTGATCACCTTAAAGACCAAATGCGTAGTCTCCACTAGGAATAAAGCACTTCGTTATCCTTTCAACTACTTTATTAAACCCCTTTTTGCAGCACCATATGGCATCAGGGAAGGTGGAAGAAAGCTTAATTCGAATGATGGTTGCATCGACGATGAGAGTAAAGATGATGTGTAGGTCACTCTTTCACCCATTTTTACAATTGGGGGGGGGGGGGACTGCAGGAAGATAAATGTATCTGCTATTTCTTGTTTAAGCCTGGTATGGTATGACAACATATGACAACAGAACGCTGTTGTGAGGATATTAAAGCACTGCAAGATAACAATTTTAGCCCATCTGCTGAGAATAAGTCACCTTTTAGCTACCTGTCTATTCTGAAGTAGAATCGTTTTCAATTCTGAGAATGATATTTTATAATTTTTTTTGTTAGGTTTATTAAGATACGAGTGAAGAGGAATGTTTACATAATATACAATGTCTCCAATAAACTTTAAATATAAGAAGCTAAGACGCAGATAGATGGGAAAATTTCATGAAAATATTTGAACAATTTTTGGAAGTTTTAATTAGACTTTCACACTGTTGTCTTTTGATAATAAGTTACTCTTTTCTTTTATCATTATTTATTATGTTTATCTATTAGTGACAATTGAATTATAGTAAGCATAATATATACAAAGCTTATGAAGCTATATCGAGTCAAGAAACCAACAAATGGAAAAAAACGTATTTATTTGCAAATGGATGATGAAATAGGAAAAGTAAAATACTTTGCGTGAATAGTACAAATTGGTTAAGTTGAAGTGATGTAGAAGTAATGTAGAAGTGATGTAGACTGATGTAGAAGTGATGTAGAAGTGATGTAGAAGTGATGTAGAAGTGATGTAGACTGATGTAGAAGTAATGTAGAAGTGATGTAGAAGTGATGTAGAAGTGATGTAGACTGATGTAGAAGTAATGTAGAAGTGATGTAGAAGTGATGTAGAAGTGATGTAGACTGATGTAGAAGTAATGTAGAAGTGATGTAGAAGTGATGTAGAAGTGATGTAGACTGATGTAGAAGTAATGTAGAAGTGATGTAGAAGTGATGCAGAAGTGATGTAGAAGTGATGTAGAAGTGATGTAGAAGTAATGTAGAAGTGATGTAGAAGTGATTCTACCAACTTGACTATTTCATTGTTTGCATCCCTAGAAAGAGCTGTGTGTTTCCGTCAAGTTCACTGCATCAGCTGTCAGATATAATACTGGATCTCATTCATTTCGCTGCAATATATTTACGAGCAGGAGGAAGACTTGTCTACTGGCTGCCTGTTTTTGCACCCAGGTAGTGTCTGCTTGTTTATTTATTGTTGTTTGCTTTTCTGGTTTACATAAACATGAAATCAAATTTTTAGATGTCGGGTGAAATGGAATTATTAAATTGCTTAATAACACTGTTTAGTGACTTAAAATAAGTCCCATTGAACTTGTTTTTATCAGCTGATCTTGATGCTAATCCTTTAACAATCATATTTCATAGCAAATCATAACCAATTACATGAAATCTATATGCTAAGGAAACCATTTTAGTTGTTCGGGCTCCTCGTTACCCCCATTTTTTCCCAGTGCATTTTAACCCTCTTTTAAGCTTGAGTGATTTTCTGTTTTAGTTACGACGCCAAGCTTGTTCCCAGCCATCCTTGTTTCACAGTCATTTCAAATACAGAACAGAAGCTGACAAGCGTGATATCAAGACGTTTGATAACCATGGAAAAGACCTCTTCATTAAAGGTTACATAATTTTTGCATACTTTTAGGCATTGTTGACCAATGAATTCACTGATGTTTCCTTGTTTGTGATGGGGTCACAATATGATCATATAACATGATATCATTTATTACGCAAGTTGATATACAGGGTCAAGTACTTCAGTGTTGCCAATAATTTTGGTGATATTTAGAACCTGATTTTAAAAGAACAACCTGTGATTCACATAGACTTCGCTGCCCATTATCGCTTATGTTTGTTCATCTATGCTATGTTAAGCCTTAACCCAACTAAAGTGGGTTCCATTTGCCATTCAGTTAAAATTCCTAAACCGCGAGTAAGTTATTTGAACAGGTAAAAAATATATTCTTATATTTGATAAAATCAAATCTGAAAATGGCTGTTATACCAAAACTTTGTTTTTTGTTACAATACAATTATTTTACTTTCCCTTCTTGCAGATTACAGACTTAAAGCCGTTAAAGGAAGGGAACGAAGAATGGAAACGTGCACATAATCAGTTTCGAGATAATTACTTTAAAGGTAAATCTGAGAAGCATAGCTGATACGTGAATACTTTTCACGGCCAGCTGTGGTAGGTCATGCTATGTTCTGTACACGTCATAGAGTGCAGAAATATCAATCTGAGGACATTGGCCGCGCATTCAAAGGCTACAGTGTATCTATAATTGGGAATTTGGTGACAAATAAGGGAATTTATAGTTTGTAGTAGACCAAGATTAATCATTCCCAGGTTGAATTGGAACTTGGCCATCGAGTATTTTGCATCATTTCTTCTTAAAAACACCTCGAGTTATATTCCAAACCAAAAAACCCTTTTTCAAGTGAAAGGCTTACACGTAGATTTTGTTTCTCTCCTGTATCCTTTGTATGCCTTTAATGCTCTATGACTTTATATGTCTTTAAGATTTTGCTTTCTGAACGGTGCAGTTTCTAGAGATTTTGTTTGATATAGCTAGTAGAGCTTAGAAAAAATATGTTGTTGTGGTTCCAAATCTAGGAAGACTATTTGCGAAAAAGATTTGATTGGCTTTTAGTGAGGTCCCCTTCTTGGGAATCCTCAAGAAAATCAACCAATCACTTTACTAGAATCTACCGTCAAAGGCCAATTCCGGGAACAGGATGCAGGAATTAGTATATTTCAAATAGCCAAAAGCAAAGAAAGAACGTATCTGGAATAAGCTCGTTTGATCTAAGCATCTCTGTGGGTCTATGCGAGTAATAAAATGTAGCAAGGTTTCACTTTTTTAGCAACCTTAGAAAGGTTGTTGATATCCCACTTGCTCCACACGAATGTTATTTGCGAAAAATGGAACTTAATTAGCAATGAAAATATTTCAATTTTGTTATTGTTCCTCAAACTATACGTATAATTTTACTATTTATGGTTACGCAAAATTTTCGCATTTTTGGCCATCTTTATTCCCTTAATTGTTGGTAAGGACAATGTGTTACAGAAGGTGTGAAATTGACCGACAGACAAAAGCAATTGTTTGGATTAGCTAACGGAGAGTCTGCTCACAAGAACTGCCAATATTTGAACGTTTTTCGTTTGAAACAACGTGCCTATTTACTCTTCTTATTTCGGAACATATGCAGCATATTTCAGTAAAATTGTGCTTTTATTATGACCTTGCTAAGCAACTGACTATTTGCGATCGATCCTGACTTTTATCACCTCAAAAAAGATTTCTTGGTTTTTATTTATGACTTTGTTTGCAACCGTTGAAAGCAATCTTATCCCTAGTTGCTGCCATCGAGCTTTGAAAACAATACACCCAAACCTTTATTTCTGCAAAGATATCACTGGATTTTTCTAATTAACGCCCTTATTCAAGCAGAAAGCTTAAATGAATAGATGCCGCACCAGAGGGGCGTTTATTGTTGGAAATACAGCAGGTGCTTTATGATGAATCAATTTAATCAAAATGAAACGCACAGTATGATTCTAACTAACCCAGTCATCACCCAAATGCCATAATGCATTGCAGCCTAGATGTAATTCCAATCCTAGGCTGATGTTGCTATTAACTTTTAGGGTTGTTTTTAAATTCAGATTTTCAACTCAAAAAGCCTTTAGCTTGACATTGAAAGAAAGTTGTACTACTTCATGTTATTTTCAAGCACTAATATAGTATATATCATAGCTGCCAAGAAAGATTATCTCTTGTAGCTTTTGCTATCAATTCTAGCTGCGGATAAAGTAGAGACACCAGACACTTTCCTTCAATAGCCTGTACTTATGAGTTATGACATACAACCAAAAATTGGGATTCGTTTCGTCTTGGATGCTTTTTGCTAACTCCCACGTTGCGCTCGGGAACAACATTATCAAGAACTTTTTATGTTTACATTTGTTTACATTCATTTGTCTCCACTCCAAAATTTAGTGGCAATATCTATAGTTTTTCTTCTTTGCTTTTAAAAATATTTCATTCCTCAAACGTGAACCAATTGATAAACAATGTTGCTGTGTTTTATCTATATTTTGCCAAGCATGTTCTGTTCAAAGTAATTCTTTTAGCAGTTAATCAGCAAACTGTATTTTGCCAGCTCTGTTTGTGCTTTTGATTCATGTTTGTTCACATCTTTCAGTGATTTTACACCGCTCATTATCCCTATAATTCTTCCGGCAAATTTGATCTCGAATGTTATTGCTGGCTTTTTACCTCGCTCTTGATAATTTTTTCAAATCACTCATCTGAAGACAAAAGGTATTTGCTATTGGTATTTCAATTCCATATCTTTTCGATCAAATGTAATAGTTTTTAATATCCTGTAATACGAGATTTTTCACCCTTGCAAATTGCAAATTCAAATACGCAAATTTTTACAGTAAATATTTTATCAGCTTGTGGTTTGTTTCCTTCCTCGGATTAGACCTTGCTAAATATTTCTCTTTGATTCTTTTTTAACGAAAATGTTGTATTTATCCTTACTGCCTGGTTTTGTAATAGAAAACCAATGCCTGGCGGAAACCGTGACAGGCCACGTCAAGTATTTCTTTACTAAACTCGGAGGTTGTTGTTTTACTTTCGATTCATGGTTCAAAATAACTGAAACGACCCTTTCGTCTAGGTCAGTTGCAAAATGAATTGATTTCGTCTCACTTGTTGAGCATCACTGTCAGAATTCTCAGCCGCTCTTTCCAGAGACTTAAGAAATGAGGGTGGATGGGGGCGGGGCTCAAGGGCATTGACTCCCTCCCCCCCTAAGTTTTGGAAATGCCTTTGCTAAAAAGAGTACGTGTCCCTTTTAAGAATGATTTTTCTCCCACTGTTACCCAACCTTCTTTTTGCCTAAACGTATTAAGTGACTGATGACCATGATAAGTACCCTTTTAACGGTCGTGCCTTTTCAAGTTACAAATGCTTCCTACGTTCCTGGCTCCTGTTTCAACTGACCATAGTCTAATGAATGTTCTTTTAGACCTTTGCTTTGAAATCTATCCTAGTTGTAGGAATTCAAAGATAGCTGGGGTGATTAACATTCTAAGAATAAAATTACCCTTCTAGCTATGATTCAGCCAAACTTTCATGATTTTGAAAAGGAGGAAGTTTGTTTTTCTCCGGCCCCAAAGCCAGCCGTATAATATCGCTTCAAGTGATATCACTTTTTTACCGTTAAAAAGTGCTTTACAGTGAAACACTTTGTTTTATGAATTGTGTAAAATTCATCATTCTCACAAATATGTAGCTACGGTGTATTCAACGTCTTATCTTGCTACGTCATTCATACGTCAGCATTGCGTCATTGCTCATTATTTCAGTCCCCACTTTTAATAGAACTCGTTTTCAATGAATGAACAAACCTAAAAGAGGCCAAAAAGGGGTATCGACGTTATGAGTTCCATTCTATGTATCAGACAACATTTGGTTTTTTGGCAATTTGAGATGCTTTTTAGTTGTCTTGAACAATTCTTCAAAGTTTATACAACAGTTAATTCTTAAAAATTTTTGAGAGTTTCAAGATAAAAATGATTCCTTGACTCTAAATCTGTTTTTCAGGATCTACCACCCTTGCAAGTAGTCTGAAAATACTTGAGAGATCATCTCATTGTCAGTCATAACTAAGGCGGATAATTTTTCGGTCATATCCAGTTCAATGTGTTGTCTTGAATGGTTTTATTTCTAGCCTGGCATAATTCATATTATTGTATCATGGATAACTATTTAAGGAGGGAAATTAAAATGGACGTCGCTTTATCTTGATGATTTTGAAAAACAACAACAAAATTTATTCTTGTTGGAAAATTTATTGTCTGTTAGCATGTAATATTGTCCAACTGCGATTGAATTAACTGAAGATGTATTGAGAAATTCGTTTTCTCGTCCCTTCATATGCGACACCCAGCTCTTGTATCTTAGCTGCCAACCCACAACATTGAATCCATGACAAACAACTGCATTTAGTCCAGGTGAACCAAACCCGATTTTTTCGAACAAAACATCTGTTTTATTGATTCCACTAGACGTCGCTATTGTCTGGCATGATTTTATCTTTGGAAGAGCTCGAGTAATCGAATTCATTTGATTAGTTTCGAGTACAATCAACTTGGACAACTTATAATTTAGGATCAAGATGCGTCAATAGTCTATGCGATTACTTGACAACTGCACATTAACTGGGTATTCTGAAGCCATTGTATGAATACTTATAATTCTTGGCAGGTGGTATTGAGATTTGAACAACCCCTCCCCCTAAAAGGATTTTTGATTTGTTAAATTCGTTCCTATTTTGAACACCAAGACAATTGGTAGATAGGGGTGTACATGCAAGTTACTCTACAGTTCTTGGGTTTCAAGTCTCAGTCTCAACAGCGTAGGGCAGATTGTAAAGCTAATTTTCGAGTCTATTAGCCCCTTAGTTTTATCTATGACCATGACAACAAACCAAAACTCAGATTTTGGGATAGTTGGAGGGTCATGGCAGCCAACCTTCTGATAGAAGATGGTACCTGATGATTATGATTATGATTAGATAATAAGAGCTCTTTGACGTTTTTAGCTGGCTTTGCAAGCTTCGTATGCTCTAAAACAAACGATAGCAAAGACCAATTTCTGCAGACAGCAAATACTGCTGATCACTTACAGTTTTGCTAACTTCCATCAAAGAGAACAACCAAAAAGGCGATTCATTCTACTACAGAATATGAATAAAGGCAGACTTACAAAGGAAATTGACCATACGAACCCTGTATTTTCTACTTCGCTAATCAATTATAAACAGTTATGGGTCGAAACAGGCCAATCATTAACATAAGGGCAGAATTCCTCCCCCCCCCCCCATCTAGGCAAGGGTCCCTGATTGGACACCCTTAACAGTTCTGTGCTCGCGTTTCTGACTGGCCTTTTTCGATCTATAACTGGGTTTATATACTTGGCTGAATTGTCAATACATAAACAATGAGATCCCAACATGTTGAGCCCCTCTATATACAGAAAAAACTTCCCGAACTAAGCATCTGATCCATTCTATACAACTTAACAAATTGCTCTACCCTTTAAAAACTTGGGGATGTTATGGTATGTTGATATGATGCTTTTCAAAGTTGCTTGCATCACGGCTGGTCACCAAAATATAAACTTTTAAGGCTTTCGACGTCGAATTTTAGCTACGGAGTACAATAAACTGCCTTAATAGGATTTGATTATACTTTTGCTTGCTTTGACCATTTTGCTGTGTGTATCGAAATGTTCTCTTTTCGTGAAAATGATACTAGACAGACTTAAAAGGGGCATGAATTTTTCAAATGAGGAGGGAAGGCCAACTGCCAATCTTTAGCTAGACGGTCGTGGGTCGCTTATTAGGTTTAGATTTCTGCCCAAATCAACTGATCAAGCTCTAAATTTTCAAGCAAGTATAAGACTATTGGACAAAATTATTTGAAAAATGGCAGACTATTGCTGCAAGCCGTTGCTAATAGGCTTGGTTATAATTCAACTTAATTCTTAGAATTTCATTTTACAGCCATTCTAAAAAATTGCTTAATGACTAGCTTTCCATTTCATTCACTTGCAGTCTTTCTTTGTTTATATCTCCCATTGATATATCAGTTGCTGTTGCGTCTTCCTTCGGCGATGATATTCTGTTCTTTTCCGTATAAGCAATGTATAGTTGCGGCAGTAGAAGACAGCTCATGTATGTGAATGCACATACGTCGATTTTAAAGGCCATAACGATCGTCCTGTAAATTCCTATTACGTATTTGTACGTTGGAAAGAAGGCAACTGAAACTATGCAGTGTGCTATTGCTACAAAGTTCAGAAATTTTGCCTGACTATACGCGTGCTTCTTTCCCCTCTCACGGACTGCGATGATCGTTGCAACCAAAAGCAGCACGTGCGGATAAACGAGTAGTGTTACAGCCTGCATTGTCGTGTAATCAAATGTGCAGTCTATAGACACAATGTGTTCGCTTTTGCGCTTGTTCTCCACCATCTTGACCGGGTCCATTACGCAGCAGACTATAGTTAGCGCAAGCTGTATTATTGCTAATGCCACCATTGATGCCAAATGAGCACGCTGCAAGGAGATTCCAACTGTAAGTACTATATGCTTTTGAATCAACGTAACAAAAAGTTGCGTCCTCGCAAGTATTAGAATTGCGAAGCCGGTCTTAAGCAAGTACATTCCGCCCACCGCAATATTGCAGTAGTTATCTGAACGTTTTAGTAATAAAAGAATTCCGTATGTGAATGAGAACAACAGTTGTAACATTGAGAAAAACTCAACGTGCGCCATCCGCGTGCCCCGCGTGAGAAGATTCGTATTTTTCAGAATGCGGTAACCGGCAATGACTAATAAGCACAAGAGCATTCCAATTATATTGACAACGGTTATAGATATTCCAGCGACATCGGTCAGCTTCAAGTATGTGAAAATGTACTTCACGCATTCAGTACGCGCGGTATTAGAAATGTAATCTTCCGGACACTGGGTGCAATTCTCCGCGTTTTTCTCCGTGCTTATCGAATTTTTAAAGCAAAACTCACAACTCCAGCAACACTCTGTTCTTGCTGATATAAAGTAACCTTCTGGACAGTCATTGCTGCATGTCGATAACGGCGTCGTGTTTCCTGCCCATAACGGCCAGACAATACGGCCTAAATCTAAATTGAGTTTCTTCAAGGGATCCCATTGCCCCACCTTTACCATGCGAAGTTCATTTCCAACCTTTTGTATATTACTGATATCATAATAAGGCGATTTTGGATCTCCGCTTGCATCAAAATTAAAGGTATCACCGTTTATGTTAGTGAAGTTCACTTTGAATAGGTATTCAGTTAGCCATCTTGGGTCAAGAGACCAACCGGCCGGACATCTCACTCTACCTTTTGCATCGCTGCATTTGTCTGTAAGCAGTAGTTTCAATGCAGTCGTTATTGACTTGAAAGCATCGATTGTGTTTCCAAAAAGGCTCGTTTCTAGCTGCGTCATTTTGTCAGCCATGCTTTGGCTTGTTTCATTGGGACAGTAAACCGATGACTTTTCAAATTTGCAACCAAATCGTTGCTGCATGAACATTTTTAAAAATATATTACAATGAGAGTTATTCTCGATTTCTTTGGCGATAAATCCCCGAAGTCCTTCAACTTGGATACTTTTTGGTGCTACTTTCAATATACCAATTAGAGACTTTTCGGTCACATTCATCGGTCCATTTCCAATCATCTGAAACGCGTCACTCATCATCCAGATTCTCTCAACGTTGTTTCTCTCAGCCTTTGATAATATCAATTCAATCTGTGCATTGTAACCAAAGAATACCACTACCTTTGCGTTATCGTGTTTTGAAATTTCTTGCACTATCTCAACGGCCTTTGCTTCCATATTATCTGTCATAAACGGTATATACTCATCAGCAACGATGCAGAAGTCAAACTCTTCTCTGTATCCTTTCAATATACTAATCCCCAACTTGCCATAATTGTCATCACTGCCAATGGCATAGATGTAGTTCCATCCAAACCGTTTAAGCAGCTCTGCAATTACTTTGGCTTGGACGACATCGGAGGGAATTATCCTAAAGAACGACTTATAAAGGTCCTTTTTACTCAACAGCCTGCTTGATGCTGAAGGGCTCACGATCGGCACTTTGAACAGCCCTAACAAACTTGAGAATGGAATGGACGTGAATGACTGGTATGGTCCTACCACGGCAGTAACAGCCTTCACTTCAGCAGACTCATCCGAACATGTTCTTGATTTGCAAACAGATTCGTTTCTAAACTGAGAGACAATCTCAATGGCACTTGACATTACAGTTGGTACGCTGTTACAGCTATCATCAATATGGTATCCAAAGGAACTTGCATTGAAGAAATCTGATGTTGCGTGCACCCTCTCGATTGCAAATTGCAGCGACATCATTGAAACCAAACCATTTTGCTTTATTAACGTGCAATTTGTGCTTGTTGAACTCAGTGGCACAATTCCCTGAATTATGTAATCCCCGCGTTTTATTAAAACATTTCGAAACGTTTTTCCGTGTACTTTTGCTTGGTAATGAAAGTTCTCACATTGTGACAGGTTTCCTGATATCAAGCCTGCAGTTGCTTTTGATATAAAAAAGAAGATTAAAGCTGCATGTGATGTGAACTTCATTTTGCTGCCCAGTCGAGGCGCTTCTGCACCGATTTCACTTCATGCTGGAAGCCTGTTTCATCTGATACAGATTCCTGCGTTGATACTTCGCGGGGCACAACTCCTCATTGTATCGTCTTCAATGCAATACTCCCTAAAACACCGGTTTTTATCTCATTAAATTTTAACTAGAACTGAAGATGGATTCTAGTTGAAACAGCTTTACCACTTGTTTGCTATCGGGTTTTCATGAAATATAGACTTTTTTAATTCATTGCTACGGTAGAGTCGCTAAGCAAATAATTCGAGGACAATGAAGAGAGGGCAGGTGTCAAGTTCACATTATGCAAACGGCCTTGGAAGGATTTGCTGGTGCTTTCGTCTGCAATGCCTAGATTACCAAAACAGCACAGTGATAAAAACCACTGCTAAAAGCCCATTCACAAAACGCATTTGAATGCTAAGCCAAAAGCAATGATAGTGATAAATGAATTTCATATAGATTTATTAACAGTGTAATCTGGTGAATTGAAAACAGATTCTCTGAGATTTTATATTGTTATCATGCAAAAGCACCAACTGCTATTTAGTGGCCATAGCAAATGATAATGAACAAATTTACAAAAACAATGTTGAAATATGAACAGCATCAAGACGGCCTTTCTTTAGATTACTAATGTGGCGATTGCTGAAGGAAATACGGTAATTTTGTTCCATGGCGGTTTTTAGCCCAATTACCATAAAATTACCCCAATAATTGTTACACTATATCATATTTCTCTTAGAACTGTTTTATAAAAAGGTGCGAATGTAAGCGATTATTGAAGAAGATTACGAACGGTAATTTTGTCAGTGGCGGTTGTTAGGGGGTTCAAGGGGGCCACGAATACTGATAATGCTATTTGATGCTTTGCCTTTTCATTCCTATTGATCTTCATGTTCTAAGTTTTGTTATGACCTTCACATTGCTTTTCCCTTACATCACACAAATATTTTCCTCCCAGATCATGTTGTTTAACATCATGTGACTGCAGCTAGCGATTTCATTAACGAACCATTAACACAGCAAACAGCCTTAGCTGGTACCCGTGTATAATTGTGAAGCTTTTTACGTGAGATGGAGCTCTGATGAATCCAGATTAAACTAGTGAATGGAAAAAGTCAATATCAACTTCAAGAGCTTTACTTTATTTCCTTATCATTAAAGCAAATCTGCCAATCATAAAGAACTTGGAAACGTTTTGCTAATGGGCTTTGCTACCAAACGCAATCTGGACCCAGGTCTTCAGTAGGGCTATAAAAGAAATCAGTTAAATTTTCCTTAATAATTTTTTGGGCATACCATTACATATATTTTAGTACTGGGGTAGGCAACCTACGGCTCGCGGGGCAGAATCTGGCCTGGGAAGATTGTTGCCCGCGAGATGATAAACTTGTGTTATAATTTCTTTTGGTTGATAAAAATGATGGAAAAAATTAAATGGAGCATACTGATTAAAACGAGATTATCTTCGTCAAACCTGGGAAGGAAAGAATTTTGCTTGGCGCACTAAAAGCAGCTTAGCACCTATTGTTAGAAAACAACAGGCTGCACAGGCTACAGGGATCACGTTTGTTCCAATTTGTCATGTCACAGTTGCTAGTGTGCCGGGGCCCATATTGGATAAATTGTTGTTTACTTATATTTGTATTAAGTTAATCACTTGAGCTTAAAGGCCAGTGTTAACATTGATAGGTGGATATTCCTGTATTTCTTTCCTAGAATGAACTCTCCAAACCATGGATTACATCCTTTTTAATTTTGGTTGATTTTTCAGTTTCTCCTTTTGCAATTACGATTGCAATTGTCTTATCTTGTAAACCCAGGCTAGCCAGTTGCAAACTACTTATGTAATAGGGAGGTTCATATTTGTAGTCTAATTTAATGGATAAGAAATGTTTTCATTGTTTTTATCATCATTATTATACAAGAATATCGTATTCATCTTTCTTATTACCTTTGGCCTGCTTAAAGAAAATATATCTGACCAACTCTTCAAAAAAGTTGCCCACCCCTGTTTTAGTAAATCTTCCGCGCTACTCTGGGAGACGTTGGACCAGGAGGCAAAAAGACACCTTGCTTGCGCCCTAAGATTTTGCAAGAGCCCTTGTAGGGGAGTAAGTGCCCATTTTAGTCTGTTTTTTATTGTCACCGCTTTCCTTTGCCTAACCCATTTTTGACAAATGTCCCTAATAAAACCCCTCTCAAGAATCGTGCCCCCTAAACGATTCTTCCTGCGCCCCTGGGTACCATTATGGTATTCACTGGGCACCCCCCTCTCTTGTTATTGGTGTCAAAAAGCGCTTTTCGGGTGAACAAGCGAAATGTAGATTTTGCTTAATTGTCATAAACGCCTCTAAGATTCTATTGATAGCCTTTATAGCAGTTTATTAATGTTTCGTATTATCACCAAAAGGAAGCATAGCCACACCTAAATTATTCGCATTTATTAGGGTTATTATAATTACAGTGTATATATTATATTTATATATACAGTGTTTCACTGAACGCTGTTCAGTCGTTTGGTCCTGGCCCAAATATTCAGTTAAATCGAAGGGCAAATCACTCCAAGAAAATCTCGTACACCTTTTGTGAAAATCCTATTGTTTTATCTAAAAATCCCCAGAAATCCTTTTGTTTTAGGGAAAATTTCGTACGCTATTTGCAAGAGTGAATTGCCCCTCGAATCAAATAAACTTATAAATCAAAATAGATAATTTTGAATCAAAATCAACAAGCAAAACAGCGTCAGCAAAAATTCTGCCAAAATGTGGGCTACGGGAAACAGGGAAAATTCCTTAACATTGCTGCATCCTTCCCTATTTAGAATCGGTGGTCTGAGACCTGCATCTCTTATAATAATAATAATAATAATCTTTCTATTTACAGTTGATTTGAACCATAATTAACAAACATAAAAAATCATGTAAAACTAACAAATACCAACTATTTGTTTACAAAAAATCTTCACGTGTAGGCTTAACCCATTTCAACTACACTCTTTTTTTATAAGAACCATTAAATTTATGTTCAGGCTGACTGTTCTTAATTTTTTCGAAAATCTGAGGCTGGATTATTCTTAATTTGTTCTTAAATTAAGAGGGTGCAAACAGTGCTATTGCTAGCTTTTTCGCTCTAAGGAGGTGTTAAGGCCTCATTTGCCAAAAAAGTAAGTGAGACAGCCTTAATTTGCTGACAAATTTGAATATTCACTGAAAAAGCACCCACACATCGCTAAAAATCCTCGATTTTGAGAGAAAACGTTGTTCAAAATTGCATTTTGCAGAAGCTCAGCCTCAGCTTGTTTTTAATTTGTTCTTAACTTTTGACCAGTTTTGAGGCTCGTGTTCTTATAAAATTGTTCTTATAAAAAAGAGTGTAATTAGCATTCAACAGACCGCTATTATTTGGAGGTAAGCCCCTACTTCAATGTTTAGTGAATTTTTTAGGTCATTGACTTACCTTCATTTTAAGAATTCTACCATACGAACAAACAACATCGAGTAATATGCTGTATATCTTTTTCTATTCATGAATTATGTAGAATGTTTTTAGCACTCTCCGTTCGCCGTAAACTGTATTGCCGGGTTCAAGCGTGACTATACAATGCAAATTTGTTTTAGCTGCTGTTTATGTCGATGTGTCAGTAAACAGCTTTGCAAATAGATTCACCTCAAGGTATACCTGCCTGTAAATATTCTTCTGATAACACGCAAATTAAATTTTGTGAATTTGGAATACGATCGGCGCGATTCAATCAAAGGATTAGATATCAGCCTCACAAGATCAGCTGTGTCGTCCAAAGTAAACAAATAAAAGTGTTCTTTTACAGTTGCAGCTTGGCACAAGAATGGGCGTCACTTTGGGATTTAATCAAAGCAAAAGCCAAAGCTGAGCCTTTAGAATCCAGAGTAAGGAGTTTTGCTACCTTATACATTTAAAATCCAACATGTCTCTCGTTTATTCATGAGCATCCATGGATAAGCGAGGCGGAGTGTAGGTTAGCAGGGCCTCCGACGAAGGGTGGGAGTGGACCATGGCCTCCTCACTTTTTTACAAAACAATGGAATTTTTTTAAATCCTTTGTTATGGGTGTTCAATTTTTCCTGCCCCCCCCCCATTTTCAACCTGTGTCATAGTCCATGGCTAGGTTTCGGGCGTTAGAGTTTGCGCTGGATGTAAACCTATCATCATGCCATGCCAGTGTGAATCTGACGTTATCAGCGCGCCAAAGATTTTTGTTCCATAAAATATACTATACACCTTAGGCTACTTTTCTCAACAACAGATCATTTTTTTTAATCTCTCAATTCAACCCTTCCCATTGAACACTATTAAGAATGATTTAAGAAGCATTTTGCTAAACTGTAGCTTTGTGCGCATAATTTGGATATCGAATGTAGCAGATACAGTAATACTCAGAGATCACAAGATTTGTGCTTGTTGCAAGTTAGATTAAAGGCAATCTGTCTCGTTGTTGATTGGTTAACAAAAACAATAGCTGGAACAATAGCCTAAACATGATTCCAGCGCTCCGCCATATTTATTACAATGCGATAAATTAAAGGGGGACTGGAAACAATGAAAAATCCCTTTGTTCTTATAATCAATCACCGTCGTGACAGATTGCCTTTTAACATTCATAGTTGAGGACAGGAAACATCTTTTCTTTTATGTCGTTGATATAATGACGAAGAATGATATCTTAAAGCACATATTTTCTAGATTTCCATCAGCAAAACAAATAAATACTAGCAAGATAAAATAAAGTTTATTTTATCTTGAAACTAGGAATCTATTTATCTGATTGATGAGTCAAGAGGACAAGATTTTTCAGCACAACATTGCAATATACTGCAAGAAACCATTTTAACAAAGATCAAAATACCTAAATTAGTCTTACAGGAACATTATTCTATGTGTAATGATTGTTGCTACATTGTAATAGGCCCGTTATTGTTCTCTCATCGTGAAAGAATTGACATGTTACTGTTTTAAATTCTTTATTTTTTGTTAAGGTTATGTAGTTTTGTAATTTCATTGCTCTTTGTAATAAGCTGAAGAACCGTTATTGTAGTTTAAATTTGTTCATGTTGTAATTAGGGGGCCTATTATAGGGGGTCCAAAAGCCACCAAACCGTGCAAAAATCAGCCAAAAGCCGCAATCCGCAATGAAGAAAAGCGCAAAGACGTGACCGCGTTGCAAAACGGCCAGAGACACAAAAAGCCAATTACTCGCTAATAAGAAAAAAGGATACATTGCTAGAGGTTGCTGTTTTTCAAGTTTCTAGCTTTGTTTCACAGCAAGCTATTGTGTCAATCTTCGTATTTGTCTGTACCCAAGTATTTTTCTTAAACATTTGAAGATGCTAAACTTTTAGTAATGAATGGGTCAAAGTTCGAAAAACAGAACTACAACTTACAATTTAGCTCTACTGAATAAATCGACCATTGAACCTAACTACACAACCAAACGGTGACTTCGAGCCAACAAGGAACAAAGCCTCTCTCGCTACTCGTTGCAGCTAGAAGCCGCAACCGCATCATAGAAGCCGTAAACCGTTGCGAATTTACACCGAAAGACGCAAGACGCATCTCTTGCTGAAGCCGCAATCCGTAAAAAATTCATAACAAAATCCAGAGGCCGCGCGTTAAAATAGGGTACAGGCCGCAAAGCCGCACGCCTATAATAGGCCCCCTAATTAGGTTAACGGCCGTCTCAGCCTTCATACCACGTGTTTAAAAAAGATTACCGAGAAACGAGAGAGAATCAGATATAGTAATTGATTAACGATGTTGAAAATAGCTCAAAGTGATGCCACATATCTTAGGCAACTATCCTTCTGCGCCAAAGGCAATCAAAGCATTCCTCTGCACCAAAGCATTGCATCAAAAAACTACTTTACGCTATTCGACAAAGACCTTCCAAAAATAGGCACTAGGATTGACCTGAATTTCCATGTTTATTTTATAGATTAAAAGAAGTAATAATGTTTGTAGTTACATGGCAACAGATTAAATAAATACATTCGATAAGGCGTTTCCGATACGAACCCTGACTGAAGAGACAATCATCGAAAATCTTTGGTTTATTGGTTTGAACTCTAGTGCTAGAGTTTCTGAAAAAGCGTATCGCAATATTTTATAGATAGTATCGCTCTTTCGTGATTTTATTTGCCAGGTGGGTTTGTGGTTTTGGATTGAAATTTTATTACGGAATTCATTTCGAGAAAAGCTACGATCTTACCATGTCCACTATTTCTCTAGGTTAGAAACAGGGTGATTAATAATAATGAGAAAGCTTTTACATTTTTGGAAAACATTATTTTAATCTGGATTCTTAATAACTCGTGTTTAACGAAGTCGACATATAAGTTTGATCTCAAAAATAAGAGTCTCCGGCAACAAAGTATGACAAAAATATCAATATTATTCATGGAACTTAATTTTTACACCCTTGGCAATATGTTTGGAGAATTTGGCATAAATGGAGTACCGCGCATAATGCTCTAGAAACATATAACATGCGTCCGCCAGCAAAATTTTGAAACATTTTCGAAACTAGGCCCTGACCATTTTCGAAACCAGGTACCCTCATGGAACCACCACTTTCGCAATAACACTCAAACGAAATTAACCCCAATTGCAGGAGAGCATCAGTTTCAATATTTCAGTTCCTTTTTTCTTTTTTCTCTGATGTTCAGTCAGTATAAAGGAGTGCAGAAAATGCGGAATCGCCATGGCTTTTGTAATATAGGGTAGGAAATTTATGAATTTAAACTTTTTAGGAGCAATGTAAAATGACGAAAGCAATGCAATACATATTCATTATCGTCAAGGCTGCGTGTCAGGGCTTTTATAGTAGCATACTTTATTTTAACATTCTTGCTTTCATTGTATTGTTTCTCGATCCTTTATGTGTTTCTGCCACTCAAGTTTATTGGTTTTATGTTTGGAGAAAATGGCAGCGACCTGCCAAGCGTTTCTTCCCACTGGAAATTCAAAAATGTTATTTCCTTTGCTTCACCACTATACAATGTCTGTAGAAGCACACCTCTATACAAACGAAGTATTTTCTAAAGTTTCAATTTTCTATCTTAGTTTCAATACTGTTACAGGTTTCAGACAACTGATATGAAATTTTTCAAGAAGCCTTTCTGGTATAACTCCAACCTATTACAAGCAAGAAGATTTTTTTGTCAAATGAAGTAACTAAAAAGAGACTGCAACTAACCAAAAGAGTTAACTAATGAGAGACTGCTTTGAATTGCTTCAAACGTCTTGGTATTAATCATTTCTTTTTGTATGCCATCAATGGCTTTCTACTTTTACATCTATATGTTACTTCTAAGTACTTCTCTGTTCCTTTACAAGGATCACCGAATACCCCTGTATTTGCATAAACAAAGCAAGATGATTTCCCGTCACAAAGTTTCTTCATTTTAGTCAATGAGACGGGGGACCTGCAGTCCGTCCGCCAGTGTGTCCCATACCACTGCTCGCAGTGGGCAAGTGACAAGCGCCCAAACATGGCACTCGATATTTGAATCGCAGCATCGCCCGTGCAATCGATCGACACCCCTTCACCCTCGCAAACTCTTGCTTCTTTTACAGGTGATATCAGCTCTGGAAAAGATTTAGAGATATAAATGTAAAAATGGTGGTTACTGTTTCCTGAAAATTGTATTGTGGGTGCAACTGGAAGAAAACACTTAAAATAGTCTTGTTTCACACTTAGAATTGCATAAATTTAAATGTGACTTTGAAACTAGATATTAAACATTATGCTTTGTTTATATACTTTGGAAGCCATCGAGATGAGTTATACATAATTTGTCAATGGATGATGTAATTCGTTAAATAAGTTTGAATCTTAATAAAACCGAGAATGTAGCTAAATGGGGATATGGCATTGACTATGGGCGAGCTCCTTTTGATAATATCGAGTATTTATATGTCAAAATTGTCATCCTTTTGATAATATCAAGTATTAATTTGTCAAAATTGACATTCTTTGCTGAAGATGCATCCTCCTTCCCAAGCCTTTCAAAAAAATCTTGACTACAGGGCCTGAGCACAAAGTTTGCTATATTAATTGTTTTTAATAAGTGTTGATTTAGCTAATCTGGAGGTAAAAGCGTTTTGTATAATACCTGGACACTTCTTGCCAGTATCACACTGCGCTGTTTCGGTGCTTGGTCCCAATTTAGAACAATCTTTACCGCTCCCCATTGGCTCGGGGTGTGTACATATTCTCTCTCGTACCTTAACACCAACTCCACAGTCGCCTTTACATGAAGTCCATGGCCCCCATGAACCGTATCCGCCATTTACATCTACAACACATAAACATTTAATAAGATCTTTTCTTATATTCATTGAAAACATTGATGATAATCCTCGTCGTTGAATTTTTACAAAATATGATCAAGCAATTCATAAAATTTGCCTTATAATCCTCATGAAATTGTGGAGGGGAGGGGGGAGGGGCTCTACAGATACCTATAGGCACTAGAGTAGCCCTAGGAAAAATGCACAATACTTTATCTAGAGATCATGTCCTGGATGCGTTTCTTCGCAGTCCTAGCTACTCTTTGCTTTAAAAATCATTTGTAGACTGTTTCGTTGACAAGGAAAAAGACGCAACATCTTTCAACCTAACAGATTTATTTGCATTTAATGAAGACAGTCGTAGCAAAAATTATCTTGACGATTGTTATTTATGCCTCGCTCTGGGCCTCGCTCTGGGCCTCGCTTTGGGTTCGTAGAGAAAACATTTAAAATACGTCCAGGCAAGAGGTTTTTGATTCCATTTTTACCAGTATATTTTGTGAATCTTGCAATTCCACTCCTATTTTTCTGTTATTCGCACACTTTTACCCCCTCCCAACGACCTAAAGACTAGTGACAGTGCCAATGCCTCATGCATGAGTTTTTTTAAATCAACACCACTAGACCACTTATAGACCCGCTATAAATTGTCTTAATTCTCATTGTACATGAGAATACCTACTCTGGATTGTTGCCTCTCTAAATTTGTAGATATATTCAGCATATTCCTGACCCACGCATTCTGCATGCGTCGCATCGCAATTCGTGTACGTCTGGTTTCCTACGCACCGATGTGTTTGGTCCTTTTTGATCAGTGCCTCCATCTGCGTTTGAGTTCGCCCGTAACACTCGCCGTAGTAATGCAACGCAAATCCAACATAGGGCTCGGAACGAACTTTGTTCGCTGCTCTTGCAGCTTCACTACATAGGCAGGCCAAGCTAAGATTCAAAAAATATTCAAACCTAAAATTAATGTATTTATGAAATGTTCATTAATTGAAATGTGAAGCTTCTTAAAACAAGCACTGACAAAATAGAATCATTCTCTTTTCAGTATAAAATGTCTCTTAGAATACAGCACTCTTACTGTAGGAAAGTCTTTGCTAAGGTTCAATGTAATGAAAGTTATAATTAATAAGTTTTCCTCGGGAGAAAACATCTGCATAACGAAATCGTCATGTTTAGCTCGCAACTTGTTGAATTCAAAAGCATAAAAAACATTGTGTTTGGCAAGTTGAGCCTGTAAAAATTTGAATTCAATCAATATAATCTCTCTACAAAGAGGTTTCTCTATACTAAAATACAAGTTCGTAAGTTGATGTTCGTTCTCCCTTTGAATTTTTCAGAAACAAACGTTTGCTATTAAGCTTCCTTGAATTGATTATCATGAATTATTTACTCACTTATGCATGTAGCTTTCTATGGCGTCCCATCGTATTTTATGGCGATCGTTGATTAAGAGATCTTTCGCTTGGGTCCCAAACTCCTCATAGCAGCCTATTTTCACATAATCTCTCTCGCATGTCTTCAGTTCGTTACCTGTAATTGATGTCTCATCGCAGTTACTTTGATCTATTGTCAACGATGTCCATTCATGTCATTTATTCTTTTATCAAGTTTCGATTCTATCTTATTTTCATAAAGTAAGCATTAATTGATCAATTTCATTCAATAACTGGAATAATAATTTATTTTTGAAAATCCTCATTTTCAAAGACAGTTTTTTTGGTGGTACATCATTGTATTTTCTTTCAATTCCTTTAAAAGCAGAGTTTTTATAAACCTCTTAAAAGTTAGACTACATGATTGATAATTGTTATTAAGCAATGTTATTCAAACAGTTATTCATTCGTTAAATGGGTTATTTCATTCCTTTAGAAGAATGTAACATTACAATCCTTTGTTAGTCAAGTAAAATAACAACTTTTTCTAAAAAAAATGAAAGATATTCTGCTTATTGTAGAAGACAACATTGTACAAAATAATAATTAAACGTATTCAAAAGATCATCTTACCTCTCACAAAACCAGCACTGCTGACAAGCACAATTAAGTATATGATTAACAATCTTGGCATCGTTTCTGTGTGAAGAAGAACTGTATTACGATTAGTTAGATGACCTTCCGCTCAAGCAATTTCAAGCTAGCTAAAACATTATTCTTGTTTTCAAACTACAATATTATGATAAACTACAGCTATTAAAAAATACACACAGTAATCGAAATCTTTAGAATTCAAACTATTCATTTCACAGAATACTTGCTTTCCGTGTGCTGGTGCAAATTCTTTTCAATTTTGAAAACAAGCCTTTTTTAATTAAAATTCAGAAAGACGACTGGAGTCTCAAAGCAAAGAACGACAACCTTTGAATATGTTTGCTTACCGTTTATAACTCACTTGCATGCATTGGTATAGGAATATGATCGCCTAGCAATGGTTCTTTGGGATTTATGCTCTACTTGGTGGCTTTTATGCTAATATCTCACCAGAGACACTGCTCCGATGCTTAGACATTAAATGCTGAATCTTAGAGTCAATATTTTTGGAATATAAATCAGATATTTCTATGTCTTGTCTTGCTTTCTTCCTCTTGTCCGGTTGAGACAATGCCTTTTTTTGCAGCTGTGTGTACAGTATCTATCTCGTTTCTATCAAAATACGCAGTTCTTTATTTTCCAATGTTGGTTGATCATCTCGGGTATACGTAAAAGAACCAATCTGCACGCATCATCGCGTTCAATTATGAATTCTAGCAACTGATTTTGATATTAAACGCGATAGCCCAAGTGAATTTAAAGAAGAAATTGTATCTTTATTGGTTAAATTTACATCTTTTGACATACAAGGTACAATGTTATCTTCTGTATTATTTTCAGAAGCTTGCTCGTCTCAAAGCACATGCCCTATTGCATATTTTGTTTATTTTTAGCCTTCTTTTTTTAATTGTCTTTGAAATAAATTGAGCAGTATCTCGTATATCTAATTACAGATGGGCCAAGGAAGACCATCCTTACTCTCGCATCCAAATGATAAAATGAATGAAACATGTTAGATTTGTTCTACTTTCCCATTGAAAATGTTCCAGCCAGTCTTGAAGTTGGGCACCATGCCTTTGTGTCAAGCCAGCCGTTTCCTGTTATTTAGACCCAGGCTACAATTTTCCTTTCTTCGACGTCAGAAATATTTTATTGATAACTAACCTTTTATGTAGTAAATACAACAATCTAGGTTTTTTACAAGCTATCAACTTTACAATTTTTCTTTCATAGACCACTTGAATAAACATATATCGATGTACATCTCAACCTAATTAATGCGCTAACCAGCATACTTTTAAGATTTTAAGCTTTTTAACTGCTTTTTCTTACTTTTTAAAAATTGCATTTTCAGGGATTTATATATTATTCCGTTTTGTAATGGTCAATTTCTGTTTAGTTTTGGTTTATTGGAAAATAAGTTACAAATGCCAGTGGCCTTTTTCAAGGTTACAATTTGTCTCGGTAAAACATGTTTATCATGAAAATAAATATAAAAAAGAATGAATTTTAATCAATTACTAAGACAGTGCTTCCCTAAAAGACAGTTTCTGATTTTTGGTGCTAAAGATACATTAGAAAAAATCTCTTAGATGAAAAGGGTCTGCTAGAATATTTAAACATAAAATTTAGAGAAATTTGCCGTCAATCAGAATTTCAGAACTATCGAAAAAAACTTATGCTCGGAATAATCCAAAACAGACCAAAGAGGTCATTAAGGAGCTGCATATGCCATTCAGGTGTTCCCTTAGCTGGTGGATATTTTCTAGGACCTCCGTAGACTTAGCAACCCAAACTGAGATGATCCAATTGCTCAGATCTTTCTCCTTTGAAGTTTTTCTTTTTCATTACTTTCTAGCAATGGCCATTGAGGTAAATGACAAAAATATTAAGCTAATAAACATCCCATGTTCGCGACAATTGCTTTTTTTAAGCTCTTGATGTGTTTGTGTTATAATGAGATTGACAATCTCTTGATCATTAGCCAGGAACAATCAACACGACGACGAGAATCAAATGTAATGAAATAGAATTTCGAAATAAATTGAATTTAGTAAACGCTTATATTTTGCCCCGACATTCATTTGATAATTTCTTGTCTGACATTGCAGCTACATATTACTGAATAAAGACCCTTAGCGATCAATGAGAGATAATTTTTAGCCACTGCGATATTGCTATCGCTGCGCAGGAGTAATCATGACAGGTTTCTGGTGTGTGTCCTGCCATGCCTCAAAAGTCAACAATCGAAAGTCGCAGGTGCAACTTCAACCGCTAGCAGGAAGTGACGAACGGGCCTTGGCGAAAACGTTATAGTTGTGTTTAAGATTGTATCTTTACGTTACATTCAAACGTTGTACACACTGGATCTTATTATGAAATCAAACGAAGATGTTTGAGGCAGCTGGCCTGATCTTCTTGACATCGTTTATATTCACGCAATGGCACTCAGGCAGTTACGTCGAGTCTGCATTTTGCAATAATTCCTTGTTTGTTTCGCAGACAAACGGACAGAATCGTCGCACGATCATACAAGATGGAGATTTTATGCTGCAAGGAATTTTCTCTCAAACGAAAGGACCGGACTGTGGAACAATGTCCAGAGAAGGCGTTGTCAATGTTGTTGTGATGCAACTGGCTATTGAGCACATTTCGCGTTCCAACATCCTGCCTGGTTTCAAACTTGGCTATCAGATTGACGATGGCTGTACAGACATCCCAAAAGTCATGAAAAGAGGTATCGAAATTGTTTCAATGTACCGGCCTAATTCTGTTTGTAGGGCAGACTTTATTGACTGTAAGTCAAATAAAACTGGGCAAGGTGTCAAATCGATCAATGCTGTGGTTGGGCCAGGGTACTCATTTCTCACAATTCCTCTAGCAAGTTTAATGGGACTCTACAACATTCCACATATCAGCTACCAAGCTTCCAGCAGACTGTTAAACAAGCGTGAGTTGTATAAGTCTTTTTTTCGAACAATACCTTCAGATTCAAATCAAGTGCTTGTTATGCTGGACATGATGAAGAAATTTGGATGGAATTATTTGGTTGCAATTGGTAGTGATGATGACTATGGTAAATTAGGTATTTCAGCATTAAAAGAGGCAGCAGCAAGCCGAAATGTCTGCATTGCATATGATGCGTATGTTCCTAATACAAAAGATAAAATGAGACCAAAAGTTGATGAGATTGTGAGTCAATTAAAAGCATTACCAAAAGCAAAGCTTGTTATTTTGTTTACATACACCTCAATGGGTGAAATGATTTTACAGGAAGCAGAGAAAAATAATATTCACAGAGTGTGGCTGACAAGTGATGCCTGGTCTGCTACTGGACCTTCCCTGAATGTTAGTGAACAGTGTTTATCTGGTATCATGACAGTTGCAACTGAGAAAGTGAAAATACCAACTCTTGAGCGATATCTTGAAAGCAAGATCAGTAATGAAGCAGAATGTAACCCTTGGCTGGCCTTGTACTTGAAACAACAATACAACTGTCATTTTATAAACCAAGTAGCATCATGCCCTGGTCAAACTCCAAGCAGCATTAGTGAAGAGATGCTAGCCGATAACAGTGGAGGTTATGGAAATTTATATGATGCAGTGTTTGCAGTTTCTCACAGTATACAGGCCATGTTGACAAAGAAATGTGGGTATCAAACAAGTAGTTATAACAATACTATTTGTTTTCCATTCAGCCCAAAAGAGTTGCTTGCTGAAATACCCAGAGTGAACTTCACTGGAATTTTCAGCAGGTCTGTGGCCTTTGATGGACAAGGTGACCCAAAGGAACCCCATTATATTATCGAGAATATTCAAAAAATTAATGGAAGGTTGCAGTATGTTCAGATAGGAACATGGGACATGCTCAGTGCAAAGCAAAGAGGGACTTTAAATCTTAACACAGAAAAGATAATTTGGCCAAAAGGTTTTGTTGATTCTCGTGATTCAAAATGCAGCAGAGATTGTTTACCTGGAGAGTATGTTAATGCTAAGACAGAATGTTGCTGGAGCTGCCAAGATTGTCCAGCATTACATGTGAGCAGTAAGAACAACTCAAGAAGTTGCATCAAATGCCCTGCTAGATACCATACAGATTCAAAAAGGACAGTTTGCATTAAAACTCCAATCATCTATCTTACCCCAAGTTCAGGAGGTGGTGTTGCAATACTGACAGTATCTTTTTTTGGTATCTTCATTGACTTTGTCATTATGGGACTATTCTACAAAATCAGACATTCTGTTTTAGTAAAAGAATCACAACCTGCCATCATTGTATTTTCCATTTCAGTTCTATTATTTTCATTTCTTTATGGTGTTATGCACATTTTAAAGCCAAACAATGACTTTTGCTCAGGAAGAAGTTCATATTTTTTTATGTTGTTTGCCACATTTGCAGGGATGTTATTAGCATCAACGACCATTGTAAAGGAAACTATTACAGCCAAGATCAACAAACATGTAACCATTGATGCATTTGTTGTTCAGTATTTTGTTATCATTTTTGTCATGCTCATTGAGTTGGTAGCAATAATTGTTTGGCTATCAGTGGATCCAGTTGAAGCAGATTTGTTTCCCAGGCTTGGAAATACTGAGCTGTTTTTGGAGTGCAAATTAGAGCTTACTCTGAGCAGATTGATTTGCATCGCTCTCCCTTGTGTTGTTCTTATTATTTCAATGATTATTGCATTCAGAGAGAGAGATCAGGAGCATCTATTCAATGAGCCCAAATTTCTCAGCTTCACGACCATTGCAATTTCAATCATTGTTGTTGCTTTTATTCCAACATTCAAATATGTTGTTGGTGTTTACAAAGCAATGGTGATGGCATTCACTGTTGATCTTTGTGCTTATACCTACATTGGATGCATGTTTGTTCCTAAAATCTATACACTAATGACAAATGGTTACAACCTTGGATGTGGGCATTCTGAAAATGGTGTTGCTGGCAATGAAAGCTGCAGTGTTCATGGGATTGAAATGAGAGAAGGAAAGAAATCTGTTACAAACACAGACTTTAATGCTTCTTTAGAAGCTCAAGACAAGGTTTCTGATCAAAGTTCTGAAGTGCCAAGACCAGAAAACAGTTCAAACCTATCAAGTCCTGTTTCTCAAAAGAGTCTTGCATCTCCCCGTAAACTATCTGATACAGGTTCTGGCAGTCACCTCATGCCACAGAAGCCAACATATGTGTGAATTTCAACAACACACAAAGAAGATTTTTAAGAGTTATTAGCTCACATTCTTCAGTTTATTTTGTTTTCCAAAAAATCATCAAATGTCACTGATTACATATTCCTAATATGACCAGGGCCATAGCTAGAATTGTTCTTGATGGGGGAGGGGGGATTCTCACCAATAATTATAGAATCTTTTTTCCCAAATAATAAACCCTTTTGTTCCTATTATTTAAAACCCCAACACCCTGCCCCAAGATAGTTTGTGCCTTCCTAAAGTACTGATTGAAAGTCTTTATTTGATGTAATTTGATGTAAGTCGGTCTAAAATGGTTATCATTTTAAGTCTAGCATTTATATTATATTGTTGTCACTAGCAGGTGCTAAAAAAACATGCAACCCGTCATAAAACTTTTAGATTTTAATTATCATTTATCCTATGCTCGGACGAGTTTGGTTGGTCCATAATATAACATCATTATTTCTACTGTATACATCAGCCACTGCTCTAAACCAGTAATTATTACAATGAAGTTTATCTAATTCAACTTACAAAAAGATTTATGTTTCAGAAGAAGCAAAAAATTATTACTGTATTCATTATACATTGCTGTCCATTGGGAATTTTAGACTATATAAATGCATAAATTTTAAATCAAACACATATAGTTTATGCAAGCTTATATTTTTTGTAAATTGTACAACTATTTAATTTTAAGTAGATCTTATTTATGATTTCAGAGTCAGTTGATCATAAAAAATGGTTTTTTGCCTGTAATATAAACAGCTATTATAAGCAACACATTAATGCTGATAATTATTGCTTTCCTTCTATGCCTAATAGTCTTTGTTGTCTGTCCGTTGGGAATATGAAGAAGGGGGTGAACATATGAGTAACAGGCCAGCTCAGTTCAGCAAATCTTTTTTAAACTGAGGAAATTTCAAACTTTGAGCTAGAAAAGTATCTAATCGTTCTAGCCTTGTTTGAGAGATGAATCATGCCTGTCTTCCAGACACTAGCCTCCATTTCGAGGCCATTGCACATGCGCATTATCACTCGAAGCCCTGGCAGGAAGTTCAGAGAAAATCTCTGATATTTTACCAAAACTGATAATTTCTATTTAACGAGAAAAAGAAGCATGCCCAATGGAAAAGATAACGTCAGGGGCATAGCTAGCAGGGGTGTGATAGCCCCCCAAATGTTCAGGTATTGGTCGGTATATCATGCTAGTCAATGAAATCCTTAGCTTAGCTCGGCAGATGGAATGGTTACTAAAGTTTCTATCCATATATTTTTTATCTGCTCTTCATTCAAATAGTAGAATAAATGTCATTATTTGCAGTAAAATCATTGCAATTTGATCATGTAGCTACACCATTCAGCACTATTTTTTATAGGCTATAGGCTTGAAAAAACTACTAATTTTTGGGAATATTTTTGGAAAATACAGGTTTTTTGGTTTCTCTATGATCAGAACAAACAAGAATTGAATTTAAGTTTGGGAAAAATTGTTTTCAAAAATTTCAAAAAAAAATTTCAAAAACATGTATTTGCTAGATTTGTTTGTCTCCTGAAAAATGCAACTTTATAGATGGGTTTGCTTTTGATAAAAAGTAAGGCTATAGGATTGGAAAATCATCTAGTTTTTTGGAAATATCATTTTAAAAAAACAGGTTTTTATTGGCTTCTCTATGATCAGAAAAAAACAAGAATTGAGTTCGAGTTTAGGAAAAATCTTTTTAAAAGCAATTGCTTATAGATTGGTCTGTTTTCTATAGAAATCATGGATATAGAATTTCTCGTTTTTTGGAAACATCTTTTCAAAAAACATTTATATTGGCTTTTTTATTATCAGAAAAAACAATTGAGATAAGATTTAGAAAAGAATTTCATTCTTTTTCTAAAAAAACTGACTCTTCAGATGGATCCGTTTTGGTAACAAGTAACGCTATAGGCTCGGAAATATCGTCGGAGTCTATGGAAATATTTTTTTTGAAAAAAAGGGGTTTACTGGCTTCTCTTTGATCAGGAAGAATAATAATTGAATTCAGTTTTGGAAAAAAGTTGTTTTTTGAAACAGTAACTTTATAGCTGTGTATCTTTATTTAAAGAGTAAGGCTATAGGCTTGGAAAATCTTCTGTTTTCTTGGGAACATTATCTTCAAAATGCAGATCTATTGGCTTCTCTATGATCAGAAAAAACGAGAATTAAATTCGAGTTTTGGAAGAATTGTTTTTGTATGAAAAGTGACTTGTAGATTGGCCCGTTTTTTGTTAAAAGTAAAAGCTACTGGGATAATAAGAGTCAAATTTTTTCAAAAACAATTTTATCGGCTTCTCCATTATCAAGAAAAAACAAGAATTCACTTTAGTTATGGAAAAAAATTGTTTGCTCGAAAGAAACTACTATTTTGAGAAGTCCACTTACTAAAGTCGTCAAGCTCTTTGAGTTTTTCTTCAAAAATAGGTTTATTGCCCTCTGTATGGTTAGCATAAATGAGAACTGACTTTGCTTTGGAGAAAAAAATTTCTTTTTAAAAAATATTGACTCTATAGATGGATCCGCTTTTGATAAAAATTAACGTTATAAGCTTGGAAAAAACATTGAGTATTTTGCATATATTTTCTAAAAGGTAGGTTTATTAGCTTTTCTGTTGCTAAAAAAACAAGAATTGAATTAGTTTCGTAAAGCAAGTGGTTAATCGAGGAAAATAGCGTCTTTTAACAGGAGCCAACTTTCAATAAAAAACAATGCTATAGTCTATAGAATAGAAACTTCGGCAATCATTTAGAAATTTTTTACTTCAAAAATAAGTCTATTGGCTTCTGTATAATCAGGAAGAGGAAAAATAACTTTAGTTTCGTTTCGTCGAAATTTTGGAACTTTTTCAAAAACGGTTTATTATCTCTAATTTGAAAAAAGAGCAAGCATTGAATGTGGTTTTGGAAAAAACTGTTTTTTCGAACAAATTGCGATCTTTAGAGAGATCCGTTTTTGATAGAAGGTAAAGCTATAGGCTTTGAAAAACATCTATCTGCAAAAAAATTAGTGCAGGGGGTGGGGGGGGGATATTTTAAAATGATTTACGGATTAAGGCTCAGAGTAAGTTGGGGCTTGCGTTATTCACAAACTATTAAGAAACTGGATACTGAAATTGTTTCATTGATTGAATATTTCTAAAGGACATTATTATTATGCTGAAAAAAGTTGCTTTATATTATCCCGCTTATAATATGTTATGCTTTTATCATTATGAAAATTAGTTTTTCTTAGTAGTTTTATAAATTGTAAAATAGGACACGATCATTACTGCATGCTAAACAGAAATATCAAGCTAGGAAACAGTGTAATCGCCTTTAGAAATCACCATGATTAAGTTTTATTTTATTGTATCTTCGCATTCAGTTTCTATTCCAGTTGTTCAGTTTATCACCGCTGTAAGACGTTTTGTACTTATTTATATTAATTTACTTCTTTTAGATCGAATACGATTTATAGTATACGATTGTGTGCATGTTCCGAAGTCTGTCCTATTTATAAGGAACCAGAAATGCTAGTCAAGAATTTTCCAGGTATTGCTCCGTAGAGATTAGAATTATTCTGAAATTTTCGAATACTGTCTAATATTGTTAGATATTTGTTTACGGCTTTGCAAAATCTGATTCTTCCACATAGGGCTACCTCGCCTGACGCGATTTTGAGAGGAATTGTGAAAGAAATATCGAACGAAAAGGGCTAGCCACAAAAAGCTTACTTTGACTATTATGGTGTTTGATTAACCGGCGAAGCTTATCAAACACAAATATGGCGTTTTTCCAAATTCTTAAGAGTGTGGTTTTTTAAAAATTGTCCAAGGGGGTAAACCTCCGTGGCCCCTGTTGTAAGACACATTTTTGCCCCTCCAACCTCCCTACACTGTCTACGCCACTGAATGAATTCCAAGTCGTAAAACTTGACAAATCAAACAGAAGTGAAAATATAGTTACAGAAGACTCCGGTTTTATTCCAATTTTTGCGAAAGCTGTAACAGTAAGCGGAGTGTGACTGTAAACAGAGCTTTACTGAATAGGTATGCGCATATGGGTCTAAATTTTATGTGAATATAAGCGATAATGTGATTTTAAGTCGTAGTCGACTTTATCATTCACTTTTACAAATCTGACTATCTGCCTGAGATCAGGATGGGACGGAAGACTTGGCGGAAAAAATATAATTCCTCTGTCCCAGCTCTTCAACCCCTGCTCTCTTGGCCTTAACTGCCTGATCTCAGGCCAAATCCGATGACAAGTTAAACAGAATTTAATGTTAAAACATGAATTATATAGTAAGGTTGTGGACAAAGAGATGATTAAAAAAACATAAAATTTGTTCTTTTGCTGTTAAACTATTAAAGAAAATATTAATAGTATCTGAAATACATAATTAGAAAAATAAGCTGTTCATGCATGGTGAATTGCGTGAAGAAACTATTAAAAATGCTCAAAGCAGTTAGCTGTTGCAAATGAGTTTTAATTTATAGGGATTATTTGAGGTGATTTCAAATGATTTTCAAACAAGATTGAATACAAGATCATATTATTGGAGAGATTGTAGGTTGCAAGATTAAACTGATCTTGAAAATTAAAATGCTTCTATAAAGTATTGTCAGGTAATATCAAAATTTGAAATGATGAATTCCACTTCATACTGAATGGACTCATGTACCAATTGAAAACCGGACTCTAGTACCAGCATCCCTCCACCACCCTTTACAATCTCCATTACTGCAACAAATGTTGACTGCAGCTATACATTCTGAATAAGTTAGAAATAAAACTGCTTCCAATAAATAACTAACAAATTGCTTCCCAAACATTCACTACCATGTGTCATAAATAGAAGCAGCCACATCATTTTTAAATATAGTCCTTATTTAGAAAATGTATCTTGTTTAAAGCCTTACAGTCACATCAATCTCTTTTCAATATATTGGCTCTTAGAAAATTTCGTTCTATCTTCCTATCACCAGAAACTCTTTTATTCCAAGCATTAAGTGTTACAACAATGGCAGTTGCATCATCAGTGGATCCATACTGCCTTGCACAGCAGGTCAGCGCATCAGCACTTTCTTGAGCATCGCTGTGCTGCAACACAATTTCCACTATTTCCTCATCTGTGATCCAATTAGAAACACCATCAGTGCATAAAACTAGAAACTGGTCATTATCGGCATCCAACTCTACAAGTCTGTGGCAAGGTGTATGAGTCACTCCAGATTTTCTAAGGAGTATGTTACCAAACGATCTTGTCATTGATAACACTCCATTGACATAAGGAACAAGTTTTGTATCCCAATCAATCCAACCTCCTTCTTTTTCTATCCTTGTCACTTCATTCTCGTTATTCGGAGTGTGATCATCAACTAAGGCAAGAGGGCTTCCAGCACGGCAAAGAATTGCATGACTGTCTCCTGTCTGCCCAATCAAAAGTTCTGACTTCTCTGAGATAAGGGCAGTAAGTGCAGTGGTTCCAATGTGATCTTTAATAGAGAAAAATATTAACAACACTTAAAAAGTTTTAAAATACCAGGTTGGAAAGATGCATGATTTCACTACACATAGCTGCAAACAACATCACACTATCAGCTGTGACCTGTGAGCAAAGGCATTTAAGCTGCAACCAACACTGCCCAAGCCTGTATATACATGACTTAAGATTTAAAGCTAAATATGTATATATATATATATATATATCTATGACATGATGGATATGGTGTAATATGTTACGTTTTTATCTTACATATAACATGTAAAAATTTACTGTTGTAAGCGCTGCTGCACTTGTTCATTAATCTAATTAAAAATACTATTTTTTCATTGGCATCACTCTACTGTCTTTCTGCTTTCATTTGGTGATTCATGTTATATTTAAATAGTGGTGATTTAGTGTTACATAATTAATCTCAAACGAACCTGTTCACTCTACATTGTGGGTGAAGTGCGAGCACAAGAAATTCGATGAATCAAAATATACTAAGACAAATGTAGATAAGTCAATCTTCTGTGAGTGTTTTATTTCAATTGTAACTGAGGTTTAGTCCAAGTTACAACATTGTAGGGTAGGTGTGAAAAAAAGCCAAGAGTAAATACCTCTCTCTTTCTTTTCAAAATCGTTAGCCAGGATTTCAACCTCCAGTAAGTGCTCACAAGTTTCAAATGAATTTTCAACTAGCTCCTTCCCTTGAGCTGCTAGGCTTTCGTCAGGAAATATATTTTTTGCCAAGATACCCGAAAGTTCATTTCTCAAAAAGTCCGCACCAAAATGGCCCCTGTGACCATCAAATACAGCAAAGTAACTGAATCCAGGCACAAGTTTCTTTATGATATCATACCGATCCTCGTTGTTCTTTAATTTTCCTTGACAGCAGCTAACACCATGGCTTTGCTGGCTTGGAAAAGAATTCTTGAGTTCAGATTGTTCTGATGTAATTGATGATGAGAATCCTCGCATTACCGATGTCCTCAGAGGCAACAAAAATGTCCGAGTTTGCTGAGATCTTGTTATCTTTGTTGCAAAAATAAAGCACCTAAATGATCTGTGATACATTTTTGGCTCCTAATTGATGTCAATTTTCAATATCCAATGATTCTGTATCCCATCAAATGTTGATCTGAAGGACCTGCTCTTTTTCTAGGCCAGGCAAAGCAAAAGGCACAACAACACAACAAACATGGTAATACTTCCACCCACAATAACCACGTCTGGAATACGAGGTTAGGAGATGGTCTATCTCGATTTTCGTTCGTGGCATTTGTTTGAGATGTTTAATTCTATAATTTATATTTGATTTTATGATTTTCTAAGAATAATATTGCTAGCAAGAGCCGTGAAGAACCCGATATAAGAACTTAGCAACAGCAATATCGTTTTTATAGCGAGTTCTTATAAAAAAGTGTACACATTTCAATCTCATCAATGCTCATCCACGGAATTAAAAATGCACTCTTTTCATTGGCACTAATACAATATAAAGCTCCTAACCACAAATATGACACACTGTCAGGTAACAAATTAGAATCCTTTTTTGGCATTCGCTGGTTATTGATATGGCTTTGCCATTAGTACAGTAAGAATTGTATTACCAAATGAATATCATTTAAGTACAATTTTGGAACTCCTTCTGTTTTTTGATCCTAGACCTACCGAACAAGATTTCGGGAAGAGCTTCTGGCACACTTAATCTCTATTGTTCATAGAGAAAAGGGATTAAGCTTGTTAGTTAACAAATGCTGATTTTCCAGTGCCGCCACCCAAATTGCCACTGAACCAAATTCACTAATCCCTCAAAAGTTCTGTCGTCCTGCCCCAGAGCAGGACGAGCTCTGGAAAACGGAAATTATTAGCAATTAAACCACATTACATTAGCCTAAGAGCAAACAATAACTTCACACAAGAACTGCAGCGCGCTTGAATTTCCAAGCGGAAAAATCAGATTATCTTTGTCCAACTTGAAAAAGTATTCTCGATTTTCCACTTTGACGAAGATAATGAGTTTGTGTCAGAAATCAGTGCGTCTAGGGCCCTTGCATACCACAATTCAAACTTTTAACTGTATTTTCCAAATTCATTTGATTTCCCAAGAAATTTGTACCGCCTTAAAATTAATACCAATTTAGCCATTGAGTGACAAGGCTACGTTATGAATTAAAGGCCCAAGCGTAGGACAATGAACAAAGAAAAGCAAGTGTCACAAAAATACATCGAAGCAAATTTTGCTCTTTAAATTCAGACCGAGGACTGTTTTGTCTGTTGGAAATTATGCAGACACCGACCTTAGATTTCAAAGATCTTCAATTCATCAAATAGGAAAACAATTCAGACAGAAAAAGAGAGAAGTTGTAAGGAGAATCGAACCTGGGTTTTTTGTGAAATAGGTATTGGCAGAATGAAGAGAAACAAATCTATTGAAAGAATTGTTGAGCGGTGTTATAATAATATGTTTATGTCAATAAAGATATACTCTCGCACAACTCTCAGCAATGGAAAAGAAACATTGCAAATTGTACTTAACAGTACTTCTTTTCATGAGCAAAGAGTTTCGTATTTCGTATATTGATTCGATGCTTTTGAAATGAATATCATAGTTTTTGAAGGGCTAAAAACTACACAACTGTTGAAATCTTTCTTTATGATTTTCTAAAGACATAAACTGCTAGTGATCTAGCACTGCCTAGTTCGTGTTTGCAGTCAGAGACAGTTTTTCCATTAGATGTCATGGTCTTGTAGGGATCCTTAGGTCCAGACCAGCATTGTCCTCTATTCTTCAAGCCAAACGCGCTAAAGCCTCTTTTCCTTGCAGCAATGGCGCATTTGGAAACGATCTGTGATGTCTGTTCTTCACTGACAGCGGCATTCCTTGAAAAAAAAACATTGCAGTATAATCAAATTGATTTCCTAAAGGAAATCTTCACAGCATTCGTTACTAGATACAGACACAGCCAAATAAAGTTGTTTTCTAGGTTAATTCGTTAAAAGGTTTTGTACAATATGAGTTAGTAACTCTATAAAACATACAGGAGATCAAAAGAAAGCTAATTTCATGTTGTAATGACATTAAAATAATTTGTTAAAATGATCCATGAAAGTTATTAAACAAATACAAATGCATGGCTAAATGCTTAAAATGCCAAAAAGTTTTTCCTGGTGAACTAGAAAGAACTCTGAATACCTATGAATTTATCGTAGCAAAGTAGATTAAAATTTAGAATAAACTAAGAACAACAATATATTTTTAATAACCAAACATACCAATCAATTTCGTCACGGAAATTCTCAATGAGAAACAACAAGGTGTTTTTCGAATATTGAAAGCATCCGGTGAAGATTACAGGTGGTATGGAGTATAATTCTGAAACAAAAATTGTAGGAGGTAAATTCAACAACAAAGGGACAATAGGTATGATTAAATTTAACGAAAATTCCTGGGAAGTACAGATAAGTGATTTACATTCCTGCGCCCAAAGAACACATGATCATTGTCATACTTCTTACTTACAGCAGTACCAAATGGAATATTCGTAGACTATTTGGGACAACTGAGAAAAACAGCTAAATTAACTGCGATAATTACCAGGATTATAGACAAGGAAAGGGGAATAGTAGAGAGATGGGAAGGATTACGATTAAAGTAAGATGGACATGTTAAAAATGCAATATGTGTCTTTTTGTCCCCCTATTTTTACAGGTTAAAGAAAGGGATGGGAAATATACAAACTGGTACGAACATATCATATGGGTAGCATGTACTAAAGCATAAGAACCAGAGGCACAAAAGTCACATCAACCCCCGTCAGTTTTTCAAGTTCCCTTCAGTTTGAGTAGATAACCTTTTAGGAAGGAATAATACTGTCGCAGTGCCCAATTTGACCAAATGTCACTGATCATGGTAAACGACCTTACTAAATTCGTGCCCTTCCAAGCTTTATATGCTTCCTACGTAGCTGGACATATAATTTCTATTCTATGAACAAACTCTCTTAACGAATTCGAAGAGACAAGCGTATATTCATATGAATCACAAAAGCTCAAAAAAAGTATGAAACTGAAATAATTCTTTAGTTTTTGGAGAGAAAGTATTTAACGTGCTATTATTTTCTGGTTTTAACAAATGCATCCTCGAATAAACTTATTTGAAAGCTCAATGTATTCTGTAGATAGTTAAGCAAAGCCTGCAAATATGTCATGCAATAGCCGCAATGAATCGAAAGTAGAGAGAGAGCTTACATAAAGTCAGTAGAAAATTATGATAACAAGAAAATAGATTTCAACTCGGTTAGTTTAGTTTTAGAGTAATCATCTTCACAAGAATCACTCATAAATGATCTATTCTTGAATGTTTGCATTGATCAAGTAAAAATAATCTAGAATGTCTCCTTTGATTTTGTGTTAAATTAATGTATGTTAAAGTATTTCGAAAAACTAGTTTGAAAAATTAATTAGTGAAAAAGATAAGTTAAAAGCATTCAATGGTCAAAGGAGCCTTACCTTTGTTGGTGAATAAGCGGTAAACAAAATTGACTGAAGATCCTCCAGTCCCTTGGTAACAGAGTTTTGAGGCACCAAAAGCAAAGTACCGATACGAAACAGATTCATCGCCAGCCCAACATTCGCCATAAAATTGTAAAGCAAAATAACTGACTTTTGCTTTCGGTTTGCCAGTTCTACGCCTGTGGGCTATTGCATTTGCGCACTGTTGTACAGTTAGAGACATATCTCTCCTATAACGATACAGTAATATCTTTATCAGAATGAAGCATCACAAAATAACCTTAATATTTGCCCCAGTCTTAAAGTGGACACGAATGGTCTAAAGTTGTACGTGTACTTTAACGAAGGGCACGTTATCTTGAAGCTAATTCTACATAATACTGACAGCAGGAAAAATATTGGCACAAATTTGTTTGTTTCTTTGTTTGGAGGCGGTCATTATATAAAAGAGGCTGTTTACTGTAATGAAAAGATCTGAAAGCTTAAAGTTTTGATTTTTTGTAGCAAACTGCTGTCTAGTTTTCTAAGGGAACGAAAGTTTTTATTTCTGAGTAAGAAAACTGCCCTCAGAAAAGACCTTCAATTGGTTTAGATATGTGTCATCACAATAAACAAACATGAAATAAAATGACAGGCAACTTTCTAAAGATTCCCTGACCATATCTAAAGGGTCCTTTACATAGGGATTCCAAAAAATTTGCGAAAAGTAGATGTGTCGAGAGAGAAGCAGTGGTAAGATTTTCGAAAGAATTCCCTTTTCAAAAAATAATAAAGGGTTCTAATAAAGAATTCAAAGAAAATAGTTGGAGGAGATCCAAGAAAGAAGAGAATTATAATAACTTAAATATATAAGGGCTATATAAACACCGTTCGGCTATGATCTAGGACTTTTTGCATTGTAAAACTTGTAAAAATTGTATAAAACAAATAGATAAAAATAAGTGAAGGTAAAGATGAATAGTCCCAGAGAAACATTTAAAATTTCAGATTGAGACCTAAAGAAGATTTTGAATGCAATTTGACAGCAAATAAAACTAGAATGCAATCTTCAAATAAGACTATTAATCTTCTAAAATTAAAGGAAGTAATTGTCACAAAGCTTTCCAAGGAATTCTTTGTTATCATAATGCCATTTAACCATCATTGCTTTTGTTTAGAAATCAGAAATTTGTTTGTTTAGGCTGTTAGAAAGACAGGCAAGTGGACACCGGTTCAGAAATATTACAGCTCATAAATGATAACAAAACACTAGTTTGTTGCTATATATTTTGAAACTGTTATTTAAGCTGTTTTGTGTCAAAAAATTAGCTAAACATTTTCATTCAAATTGAGTTAAGACAGATATGTATTGATGACTTTTTAAAGCTCAAACTTAGCGACGAAATTTTTGTCGCCTCTGCTCGAAGCCTCTAAGGGAGACATTTGCTCTCTAGAGCAACTTTCATTTTAAATTTTTCCAAAGATTCAGTATACTTGGCTTCAGAATATCATTTCAATGGTTACATACCAAATGATTCGGGGTCTGAAATCCTTGATGAACCAGGGAACAGGTCTTCGTCCAGAATGATCATTAAAGCAGCCAAGCGGAACATAATTCTTCTTGATGTTTTTATTGCCTAGCAGATACAGAATTAGCTTGAGTGACATTAAACTGCTTCAGTTCTATCTGCAAATACTTGTAAAAAGCATTTGAGTAAATAGTAAATCTACCAGTAAAAACGAAAAAGATAATAAATGTTGGCACAAATTTGAAGTTGACATTCCCTAATGATATTGGAACATGTTTTCATATCGTTGCAGATCGTTCCCGACTCCTTACGATTTCTTAGGATTTATAGAAGCACTTTGACCAGGAAAGTGTCAGCGATCGCTTGCAGGCAGGGAGTGGAAATAGAGGTTCCTTGATTCTATACAATCGGCGGTCGCTTACCTCCCACCTGGTTTAATAGTTCAGAGGAGAAGGCGAACTCATTCTGTCTATAAAATTCTGGATCAATTGTTTTTATTTAGACAGTCTTCAAAGCGCCTTAATGCAAATATGACCTTGCTTTCTAAATGATTTTAGAACATTCCCCCATTTTCTCCTCAATTTTAAAGAAACTTCGAGGGCAATTGCCCCCACATCCCCCTGTCGACGCTAATGAATACTTGTCCTGGCGTGTTAATTTCTTCAAAAATTTTCAGAAAAGTCTGTGTTTAAAGTAGTGAAAATATGAAAAAGTGCAAATATTTCCGCATAATTTTTGATGATAAAAATGGTCTCTTTGAAAATTGCCGTTTTTAATGGTATTGACTCCAGTTCGCAAGGCATTGTTTTGAAATTCTAAAGTTTCGTACTTAATACTTTTCCACGCATGCACAAATTTTTCCGCCCATGTGCATTATCATACGACTTCCGAAACAATTTTTTGAGCCCTGCCTCCGAATATTCCATGATCCTCTATTGTATTGGCCTTTTCTATTAAAACACCAGTTAGAAACTAACCCCGTTCTTAGTCGAATTTTGACCTTTGAATTTTAGAAAATTTATAAGCAGTTGTGATTGATTTTGAGAAAACGGCTGGACCAATTTTGAAAAGATTGATAAAATTGTAATGCTATTGATTTTGATATTTGGCTATTGACGTAACCACTAATGGGACTAAAATTTTGAATTTAACTTCTTGATGAGCGAAACAAGTAATCGAAAATTAGTGTCATAACACGGGGCTTGTTTTATATTGCTTAACATGATTAGAAACAAGATGTAAAACTTTAATTGAAAAAAAGTTAATTAATTTATGCTATTAGGTTTTCCTTAAAAAAATATACCATACGGTAAAAACATGATTTAATTTATTTATGAAGTTTTCAATCGTGTAACAAAGCTATAGTTTATTTATCAAGAAAAGAAAAGGCAAGGCGCCATGACGGGTGTGATTTGAAAAATGTTGTGCAAGAATCAGAGTTTTCTTTGAGCGAAATGTGGATGAAATGACGTCGTTGTTATTTTTCGTTACTCTGCTTTGAACACAGTAGTCATCAAACATTCTGCTGGCCTATCAGTATGGGTATTGGTGTAAGCTACACTTCTGATGCTGCAATTGGTCAGCCTTTTTTTCTACACTGGGAGGATGAGAGGACAATATTACCTTGTAGTTTAATGCTGAAATGGGCTTTGTTTATCAGGTCGTTAAACAACTTATTTTTTCCCATCGTGATGGATATCGAGCTGCTTCATAGCTCAAGATTCAGGCGCTTTTTCTGTCAAATTGACTTCACCTGATGCTTATCGCATGAACTCTGCCAGCACTGAGCAGTTTAGGATACAAACCAGCGACATTTTCATCTGGTTGTTTTGACTTTGCCTTCCAAAGCACTTCTCCGAATGAAAATTTGGCTAATAGTTAGTATTGGTCATGTCAAATTTCAGTTAAGAACAATAAACGTAATATTCTGTAAAGAAAATAATATTGTGTTTTAGGTGGTATTTCCCTAAGAAAGTTTTAGTTTTCCTTGTTAAAAGTGCGCTGCAAGGCTATGATGTGTTGCAGTTTCAACTTTTTGATGGAAACATGGAAGGACCCATTCTAGGGCTCCTGCTTTCTGCAATTTAATTTCTAATGGAAGCTCAAAGTGGAGCTTACGAATGTCCGCTCATCTCAGAATTTTTCCTTTTCCTAGTTCTCTGCAATTTTGTGTTCCGACAGGTCATGGGAAGCACACGATTGCACTGTAATCCAGGCTGCTACATACACTTCTAGTCGCTTGACATGTACACAGAACAGAATGTCATTTTTTCTTTTGTGACTTGATGGCTTTGAAAGAGGCAAACATTTTGAGTCATATTTATCGCTTGCTTGACAATAGCTTGTCTGTTACGAGAGGCTTTTTTCCTTACTTGCTAGAATTCTTACTCTTCGCTGTGCTCTTCTCTAAGCTAGTAATTAAACATTTCGTATATCCCCATTTTAGTCATCTCTATTGTTCTCTAATGCTAGCAGTCTCCCTGGAATCCAAGCATTCTTGTAAGCAAGACTCGTGAAGGCCTACTGCTTGCAATGTCATTTTGCAAATTACTGTGCATATAGCCAATCGATAATCAAGGCGTACCTGCGATTATCTTATCAAAACTTAGTAGTATTTTGCAATACTTTTCAGTAGAAATGTAGCTGACCCCGAGAGGACCTTCGTGACTTCTTTTTACCAAATCGCTGGTGTTTCTGGTTCCATGCCCCGTCTCTGTTCCCACTAGTGAAAGACTGCGCCTTTTTTTAAACATGCACCAACCAGGAATTTTTGCTAAAGCGATCTTTCAAAATTTCAGTTGGAGGAAGACATAAATAAATGGGTCTATAAGCATGTTTAAATTCCACCATAACTCATAACGAAAATAAGAAGATTTCGCATTGTGTTATTTTCAGATATCGACCGATATTTAAAAGGAAAGTTGCAAGCAAGGAAACGGTCCAATGTTATTACATAAAAACATTGCATACCACGGGTGACAAATAACTGCCCGGATCATCCAACCTATTAATCCGGCTTTACTTTCAAATATTGCACGACCTGATAATTCAACTGATATTTGACAAATAAAGCCAAACGAATTCAAGATATCAGCAATGCTAAGACTGATGATGATAAGGACTTGGTTGCATCGACCAACTTTTGCAGCTTTCAGAATGTAAATTTCACAAATATTGAACACGATGGCACAAACAACGACAATTATACTGAGAATGTTGCATGCTAGCTTCGACGATGCATCCATTTCATAAAAACTCTGATAAGTTCAAGCAATTTTTGATTATGTATCAACGAACCTGCTTTAGCGTCATCAATCGGACGGGGGGTAATGTGGAGAGCAAAAATACGCAGTGCCGGGTGAAGCCACATAAAGGAAAAGTGAACAGCATCCTTTATCAAATTTCTTAAAAGCAAACTTTTTGAAGCAAAATAATTTTTATTGACTTGCATCCATTTTTCTGTTTGTTATTTTCCTATATTGTTACTCTACGGTTTTACTTGGCCCTATTTTAAAAACGACGGGGTTTCAAATCTATTACATCTGTAAATGACACGTCTGAAAAAAATTTTGGAATAGAAGAAGAGAGGGAGGTTATTTCAGCCAATTGCGAGAAGCTTTTACGACTAGCATCCTCTTTCAAATCATTTAAAGGTGCTTCAAAATAAATTATTTTGTTAGCTGCCTCAAGCGCCTTACGTAAGGCAGTCCAAATTTTCTAAAATATGCAAGTTTATTTCAGCTGAACCTGACTGAACCAGACTGAACCTGAAAAGCACCTTAACGCAGCAAAAAAAGATGGAGACGACACAAATGGTACAGCATTTTGCAGGGTCGCCGAGGGGTTATGGAGGCCTTGGGGCAAGATTGAAAAAGGAGGCACCCTGCGAAGAACGCAAGCAAATTTTTGCGACCTCCTTTTAGATTAGCTTAAAATTTTCATTCCTTTCTAATGTTTTACTTTTTTCGTTTAATTCTATCATTTTAAATAAATTCCATTTTAAAACGGAATTTTATACTCAATGTGGCCCATGTATGTTAATATTTCTAATTACTTATCAAAAGTGTTAGTACCTTAGTGATCAGCAACAATTTTTTAAGAACCTGTACAAAACACCATATTTTTATCTTGATGTTCAATGATAAATTTTCCTTAACATTAGAAACGTCCTAGATATAACCTTTGGAAGCTTAGAAGTTATAAACACAAATATAAATTCTTCTACTTTCTTAACCTAAAATTTTACATTTGATTAATACATTGAGGACGATACACGCAATAACAACTTAGATCCGACCTATTCTGAATGTCAAATTAGATGCAATATCGTCTATACATCTTAGTATTTTTTTTTATACTTGCAAAAATCTGAGGAAATTTATGCAGTGCAAGAAATAACTTTAAAAAGGGGCTTACCGCTTTCACAAGGTATGTTGGAATTGCAGGTTTTTTTGTCCGGAGTTGGTGCTGAATTATCTCTGCACTTCTCCCAATTTGCTGTCATATTTTTGTCATCTTTACAATGCAGTATCGTCATATAATATCCTTCAAGAAATAAATTAGGTGATTTAGTAAATAATCAAGCTAGTGACTAAACCAACTGATTTTTTTACACTGAAGTAAAAATAAATAGATTAATTTGTTTCTCTATCTAATTGGCTACCACGAGTTCTTTGCTTGCATTTTCTTTGAAACCAAAAACAGTTTGCACTTGATGTAAACAAGAATGGCTTTGTAATACGAAGTATCCACGAAAAATTTGCAATGATACCAGAAATTTTCTGACCCCATCGTTTACAGTAAAAGCAAAGAATAACTTTAAGAAATTAACCGAAAATTCGAATTTCTACTAGCAGCTCTGAGGCAGATTCATTATAGTTGCGTTATTTTCTCGTGGAATAAGCAGGATGGAAGTCGATCAAGGTCATGATAGGAAGACGTCCTCTTTGTTTTCTGTTGTAATTTTGATTTGTACTACTTTGTTGAACTGTTAACTGAACTGAACTAAATAGCAAAACCACCCACCGGTTCTAAGAATGTGATTGAAATTTTAGATTGCATCCTGTATGTAGATTAAGTAGGTAATTAAGAAAAATTGTAAACATGAGTTCACCTTTTCCACATAGTGCGGGGCAAATACTATATCTGTGAACCCAATGATATGATGGAGGACAAGCAGGCATTTCACATTTCTTAGTCTTGACACGTGGTTTCTTCCCTGTACAGAAACTCTCCTCCATTTCTGTACCAGTAATGTCCATTATACATTTCACTATAGCCTTTTTGAAACCTATAAGATAAACAATTACGTCCTAAGATAATACATTTTCAGCCAGCATACATTTTCAACGTTTACAATACCAATTCCATTAACAGCTTTGATTAGCAAGATTGGCAATTGTGGATCAAAACGATTTTCGCAGTCAAACCCCTTATAAAGTTTAAAACTTTACATTGTCATGAAAGTTACAGTACAAGCATGTGTGTGTTGAATGAGATTCAAACATTCTTTTCGTGGTACAAAAGTTAAGAATTGCTTTGGAAAAAGCAAGCACGTCGAGTCATACGTAAGTTTTTCGTCTGACATTCTTGAGAGTATACAACGTCAGAACATAGATCAAAACGCTAAGCTAGGAAATATATATACCCAGTTATGGATCAAAATAGAACAATCAGTGCCGCTTGCTTATTGAAAATTTTACCAATTGAGGCCTGAATGTGATCCCTATAATGATGTGTGGAAATGCAAATGTTTTAGATGTGGCAGGGTACAGATAACACTATATTTTTTGAGGGAAAACATGCTATTGGAATAAATGACAAACGATTGTTCGTTTGGATAAAAATTGGGCATACTGAAAATAATTGGCTTGAAATATGCGAGCCACGTATCACCTAGCAACACTTTAGGGAATCTTGCAGAAAAAAGAAGAATTAAGTTTAGACAATACATATCTAAGAGTCTTTGGAAAAGTGGTTCTGATCATATTTTCGTCAGAAGGGATGAATATCGCTCGCTGAACTGGAAAAACATCTTCGTAGAAATTACATACTTCTTTTCGAAATTTAAGAATGTTAATACTGTCTTTTCAAAGTTACACACTTCACTTCATAAAAAAATGTTAATAATTTTCTATATAAGTGTACGTTGAAAAAATTCATGTTATGTATTTATTCTGCTATTAATAGCATTAGAATTTTGCTAATATTAATATTATCAGCTAATATTAACAATATTAAATTTTTCTGGCAAGAGGTGTGCAAAATTTGAATTGTTTTTTGTGCAAATGTCAAGAAAACCCTACCTGTTCCACAAGTAACACTACATTCGCCATAGGAAAGTTTGTAAGAATATGAAGGAGGACATTCGCCTTCGTTGCATTTCATTTGAACCACAGTTGGAATTTGTGATGTACATTTTGATTTGTCTTCAACATATGAGCCATTCACCTTTTGGCACTGAATAATCGGAGTCTTAAACCCTTAAACATGAAACGACAATCACAAAGTACGTCACAGGATTACCAAAAAAGTTTTGCTTCCATCTAAACTTTGATAATGTTGAAAATATTTATCTTATTTACGATTTTATTCATTAACAATTAGTTCTTGGCACTAGTCATTGCATCTCTTGCAATATTACATCATGGAGAATCATGGAGGTGTCGTTCTTATGCCAATATGTAAAATTTTTCAATGTTTTCTATGTCTATGGTTACAATTATACGATAATGTTTATGGTTACCACTTAACGATAAGTTCACATTGAGTCAGTCCAAAAAATGAATGAAATAAGAAACCACACATACCATTTCCGCAAGAGGTACTGCACGCACTAAAGGAAACTGTCCAATTGTAGACTGGAGGGCAATCAAACATTTTACAGTTATCTGTTGGACCAACCTTAGGCTTTAAAGATGGGTCACAGTTCAATGGGTCGACCTTAACTCCATCGATTTCTCGGTAGCATTCAACATCTTTCTTGATAGTCCCTTAAACCAACAAAATCTTGCTTTTTGCTTCAATTGTATTAAAGTTATCTCAAAACAAAGGTTGCAACCCTAATGAAAACAAAGGTTGCAACATCTCAGAGCAACCCTAATGAGATGTTAAGAGTTTAACGTGGCAAAACCGATAATTTTGTAATTGTGTCTGTCTAATAGGCAATACAGACACTAAAAGTTAGTGCCAGGAAAAAAACTATACAAGTTAAAATAGGATTTAGTTGCCATTGGAGTTTAAAAACACTTACTGATTATGCGATATTTAAAATAGCATTTAAATTCATGAATTGAATTAAGTTAAACTGAAGTTCAAAATATAGCATACCTGACCCACAAGTGACACTGCAGACACCTTTTGATATCTTCCAAATGTAGATAACAGGACAGTCTCCAGCATAACACTGCTTCGAAGAAAGAGGCTTTGGCAACATTTTGCAATGCTTGTCAGAAACGATGCTGCCATCGATTTCCTTTCTGCATGTCACATTTAATGGTATTGTTCCTGAAATAACGATTGGTACTGTCAAAGTGATAGCTTTATTCTACTTTTTTCATACTACATAAAGATATTAAAGGTCTCATTTCTCTTTTCTATAAACGAATTAAAAATCTGCCTTTGAATAAAAGTTTCCCTTATATAAAAATTCTAAAGCCTAATAAATGTTAACGAGCTTTCCCAAAATACGAGCAAGGAAATTTCAGAATTATTGAAATCTATAAATCTAAGGGTCTTCTTGACTTGAGATATCATGATATAAATTATCAATAAACGAACGTCGAATTAAATTCAAATAAAAGTCCGAGTCCTCCAGTGAGTTGCTATCTTTTTCACAAAATATGGATACGATAAACTTGATATCAACAATTCAATAGAAAATGATATATCTCTGGCTAGCTATAATTCTCTAACCGATTTGTTTGAGCTTCTTACTAGAAAGCCTTACAAGTTAAGTTAAGTGATGTCACAATATTGAATCATTAAATCCAAAACAAAATTATCTGTCGCTGCCATATGGGTTATGGCAAATGTCTTAAGATTCTAGCTTTTGCAAGTTAATAAATAAATGGTTTACTTAGAATCATTCAGAGATTAGGACCCTAAAGGCTTAAGTGAATCTTAAAAATCTCAACAAATGGAGCCCTTTATATAAGAATAAGATCATCTTTACTGTAAAATAATGGCAAATCGTTTTTATTGGTAACTATTTGGTGTTTGGACATTCACTCTGAGCAATCGTATGGTTTATGATAATAAATAATCTTTTTTGTAGACGTGACTGACCGTTTCCACAGCTGACACTACACGTTCCTTCAAGCAATTTCCAGTCATACTTTTTTTTACATTTCTTTGAATTGCAGGGTTTTGGCTTAACTGCTAATAGGTCTGGCATCTCATCATGAGAGCAAAGAACACTGCTTTCCTTCTCTCCAGCAGCCATACATACGATCTTTGGAAACTGAAGCCCTGTGATGAAATTAAAGGTATATATGACATGCAAAATTGATCGTATGCCTTAGACCTGCATGGGCTACCGAGACTTAGATGACATTAAACACTAAAGTGAAACAATTATTTTCGAATTGAGTGTATTGGTATAGCTGTTTTAGTCATTTTCTGGTATTTTTTATACACTCAAAAAATTATCTTTCCAAAATTACATATAAAAAAATCAGTTAGAGAACTTGAAACTGGAAGCAGCAGATTTGAAACCACGCTGTACGATGTATGGGTTTGCAAAATACCATATTTTTCAATCCACTATTTGATCTATTTTAGCAATTATTAATTGGACTATTGATATCAGATGAATGTAATGAATATAATAGAAGTGAAATAGAAAGCAATATTGATTCAGAATGGCTTGATAACCTGCTAGGTTTGGAAATATCTCAATCGTGTTACTTGTTAGCAAAACACGTTAGGGATATCACAAGTATATGATATTCGACTTTTGGAAGTGCAGATTGATAATAAGACAAATAACATGTACGGCGACAAAAATATGTTATTTCAATGTAATTCATGGATTGTCAAATATTGGATTTCTCATGGATTCAAGTCAATTGAAGTCGAAAAGTGCTATTACAATATCTTTTTCTCTCGCCATCATTGTTATTTGTATGAGATATTTCATAGATAAACAGACTCATCCAAACGATAGCTTATCTTGTTTTTGAATTCTTGTTTTTTTTTAATCGATATAGCGCCATCTTTAGGTAAAGCTGTCTATTAAGTTTCAAATTAGCAGATAAGGTACAGGAAAATGGTTTTAAGGATATTTCAAAGGGTTTTTTAATCTAGTAGTCGAAAAAACATGAAATTCTAGAAAAATTAACAAACAGGGAATCAATGTGCAACAATAAAAAAATCAAGCAGAAAGAGTATTTACTCGGACAATAAATTTTGAGTTTCATGTTAGGTTTAAAGTTTTGTTTTTCATAGGAAGCATACCTCCTCCACAATGCCTAGAGCATTCACCAAACACAATCCGCCAAGCAGAGCAAGGCTCATCTTCGTTGCACGATTCTTTTGAAAACGGCCTAGCCATACGAGAGCATTCCAGCTCGTTTACAATTTTGATGGATCCATCTTCATTTATTCGTTTGCATTCAACTGTACGGGTCATGTATCCTTTGCCACAGCTCGTAGAACACTGAAGAATATCAAACAGAGGTTAAAAGAAGAATCAGTGAAGCTTATTTGGATAAGGCCTTATGTCCAACACAGTTTCTTGACAGTTGTTCTATAACCTGTCTTAATGGAATCATCAAAACCCTTAATTCATCGAGGTCAAAGATTTCTAAAGCCTAAGAACTCTGAATCTTAACCTTCTGTACAAAAAACTATTTGTATTAGAATGCTTTGAGCTTTATTTCATACCATATTTGGTACAAGTAACAAGAGCAAAAGTATTTCTTTTTTGCTACGGAGGAATTAAAAAAAATCTAGAAAAAGCCACGAAAAAGTTTAAATGGCTGAAGGGACAGCTTTGCATGAAATGAAAGCAAGCTTGAGTGCATGAGACGCAAGCTCGCAAAAAAGTTGTATGTAGAAAATAAAGACAATGAAAGTATTGCAAATATGATTTTGCCTTGATTTCATATTTTCTCATCTTAGTCTTTTGTCTAGTATTCATTCATCTTTGTAATCGCTTAGCAAATGTCTCATGCAATTAAAGATGCTCAGTTATGTTCATAAAACCAAATGCAAGGATTGTAGAATGCAACGCCTCTAAAGTAAATTTATCATTTTGGCGCAATCAGTGTGTATGTTTTTTATCTTTGCACTTTAAACCTCCTGAGCATTCCTATTTATTAGGGTTTGACTACAGTTATTTTCAAGAAAGTTTCTCCGCTTTTCTAAGTATGACTATATTGTATTGAAGATAGCAGTACAATAACAGAAGCAATTAAGCTAAACGAAGCGACAATACACTTGAACCTCACAGCGGCTCACCCTCCCTTTGAACCTCCTTAAAAAACTTAGTGTCATGCCTAATAAAGTTATGAAATTTATGACACCATAGAATAAGAATAGCCGTTATTCTTATTTCGTGATGACACTTAAATACGCCTCTGCAATAACTGATTCAAACAGTTATAACATCGCAAGGAGACACCTCCACTGCTACCTAGGAATTTTTTCAAGAGACATATTTACTAATCATATTTCGAGCACAGAAAACCCAAAGATCCATACCTTGCTCCAGTTGCCTGATTTCCACATACTTGGGCATTTGATTTGGTTACAGTTCTCTGTCAATGGTAGTTTCTCTTTCTTGCTTTTGCACAATGATTGATCCTTGACGACAAAGTACTTATCATTGCTTCGTAACTCAGCGCAGTTGTGGTCACGTGTGCGTGTTCCCTTCCCACACGTTTTACTGCAATCGCTCCAAGGGTGAACGTGCCATCTGCATTGATAATATCAACCGATTACATTGATCTTATCAAATTCTTAATCAAAACAAAGCTTTCTTTTATCACAGTTAACCAAAATGGAAAGGATCAGCGTATGTCTTTCTAAAATATGACGTCGAATATGTTTTCTAGAATATGTCTTGATCATTTTGAGACTAGAATATGACGTCGACACTAAATAACATCGTTTATTCTTAGAGAGAAATTTATTCACTTTTATATTACAGCTTATTTGAACTGCTGTTTTCTGTTTTTTTGTGTCCTTTGCATACCGTGGGGTACACAAAAATATCAAAATATTTTGAGCAAGTGCTGTGAACCTCAGGAAAGAGACAACCTGAACCATCGCCATGAAATGTAATACTTTTTCATAACTTACAAAAGATGTCAAATAAATGCCAGAGAATATTTCGTTTTCTGCATGCTTTGATTCAATTCTCGATTGGCCAATTCTTGTATCTGTTTTGTTTAAATTACATAGCATTCCATGTCTTGTTTTCTGTATTTTAATTTCGTTGATAAGTAGTTGTTTTTATATCTGTTATGTATTTCATAAAGATTAGATATTAATATCAGACTAAATTACAACTGTACGCAAGAAATGAAAGTTACTTACTCTGGTGGACAAGGCTGTATATTGCAGTCCTGGACTGACGCTGGCTTTTCTAGACTTTTGCAGTATTTCAAACTAATTGGAGATTTATCATCTTGCCTCCTGCATCCTAGCAGTCTTTCCTGTTTGCCTTGTGAATAAAAACAAAATGCAATCTGATTACAGAATTCAAATCCAGTGGCTAACCCAATCGAAGATAATTTCATAGTATGCTTACGTCATTTCTGTGTTTGTAGGCTATAAAATTTGCGCTGAAAGTTCTTCAAAAACAAAAAATAATCAGAATTTTAAAAACAAAACATTGATTCACATAGTTCAAAGAGCAAAAATAATCCGCCATTTTATTTATTTTTGGCACAGTCTATCTTTCTAAACTATGTTTCTGAAACTTGCAATTCGCTAATAAAAACATTTTTATAACTTGTGTAAAAATTATATCTTGAAATATTTTAAAGAATCACTGTCCGGTCTGCTGTTTAATGCTTGATGACTTTTATAGGTTTACATGCCCATATCTTCCCTAACAATCTTTTCTTGCACCACATTTCATTGCAACGTTTCTTATAAGACATTTCATTTAAAGCTGTAGTTGAAAACTAAAAGAAGTATAATGATTTTCATACTTAATGAAACCTGCCTTTTCATAATAATTTTTCTTACCATCTTGAATTTTTATTATTCGAAGGAACTAGAAAGTGGTTGAGCAAAACCTTTCTCTTAATATAAAACAGGATGGCAAACCTTTATAAAAGCATTCGCCTACCATATTGACCTATTTCACACAAAACTCGACGTTTGCAATGCTTGCGACAGCAAATGACGTCTTTGACGAAAAACCTAATAACGAAATTGAATTTTTTAACACATGAATTTATTACCTCCTGCACATGTTTTGCTGCATTTTCCCCAACCTTTCCGTATATAGTATTCTGGTTTTGACTTAGTGCCTTTCTTTGAGTTAAAGTATGTCCATTTGACTCCTTTGCTTGAACCAATAAGATATAGATTGTAGAACTGTCAATAATAATGAATAAACAAGTGATAGAATAAACAATAAACTCATGAGTTGAAAATGATTCAAAACAAAAGCAGACATATCTAGGTGACAGCAAAAGCTAATTCGTTACATAAAAAGTGATAAGCTCTCTTATATAATCTTAATCTATAAACGAGCATCTCAAAAGCTAAAGCAGAAATTTGAAGAATAATTTCTCGAACTCCGGATACCATAAAAAACTTTAAACGTCATTGTTCCCGGAAAGAGGCAGCTCAAAACGAGAATTCGCTTGAATAGGCAACGCTGCTACTCACGATGATTGTTATGTCTTCTTGGATCACTCCTTTGATGATGATTTTGTCAGGATACGAAAAGGCGTTCATGACGTAAGTCAAATCTGCTCCAGCACATTTTGTTCTCGTTGACCACCGAGGGAGATAATATAGCAAAGACCTGCTTTTGCCAACTCTGACACCTACGAAGCAAGATTCAATCTAACCGAATTTGCTGAAACACCAAATAGGCTTTTTGGTTGTTCTGATGAGTTGAATTATAATTGCCATTGCCCAACGTGTGCAAAATTGATATAAAAATGCACTATTAATTATTGCTTCGGATCGTGTCAATTGTGGTAAGATGGCAAGGATCGAACATGGTTACAACAGAAAATCTTTCCGCTTAGTATTTTAATTTCCCATTTTAAAACTGTTAATCAAAACACAAAATCTTAAATCTTATCCTGAAGATCACGATAACGGAAGAATAGTGAAGTTGTCATTTAATTATCACTTAATCCAAGTACACAGTACTTATTCTGCAATACCCATTTGGTCGCTGATTTATCAAAATATTATCCAACCTTTTGCGCAAGGTTTAATAAGCCCTACTGAATGTGATTTTTGTTGGTAGCATTCAGTGGTTCTGATCAGAACTTCCGCAAGAAAATCTAGAATAGGAACTTCCATCCTTTATAATTTTTCTTTTTAATTGTTTAAAGTGTCCTATAAACACTTTGAATGAATCAGAAGCCAGCTTGCATTTATGGCACTATAATACTTTCTATATTGGAAAAGTATTTGGCAAATGCTTAGCAGATGTCTTTAAAAAATGTACCAAGGAAATGATATGTTGATCCCATTTCTTGAACCACTATGTTTTTCGATCCCTTTGGTATTTTTGTTACCTCATGATATCCTAGAAAAGAGAGAATAGGCGATAGTTAGAGAGCTCTACTTTTCTAATCGTATTAAATTTTTCAACAGAAGAACAAACTTGAAGGCCGTATTGTCCCATCACCAACAAAGCGATAAATAGAAGTTAACAGCAAACAACTAAAACAAATGTAAGAATATGCAAGAGTATTTGCAATAACTCAAATAACAAAGCCACTTTCAAACATTGACGTTGTTACCTTGGCTCCTGAAAGGTTTCATATTTTTGCCAGATATGTGACCACAGCCAGAGCCATCACCTCCACATGTACCACATCGATCCAATATTGTGCCAGACTCAAGCTCCAAATCACAACCAACCTCCTGAAATTGCAAGGAAACATTAACAAGAAGCCTAATCAAGCAGCACATTATCCAGAAAAAACTCTGATTTAAAAGTTGCATTACATTACAAACTATCAAATTGCCCTGTTTCAAGAGCCGAGCATTAGCTAATACCTTTTGCTTGCCAGAAATACAGGTATCTGGTAGATTTGGAACTGCCTGAGTGCCATCTGCTGTACTGCCGTAGATGACCCAGGAACAGATCAGTGTGCAAGGCGAATCCGCTATTAACCAAATAAAGAACAAGATTCATTATTTTTTTAATAAAACAATGGATAATGCAAAGAAAGCTTAAATTGTAGACGTAAATAGGTAGCTTTATAAACTTCAAAGGACTCACGATTAAGATTAGGTGTTTTGTCGGAGCCAATGGCATGGCATTGCTCTTCTCTAAAAGATGGCACACCAGGGGGACATGGCTACAAAAGCAATAATTTGTCAGTAACATGTGTTTCAAATGCAAATAACGGTAGTTTACTGATCAAGCAATAGAGAAGCGTTTGGAACTGGAGTGAGAGCTAATTATGGGCCTTTGTCACTCTCCGTCGTAGAGGGTGTGGCAGCAACCAACCTTTTTGTCAGGGCTAGTTGCGATGGAGAGTGACCCTTTATAGAACTGGAGTGAGAGAACATTTCATAAGGTTAAAAAGAAATGGAAAATACGGAATTACAGGTATTATTGAGCTAATTTTGATTTAAGTGATTTTAGTGCAAATTGTAAGATTCATTTCAGAAAGAGTGTTTTAAGTTCTTAGAAACAAGCTATTTGATAAAGACAGCAATCACAAATGAAAGCATGTATCATAAAATATCCTATGTTTTTTATATATTCATCATTCAATAGGTCTTTAACAACCATGGCTGCTTGAATGTTTCTATTTATGTCTATTTGTCGGAGAGCAGGGGCGGATCCAGAGCCAATTTGAAGGAGGGGCAATTTGTATTGGTGACCGCTGCATGCAACTATTTCAGAACCTAACTACTGACAGAAGGCCATCTATTCACCTTGTAAGGACATGTTTACAGTGATTGTTGTATACTTTGAGGTAATCCTTGAAGTAAATTAACGTATAAATCTCAGAAAATTTTAAACCTGATTCTCATTCTTCAAAAGAGGCGCACCAGAATTGCTACAACTTGGCGAGGGAGAGTCAACTGCCCCTACTTGCCTTCCCCTTAAATTCGCCACCGTTGCAGAGTTACTCTGAAATAGCCTGAAAACTCGTGTGTAGCTGCGATTAGCTTAGGTACCAATCTGCTCCACAAAATGCCAGAATCTTTAGCAATTGATAAATCATTTTTAAAAGATTTTTAAGAGATAAATTTTTAGAAATAAATTTCCTGCAAATTTTCGACAGAATTAAGTTACAAGGACAAAAGTTTTAAAAACTACGTGAGTGAGGTAAAAATTACAATAACCAACTTTCATATTGCATGTCTTGAAATGACCATTTTCAAGTCCAATGCACTTCTTTCCACCATGAAGTGGCCTGCAAAATAAAATTATAATTATGATCTAATTGCATCAAGTGACTTTTAAAGCTATACAGAAATTTTTTGAGAGAAAATTTTTACATTAGCAAAGTTAATTTTAAACTTAGTAGCTACAATAAGATACAATTTTTTTCGAACCAGCAAACACGCATTTTAAAATTTTCACCTCGATAAATTACTAAGCAAAGGAGCAAGATGAAAATATCTTCAATGTAAGTTTTTATGGGAGAATAAATTGTCAAACTTAGTAACTTTGAAATGTCATGCTTACGCTGGGTTTGTGCAATTTCTTCTCCTCCACTGCATGCCACCTCCGCATTTACGATTGCATTTAGTATATTCACCCCATGAGCTCCAACCACCATCCAACGGTTTCGGGGGCTTAGTGCCATCACTAACACACTCCCCAAATATGCACCACTGTTTATATAAATGAAATTTTCATTATTTAATAAAATTTTTAAAAGAATTGAAGTGATCTTATACTTACTCAGTCCCTGATTCTCTTAACCTTCGATTCATTTCAAGAGAAAATATAAAACTATCGCAAACGAAGACTATATTGAATATTAAATATTACTTTATAGTGAATATTACTTTACTTAGTCAGCGAGCCTAGAATGAGTCATGAATACCATTGCAACAAAAAAGAAAAAAGTTGTGCATAAGTCGATATTCAAAAAATCCTAGCGAGAAACAAAGCAGTCAAATATTTAACATTTCATGTTCTGGCATTAACAGAAATCCGGCAGAAATTTGCTTCTTTCATATAGGAAATATTTTCTATCATGTATGACGCTTCAGAGGTATCTTTTTACATCAGGCTGCTATGAGCTTTATCATACCTAATTGTTTGCTTACCCGTCTTTCTCCACACCAGGTTCCGTGTGCCGCTGGATGAGTAGTTGGGTAGCACAGTACTGAGTTTGCTTTCTTACAATAGAGGTGTTCGCACGTACCCTGTGGAAGCAAAGGCAAGCTGACACACTTTAGCAAGATACATTCGCTCATCAAGTCTCTCTATGCCAATATGATATCTCAGTGGATGAAATAATTTTGTATGATCGATCTTGTGTGAAAAGTAGAATCAGCTTATTGGCTGGGCGATGGAAGAATTCTGCACTAATAGGAGGGTTCTAGAAGTAAAAGGGCCCTTAAGGTTGCTTTCAAAAACGCTTTGAATTTTTCCATTACTGAAAAGCATTTGCTAATGAGGTCTCATTGTATGCTAAATTTGTAGTCTTAAAACCTTTTCTAGGCATCTTTATTCTCAACATATCATTCCGTTAATCCTCTTTCTAGGTAGTAGCTACGAAATTAAAAAAGATAACTTGGACATACTGCAAGAGAAAGACAGCGCTTGAAACCTTTGCCAAAGGCAAGCTCGCATTGCCGATCACCATTGTAAACAACACCATAATGCTGGAAAGATACATTTGTAAATGTTCTTGTTGGCTTGTCATCATAACATTTGGACCTGCTAGAGCTAGAAGACAAGGGAGTGCAGCTTTGAATCAACTCTGTCTTTAGAAATACAGATTTGATCACAATCTATACGCAAAAACATTAGTTTTATTCACTGGAGACGTTTCAAATCTAACCTTGCATCGATTAATTACAATTGAAAATTACATTAGCTACTCTCAAAAATTGCTAGTGAAAGTTGAACATATCCAAACTGTCGTGCCTTGAAAAAGTTAGTTGGGTTCTCAAATAGTATTAAGAAGTAAAATATTTAATAATCAAGGCATATAATCCTAGAAGTAATAGAAGCTCTGAAAGTTATGAAATGAAAACATAAAAACTATCGTTCTGAAATGAGTAACAGAAGCAAAAAGACTTACAGCAGATTAAGCTCTAAAGCCTTCGAGCTACATTTTGACCAGACCATCCCACTCCCACCATTTCCAGTACCGGATGACATAAGGTTTATTCCATTTCGACATGCAGTGTTCTGGTCATCAGCATCGTGGGTTACGCCAAGACTAAACAAGAGAAATGCATTTATGTATCTCTTGCTTGTTTTCAACAAAATGATTTTCATTATATATTGAACAATGTTAATATCACAAATTTAAGCTACTTGTCAAAGAATATGTTTTTCAGAACCTTTACGGTCACATGAAATTTTTCAAAAACCGGCTTTGTAACACCTCTTGTTGATGATGACTTATTTCAACATATGAATATGAACCCCTAAATTAGAGTAAAATGATAGAAACTGGAGAAAACTCACTTATGAGCAAGCTCGTGGGAGGCAATCAGAAACGACATAAGACCCTTGTCAACAACAGCAGATTGGCTCGTTGGTTTCCAACAAATGCCAACACCTGCCCAGCCTACATAATTGTAAAAAAACATACAGTTGAAATTGCATCACCAATTAATACATTTTGATATCCGATGATATTGTAGTTTATATACAATATAATATACTATTGGTTGGCTAAACTAGTAAAAAAGATAAAATCGATCTAGACCTGCCAAAAATAAAAAAATCTTTCAATCACTCTAAACAAGTAACGATATTTTGCGAGAATTGTCTACATAGCTAATATTCAACAAAACATAAATACATACAAATCAGTAAAAGTTTATTTAAGTTACAGGTGATTTGTTGCAATAAGAAAGTATGAAAACTTGATACAGTAAAAAGTCTTGAGGCAGAATCATTAAAAACCTCTTGTTTCTTTCCATCATTGCTCTCTACTACCAATCTAAAGGATTATCGGTGTTTAACTCCTTTATATTGAAACGCTGTCAGAGTAAACAATTGTAGTTCTTTTGAGTCAAAACAGCTTTCTTGGTACAAGATTTCTCACGAACTGGATAAGTCTTTACCCTGGGTACCAGACTCGCTGTATAAAATAATAGAGACTTGGGTACCAGACTCTATTTTATTTTATATATTGTGAGTCTGGTACCCAGGGTAATGAGTCTTTTGCTAAAGGGTATAATCACTGCCAAAAGTTTTAGGACACTAACGTCAGATTTTAAAGGCAAATTCAGCCACCTCTTCTCCCCCTAAGAACAATGTTGATTAACTAGAGTAAAAAGGAAGGGGTTTTGGAGTATGCTTTTTCGTGTGCGTTGTATGATGTTTTTCTATTCTTTTATCCATGTTTTGGGGGAAAGGGGGACAGAAGTAGTAGTATTCGTGAAAACAAATGAAAAATAGAAAAGCACAGCGAAAAGTGTTGGGTGTTCCAAGTAATTTTGGCAGTGACTGTAGTATTTAAGCAGTGCAGTGGATTGAATTTTTTCTGCTTACCTGCATAAGTGCATCCGTCGGCACAAGCACCTCTAGAATAGAGAAGGATAAATATGACGTCACTAAATCGAAAGTACAATCAGTGAAAGAGTTCTATTCCTTAGCAAAACACTTTAGATACAAAACAGAGATGCTTAATTTAATAAACACACAAACGTCAAGCATGGGACAATGGTAAACATGTTAGAGCTAATAGCTAGGATAACTGTTACGTCTGATGCACTTTGGGGGTGGTACAAAGGAATCTGGATAAAAAATAATCAAGTTTTTTTGTCAATCAAACAAGATATAAATTTTCTCGATAATAAGCAAAAAAAGAAACAATAAAGTTTTTCTGAAAGATGCATTCTCGATCTCAAAGGCTAGTACGGCTAAATCTATCCTGAGTAACCTTTAGAAAACAACCTTGAAAATAGAATTCCATTATCCACATGTAAGGGATCGTTGTCATCTTCTGGATTGTTTCTATAAAACCACTTTCGAAACTTGTGCATCAGATCAGGAGTCGAAAGTGCTCCTTTGAACTGTAAAAAATAAAGGAAATGGTTGCATGTTGTCAACTTAATTGACAAAATATTCATATCGCTTAAAGAATCAAGATATATACTTATTCAATAAGGAGAGTCCTTTGAAAAAGTGCCATATAATTACAAAGGGATTTGATAAAGTATCACGCATTTAATGTATTTTAAAACTGCATTGTATCAAATGTTTTTTAAATAATGCCTTCATTACCAAAGATGTTACAATGGCAAATGATGCATATCACTATCAAAATAGCAGTAGAGATAGAGGTAGTTTTGATTCGAAGAGCTAACACAACGGGTTTTCTAAAGAGAAAGAGAAAGGATGCAAGTAATGCATATGCAAAAATGTTGCAGAATTTTACTGCGTATGAATAAGTTAAAGTTAGCTGAGACGTTTATAAATAAGGTCTAGACTCTATGAGACATCAGTCTATGATCTAAGTTAGTATGGGCTATAACTAATATTGCCGGTTGCAACTAAATTCTACTGCGTTACTGGAATATGCAAGAGGGACCAACAATAGCGCAAATACACAGGACAATCTTTAGAATGTGTAAAATATACAAAAATAAGCTTCCAGCTAGCTGACTGCTTTTTCTTTATGCTCACCTCATCTATCTCTAGCATAACAACTCTTGTTACAACGACCGTTACTGGATATGACAATGACTTATCCTGGAATGTCCCAGCAACCTAGAAACATGAAATAAAATCATTCAGTCTATAAAGTGTTGACTTTGTAAAATTTTAACAAATTCATCTCTTAAGATAAATGAAACAAAAACAATATACTATTGAGAAACGAATGAATTGATATTGGAAGAAATTGAAAGATGAACTAAAAAGCAGTGGAAAAAGGTATACAACTTATTGATGTATGTTAAGGAACAAATATCTGACTTTCTTAAACCAACTTGAAAATTATATGATGAAAACGGAAGTAAAACGACAAATAAAACAGCAAAAGAACAAGAAATGAGGTTACAAATAGATTGCTTCCTCGTAGGTTTGAATTTAATTTTAAAGTTCTGCCTGTGAAGTATCGATCACTTTACAATCCATTAATTGTCAATTATTGCAAAATTATTTATATTAAAAAATTTTAGTGCTGAATAAAAGCTAATTTTTGAAGGACTAGTTAAAGTAGACAGGTGAAATTTTTTATCTTATCTAGACTAGATTATCTAGACAACACTGAAGCGAATTCAATAAGAGTTCAATAAGTTTAATTGCACTTGTTCACAAAATTTAACCTACCATGTTGCCTTGCGCTAGCAAATAGGTGTGCAAGAAGTCTTTGCCATAGTAATCTGTCATTGTTTTATCTCCAACCAGCATCAGCTCTATAGTTTTTTCTGGTCGATTCCTAAAAATTGATCGCCTTTGACGATAGCTAAACGGGGCTTGAGGTCTCTTAAAGGTTCCTGAAAAGATACGTCAGAATTGCAATAATTAGTTAAAATTACAGAGACAAGAAGGGTTATGTCGTTATTTAGTTATAGGAAAAATTTGGAGTTGCCGAAGACAGAATAACTGTGTATCAAGAGAAAGTATATCAATTTTAGGGGTATTCAAAGCGATTTTTTGCCAGTTATGTTTGATATTATAGAATTGGTTATCATTAGCGTGGATACGGTTTGGTAGTTTTACTACTGTATGCAGAGGCAATTAAGATGTAAGGTTAGGTACAGGAAGTTATATTGAAAGCAGATAAAAGGCAAGTTCTTGGTTTATTAAAATCGTCCTAAAGCTCATCTTCAAACTTCTAAAAAACTTTCTATATGTGTGCTTCAAATAGCTATCAAACATAGAGAGACTAGTCTCTTACTGTCTACTATCCTGGAGTTACTACCTTAGGTGAGTTAAGGGTAAGCCAATATTCGATGATACCTTAAAAGTGTCCGTCAAAATCATATCTGTATGCTATAGTCCTCTTTGTATATTCCCTTTTTTAAAAACTTTTTCTCTTATATGAGTGCTTTCTGTAAACTTTAGTCAACCGAATTTCAAAATTAAACTAAAGTAGATCTACTGATGAGGTTTACAAACTTTGCATAGCAAGGTACCAGATTAATACAGACAAAAAGCATAGATTATTACAACGAATCAAATAGCATTACCTCTATTCCCAAGATTTTGACCAGAAACACAAAAGTACTCACCTATCAAACTTTTAGAGTTATTCCTCAACGATTGGAGATCAGAGAGGTTAGATTTTTTGTAGAAAATGTGTGCTCCATGAGATTTGTCATGCTCCTGAACTTCAAGAATACTTCTAGGAACTGGGGCGATAACAAACAACTGATTTTCTCTGAAGATCATACCACTCTGTATTTAAAAAATCAAAAGCTGTTAAAAGATTCCTTGAGTTTTAAATGGAACCTACTCAATTGTAGAATGGGAAAGCTTAAATGACCTTTTCCAATATTACATTTGATAGATATGCATGCAACTTTTTCGCACATGCTCCCCCAGTACCGCCCCCCTCCCGCTTCCCTCCTGCCCTCCCCCTTCCCAACAGATGTAATCAGACAGATTCTACCCAGTTTCACTCAAGCTGTCACGAGAATTTCAAATTCGCCACTAATTAGCAATTTATTTTTCTTACCATGCCAACTGAATGATCCAAGGCTACCAGGGAATCGCCACTGTTCATGACTTCCCCAATCGTATAGGTAGCCTCTTTTCCAATCAGCCTCTCAACACCTTCCTCACTGTGATGCTCTATCATTTGATTCTCTGGAATTACAGCTTTGTTGGCGGAGACATTCAGTTTGAAATCCTCCCCAAATGCATTGAAATGAAGATATACAAATTCTGCTTTATGTACTTTCTTGCTTGTATTCTTTCCTTTACCGTCCACGGTGTAGGGAAAGACGATCTCAAAGTCTAGAACTAGAAAAAGTCCCTTTGGGTGCAATGACTGTTAGTGTGATATGTGCCTTTGGTTATAATATCAAGCTAGATTGTTGGAATAACAGATCTCAGAAATACAGTATATGAAATTATATTCATAACATTTTTAGTGAAAAAAGGCAGATAATTTTTCGTGGGTTCAAAAGTCTCAAATCGCTTTGAAATAATCACAGGACTCAAAAAGAATCATTTAAATCTCCTTATTTATTACCTCTAAGACGAGAGCCATAACCCTTGAGATGATATTTTGGATCACGCAAAGCGAGCAGTGAAAACTGAAAACCTAGTCAATGCTAGGGTAAGCTCGATTTATATGACTTTTCATACCAGCCGAAAGTAGCCGGAAAAATGTCGTATCGCGTAAATATCGCAGGATTATCGCGGGAGCAGTTCTTCATCAATTCTTTGTACTCACCTTGTGATGAATTTTCACGACCAAAGATTTTGTAACGCAACGCTGTATCCAGCTTTTTTAGCAGTTCCTAAAAAAACATTCATTCACAAATCAAATTAAACATCAAATGCGAACTATATTTGTTGAACAACATGTGAAAAAAGGCTTATCAAAATCATTTTAAAAAGTAATAGTGGCGAATCATTTTCCTTTCAAAAAGTCTGACGATTGCGATGACAAATATGATGCATGATGGGTTTAGGATTTAATTGTGGCAAAATTTCATGACGAAATTTCAATCCCGTCGCAGGTCCTTCTTTATTATAAGGTAGCGAATAAGGCAGGTCAGTTAACAGCTTTTACTAAAGTAAGCACAAAAACAGTGTTTGCTATATGAATTTTGGATGTAAAAGAAGCTATAAATGTGAATATATAATTATAGATGCTGAAATTGCTGCTTTTTAATTCCTCGAAAGCTGTTAATGTTTGTGTTGCAAGACTGAAAACCAATTTTGCTTACAGACAAAGAGGAACTGAAGATATAAAGAAAAAAAGACACTCACTGATTTAAATGCTATGCTATTGATGTGTTTGTCAGATAGGGTTTCTGCAAAAGACCATTAAAACAACGGTTGTGAAAACAACAAGAATTTCTAGCAAACAAAATATTTATGTATTTGTAGAAGCTTCTGAAATCGGTTTGTTACACAAAGAACATTATCATTGACATATCTTGATTTGTGAATTCAGAAACAATGCCCGATACATTTTAACATTAAACCATAGTCAATAGAATTCTATTGACTTTGATTAAACATAGGCAAAGCATCGCTAGGTAATTCAAAGAAATTGAGACAGCGAGAGATTGAGCATTTTTCGAAGAAACAATCAGCTTTGGAAATACATATTTTACATAAATGCTTACTAAAGCAATAAGATTTAGAAATCAAGTTAAAATTGAAGCATGCGATAATACTAAAATTACCATTTTCAACTTTATCAAAAGCGAACAGAACGCCAATAGATGAGCAAAGAATGAGGAACGCTAGCCCGTCAGCAATTGTCTTTTGTAGAAAATACATTTCTAAAACGAATGGATTGAAACGCAGTAGCATAAACAATATAAGATAAATGACAAAGGCCACTCTTCGTTGGAAAAGCGATTAGGCCTCCTTTTATTGATAAGAATATAGACCACCTGAACTTCTTCTTCTCCAGATGTAATGTTTATCAAAGAATACTTTGTTTGAATGGCAAAGTCAAGTTGAATTTATAATACATAAGCTTTTAAACAGAAAAAAGCTATAAAACAACATATAAAAATAAAACCCAACTTTTAAAAAGCTCAGTTATGTTGTGCATAAAGGAAAGAATAATTATTAAAATCACTACAGAATATTCTCATTAAGAAGTCAGCTTCATTCAGAAAAATTCAGATGTCTCTATGCCTTGAATACTGCTTAAGGAATCGTGAAGGAGGCTATATGAAAATCTATTTGTTGATTATGTGTTGCAAAACTGAAAAGACGCGTTTATTTACCTTAAAAAGTTTGCTGCAAACTAATCCGAGGTCAATGTCAGTAAAAAGCTTCCATTAAGAAATTCCCCTGGATATTGTTCAGCTTTTGATAGATCTGCTTCAATAGTGTTGTAAGAGCTCCACTTTTGAAGATGAAGTCACAGAACCATTGCAATCTTTGCTAGAATGATACAGCATCAACTCTAACATTAAAGTTAGCAAAGAGATTAGTCGCTATTCTTGCAAGGCTCTACCCTGCTCCATGCAAGCACCAATAGCACCTCAATATTTCGTCTTGCCAGTTTTGCTCGTCATAAATAAATGCTTTTCTCTAAGCTTTATTGCCATAGTAATGCAGTATTAACGGTAAGCCCTTAGTTACACTTTCGCCACTAGAAAGTTGTTATCAGCGTCAAATTAGGCAGGTAGCTTTGATACTTAAAACATATAAGGAAGTACTTATCATGGTATCAGATAAAGTTAAAATGATAGAAACATGATATAGAGATATTGAAAATGTTGAAATAGGAGAACAATAATAAGCCATTACCCTTGTTATCTTTTTTCTAGATTTAAGAAGTCTTACACTGATCCTAACCTTCTTTTCTACTTAAATTATTAATACACTTCAGTTTCGGTTTATAGATTCATGAGACACCTACTGATTTTTCTTCTTCACATATTATGATATAATAATGAATGTATCTAAGAAAGTGATTAGAAACTACCTATAATAAGTGTACTTTTGAGTCTATCAGAGAAATGCAAGACAAATTTTGTGAAAAGTTACAAAACTGAAGTAAATGCCTAGTTTTCTAATTCTTTAATGTCTACAAACTCATAGATGTAGGAGTGAATAGCATTGATCTTTAAAAATGATAAGCATAAAAATGATTTTTAGATATTCTATTGTAAAAGACTTTCAAGAGCTTTGAAGTGATAGCTTCAGATACTTTTAAGAATCATAGCTTTTTGACGATAAGCGTAAAATTTGATACAGAGTCACACCAAAAGTGAGAATAACATGCAAAATTAATAAAAGCGGACAATGCAATGAAAACTGTAATTAATCTCACCTTATTTTTTTAAAAAAGGCGTCATCACTATCCGAGCGTATATTTATCTCGTAAAAGTTTCTCAATCCTAAGTTGCTTATCTTTAATGGGATTTTATTGAAGCTTTTTGCAATTTGAAGTAGTGCGATTTACAAAATGATCCATCATTTTAAATGAAAGTAAAATTCAACTGCGTTTTCAAAGGCACAGTGTCTATGCATGACTTGCAGAGTATTGTGAAGGTTACAAGTAGTTACTGGCAGTTTCCTAGAGCTACTGCATAGTTTCTCAAAAGCGCTTTTTACCATGGTTAACCATTTTAGATATGGTAAATGTAATTCATGGTCACACTCTTATTTCTCGTTGATAAAAAACACTTTTTCCTAAGCATCTTTTCGACTTTCATTGTTCGATTATGCCCAAACCTTAATGCATGGCTACCTCGATATAATTTATCCGTATTCACAATCTTTGTGTTATCATTTTTACTAACCACGATTTTCACACCCTGAAAACCATAATTTCAGACCAAAACATAAGTAAAATAGAAGCAAGTCTACCTTGATTTCTTATGATAACTCCTTACAGTTCTAACTCCTTATCACTTCTTAAAAAAAAACCGATTAAGAAAAGATTGTCTAGTTTCTCTAAGCCATCTTTCCCTTTTGTTATGGCTTAATTGTTAGACTATCTATACTTGAATCCCTGCATTTCAAGCAGGTTTTGTTCTACTGTTATTTGTTTGCTTAGTGACATAGAAATGTTCTTAATAAAACTTTGATAGTAATCCGTTGGAATCAAATATAATATTTCTTTTATTACTCAATTGTTGCTGAGTTTACTCAATCGACATAAAGTTGTGGGCTCCAAGAAATGTATTTTAAGTCAGACAAAATTTGACAATAATCTAGCCATCTTTATGTCAAAATCGATCCCGATCAACAACTGCCGTTGCAGCGAGAAAAATTCTAAAAATAGAAAATGTTTTCAAATAGACGAATGTGTACAGAAATTTGCAAAAAAGTATAATTGACAAAAAGTGCGTGTGTTATTGAAATTAAATAAAGTGCAATCTTGGTTGTAAACTGGTTATGATAACAAGTGAACTTTAGTACGCAAAACGTCGTGTTATGGTGAAAAAAGTAGAAAAATATCTAGCAAGTACGAGCTATTTTAGATTATATCTTGTGTCAAAAACAAACGGAAATAGAGATGATTTATATTCGACAATTGCGGAAATTTATTTTCACATTGAGCTAGTATTATCAAAACCCTCTAATATTCGATAACCATAACCGCCCATTGCCCTTCAGCTTAATGTTAAGGATAAGAAAAGGATTTCAAAAATAATATACCCATTACTATTAGATAGGGTTGGGTTGTATTCCTTTTCTAATTAAATGTAAATTGAGAGTACATAAATACCATAGAAAACTCGAAGCTCATTCAGTTGCAAAGCCTTATGATTGACCAACAATTCATAATTATCTTATGACCAGCAAAAGGATTTTAAGATAAAACTTGAAACGCCAAGTTTTCGTATAATAGTATTGATGTTGTGTTTTGTTATAGCTTAGCAATGTATCACCAGGCAGGATCGAACTATCCGCGGTGCCTGAACTAAGCTTAATTTAGCTGTTCTATGGCAAGTATGATTTCAGTTAATTAAGTTTAACTCAGTAAGTGTATGCCTATAGCTTAACAAATTATTAGGAAAAACATGTTTTAAATTAATAACAAAGTAATCTGATCTGAAAGGTCGTTTTCACAAATGTTAGAACGATTCATATAGACAGATGTTCAGATATTCAGTTTCAAAACATGGTAAATAGATTGAAGGATGTTTCACTTCCGAGTTCGTATTTGCAGCCGTTTGATGTGATTGTGTAGAGAGATAGATCACCAGACATTGACCAGCACTGTCCATTTTTCATTACAGCGAATGTTTTCGAGCCATGCTTTACCGAAGCTATTGCACACTTTGATATGATGATGGAGGATGTTTGTTCAGTGATCGGTTGAGCCCTTAGGGTTGAAATCAAGAAAATCAGTTGCTGCTCGTCGGACAAAAGAAAAGTCAAAACCTATGTAAGTATTTTAGGTTGCTGTAAAAGTAGAAAATGCTAGCATTCTTGATTTATTGAAAAAATCTTATCTATTTTCTCAACACAAGATATGATGTTCCAAAAACTGAGGCTTGTCATGTTGCTTTGTCATTCACTACTTCGTTTGGCTCATTGAGCCCTGGCGTCTTTATAAAGCGTACTATTTTGAAAGTATATAACTTTGTTAAATGTTTCGAAACTTATTTAAATAGTAGTTCAACTAGAAGAAAAGAAAACTTGAATCCATACCAGTTTGCTTCTCCATTGAAGTTATCCATAAAAGCTTTGATTTCTTTCTTGTAATCCGAGATTGCAAAACACCCAACATCTATTGCTGGTGAAATTGTTTCTAACTCTAAAAAATAAAATATATCAATTTACAAACCAAGGACCAAAAGCAGGTGTGCAAATAACCAGGGATGCAATGATATTCTTTTTTCTCGAAAGATATTGAAACAGTACTTGCGAAACAAAATTATTACGCAGAGTTGATCCTGTGCTAGCTAATTTCCAACTATTATTAAAATTCTTATTTCTAGCATTAGGTCAGAAATTCTTTTAATTCTGGATAAAGAGTGGTTTCACATGAGGTCAAATCCACACTCTCAAAGAATTCTTATTAAAGACAAGACAAGTTGGCAGATACGCCAAATCAAAAAAGCAGCATTAAGCTTGTTAAATATTACCACAATTCTAGATACCAAGCCATTTGTGCAACTATATTCATTAAACTTAATAAACCTGTCTCACCCAAAGTTTGACTGGGTATGGAAGTGTTGAAAGTCATTTAAGGACATCACAATTACAATTGATAGCGTAGTGAGAGGGAATGTACGCCCTCAATGTCAAAGGGTGGTCTTATCTGATTTTCACTTGACCCCCTCCCCCCCAACTTACCACCCGGTTATGAAGTGGGTCTGGAAAATAATTTTCCTTTATGACCGTCCGAATAACTAACATTAAGTAAATGCAAACTGAGACTTGAAATGTCTCGCTCTAATATTCTGAAACCTGGATGTCCGAATTGCATAATCACTCCCCCCCCCCCACCAATATGTATGATTTTACCCGCATTCATTGAACCCCACTCTCCCCTTTAGCTTGGATGTCGTTCATGAATGGTCCCCAAACTATTTACAAAAGTGATTTGCCCCTCTGACTTTGTCAGTTTTTCCGTAGATACCATTTTCAAGCATGGTTCAGGTCATTTGTTTTGCATACCAAGTTGTACTGCTATCAAACAGCTAATGTAATAGCAAAACATCTCTTCTGAAAATGATCGATTTCAAGCAAAAGTGCCTCTTCATCCAGAAAAATTCTTAGGATTTCATGCATATGCAACGTTAATTTGCTTTCATTTTCAGTGGTACAACGCTGAATACATGAATATATCGTCAGTAAAGAATGCGGTGAGAAAAGAATTCGAAAAGAAAAGCTTACTTGTTTCTGAACCAAATCTATAGACAAAGTTTATTGAAGGTCCACCCGTTCCTTTATAGCAGTTCTTAGAACTTCCATACATGAAATATTTCTCTGCTACAGAATCGCCCCCAGCCCAACATTCTCCATAAAATTGAATGGAAAAGTAAGTAAACTTCATTTTGAACTTTTTCTCTGTTTCCTGCTTTCTCACTTCATCGGCGCAACTCTGAACAGTGGGAGACATATTTTGCCTGCAAAAACATAGATTTATGAACATATAAAGTCTTAGGACTTGGTGGATTAAAATAAGACTAAATAAAGAAACGTAAGATTCTCGGAGAGGCAATCTCGGAGAGACAATCTCGGAGAGACAATCTCGGAGGGGCAATCTCGGGGAGAGGCAATCTCGGAGAGGCAATCTCGGAGAGGCAATCTCGGAGAGGCAATCTCGGAGAGGCAATCTCGGAGAGGCAATCTCGGAGAGACAATCTCGGAGAGACAATCTCGGAGAGACAATCTCGGAGAGGCAATCTCGGAGAGGCAATCTCGAAGAGGCAATCTCGGAGAGGCAATCTCGGAGAGGCAATCTCGGAGAGGCAATCTCGGAGAGGCAATCTCGGAGAGGCAATCTCGGAGAGGCAATCTCGGAGAGGCAATCTCGGAGAGGCAATCTCGGAGAGGCAATCTCGGAGAGGCAATCTCGGAGAGGCAATCTCGGAGAGGCAGCCTGTTCCATGCACCAATATTCAAGATAATTAACATACGGATTAATACTTCAGGACTGATTGTTTCAAATGTTGACAATGAATATGAAAGAATCAGGTAGATACTGTAGAGTCATAGTGGAGTGGCGTGGAGCCAAAATATTCTTGATTCAAGAATTAACTTTAAGATCATTTAATCAAACCTTCTTTCAATTTTGATAAAGGGAAGAAAATTTAAGACATTTTATAAAGAAAAATCACATCAAAGTTCGTCTTTGCGAAAGTAGTTTTGAAAAAATCGTGAGCAATTGAGAAATTCCCTGTCCCTTTATTTGTTAAATGAAGGTGGTAGCAATACAGAAAACCCCCAAGTTGGATTCGCAAATAGTTTACCAGGTACCATACATGTACAATTGTGAGCCAGTTGTCTCTTGACTAGGCCAGTAAGATATAAAAACAGCTACTGAGAATTCTTTGCTGAAACATTTTTTGAAAACCTACCAGTTGATTTGGTTTCGAAAGTTTTTGACAAAAACAGGCAATGCTGGACTGCTCTCTCTTTCATTGTAACAGCCAAGGCCAAAGTAGCCTTTGCTCTCAACGCTTCGTCCTGAAAGAGAATAAGATACTCAGCATTAATAGGACAGTAAATTTTTTTAATACGAGACAAAGTTTTTAATGATATTGGAATCATACCAAGTGAGTTTATAGAATCGAGAACTTAGCGCAAGAAATTATGATTAAAAACAGATTAAAGATTAGGAATTAAGAAAATAACTTCCTGGAAAAACTCCTGAAAACTAAAATTCCCGATGAGATCAACGATCTGCAACTTTTGCATTTGAAAAGTTCCCGCGGGTCATCGAATCTCAAAACAAACATAGCTTTTCTGGCAATGAAATAAAAATCTTTCATACTTTGAATATATTGACAATAAATATAGATTTACTTTTCCTGCAGGCTGTGTTTGCTGTACATTCTTCCTGTGGAGGGACTTTAACTTTTGCCTTCATGCATAACAGTCCGCTTACATGGAGCTTCTCCTTATTTACGCATTTAAGTACCATTATTTTCTTCCCTAAAAATAAATATTTCCTTTTAAACGTCAATACTATTATAAATAAAGTCAGAGGAAAATATTAAATTAGAATCCATTGCATTAAATTAAATACAGTCGCAGCTTTAAAGCAAAAGTCTGTTGAATTTTATGTCAGTTCGAAGGCCGTCTCAGTCACTGACATAGCGGAGGTTGACATTTGGGGGAACTTAGTATGGGACTTGCCCAAATACTGAATGAGCCTGAATAGGCATGCCCGAGTGGGCTTGAATTTCAATAACTTTTGCCTGACTGAGGGTAGGGGGGGGGCTAGCAGCTATGTATCCTACGCCTGTGGTTTCAGCAATCCCCTTTTCTCCTTAAGGCAAGCTCTTTCACCAAAACAGGAGAAGAAGGAATTTTGTTCGTATTGATGTTCAAGGTCACTGTGTTGAATCTTTTCGCTGGATAGGATATGTGTGAAGAAAGAATACAACGGTCTATAACTTTACTCGAGAATGAAATCTCTAGCAAATGCTATATCAACCTGTCTAGATTTATTTAGTGGTTCATTGAAAATAATTACAATGTAGAAAGGTCAAATCATTAGGACGTAACTAAAGGTTTCAGAACCATCAGTTGATGCACAAAAGAGCGCTGAGGGTCGCGACCACCGCTATTTGGAGTTTATAGAATAGCGCCTCCATTTTGACGTCAGAAACATAGTCCCACAAAAAATAAGCGTGAAGTTTAAAAAGATAGATATCACCGGAAAAGACATAATTTGTCTCTAATTTGCAATGTAATTACCAGTTCCACAAGTAACAGAGCAGTATCCATATTGTGCTTCCCAGAAATAAGATGGACATGCATCCATAGTGCATGCTGTAGACCCAACTGTTGGCTTTTCGTCTTTGCAATAGCTCTCTTCAAACTCTACACCGTCCGCGTCTCTAACGCACTTAGCTGTTCCAGTTTTTACACCTACGAAAAGGCATCAACGATTATCTTAATGTGAAGCATTTCTTTAAACCAGAAGAGAGAGGGTTTAATTCAATGCATATTATCATGAACATGTGCTGTACCCTAGCTTTGTCTAAGAGAGTAGAATTCTCAGCAGTTTCCTTTGCTGAAGATGGGGCTGACTAAAACTCATCGCTGCTTCTTTTACTGTAGGCTGCATACAAATGATTAATTATCATAAACCCGATATCCCCTTACCACAGAATAGAGTGCCCTTACCTGAGCCACACGTCACACTGCAAGCACCATAAAAAACACGGAAAGAATAGGTTGCAGGACATTCGCCTTCGTTGCACTGCAAGTCCCCTGGTTTTGGGACAGTATCAGGACACAGGGCATTATCCACAACTTTAGATGAGTCAGTCTCTTCACATTGAACTGTAGGCTTCTTGACTCCTACAAAAAGATAATTAAATAGGCATCTTAGTTTTCTAGGGAGATACTCTCCGTTAAGCAAGAATCTATTTATTATCGCAGTTTAAATAGGCGAAAAGTGAAAAAACACCCATTCGTTATATCCATCGTAATTTCGATTTGTGAATTTACAAAATGAGAAGTGACGTTTAGAGAAAACTGAATTCCATACTTCTTATATTCTTGCTTCCAAGTTATGGAGCTCTTGTTTCTGTTACCGAGCAGTTTTGTTTATAAAACAGCTCTTGCTAACTTTACAAAGATTTTTGATAATATCCCCATAGCCTTTTGTTTCAATGTTGCATGTTTAAATTGATAGTTTTTTAAGGGCCGACATGAGAACAAATGCAATTTGCAAAAATGATAGCAAATATATGTTGAAAGTAAATGGAAAATTGCTGAATTGAAGAAAATTTATTAATAGCTGCTTAATGCAGAGCATATGGTTTGATACTTTGTACCATTTCTTCCACAAACCAATAGAAATGTTTCACATTTTAGGTGTTATCAATGCAAATATATAACCGTGTATGGGAAATTAATAGGTCTGAATTAAATTGCTATCAAGCCCATTGGCTTGGTTTTGTAGCGACCATTGTTAAACGTATTCATGTTTCCCATTGTAATCTTGTCATTCATCTCCAGCGAAATGAAAACTAACCCTCTACAAAACTAGGTATATAGACATAAAACGAGTGGACGCGACAAGGGTGTTGTTGACAACGTAACTATGGGTACGTAGACAATGGAAGGTGTGAATGACAAGATTACAATAGGAAACATGAATACGTTTAACAATGGTCGCTACAGTTTAACTGGAATTGTTTTAGATTTCCAAAACAATTTCCGTAGATATGCTGCCACAAAAATTGTTAAGTAGACACAGTAAAAGCGTAACTATATAGATAATGATAAGTCTTATTATCAAGTATTTTCCTAGTTAGACATTTATGAACAGTTTGAAACAAACCTGTGCCACACGTTACGCTGCAAGTACTGTAAACAACATTCCAGGAGTATTTTGGAGGGCAATCGTTCATTTTACAGCTCTCTGGTTGTCCAGCAGAGGGTTTTTTCGATGCATCACAGTCAAGATCAGCAACCTTGAACATATCATGTTGCCTGTAGCAAGCAATCACTGAGGTGATAGTTCCTTTAAAAAGAAAATTGTAGATTCGCACATTTCTCATAATTGACAAAACTGAAAAAATAGGTACAACTTTTTAAAAAGAACCAGAAAATATTTGTCGGGTCTATGATATAAACTTTTAGGTAACACCAAGCTCTAGCGTTCTTACTTCAAAATTGATTTTTCAATAATTGAGTACAATAAATTGTTTCTAAGACAGGTAAGAACCGTTTACATGCCATTTGAATTGCCAATAGCACGGTTGATCAGCTGATAAAATCTGCTCTGTTTTGAAAACACATAATTTACATTTTAAAAAACACGTTTTTCATAACCTTGAATGACCTAATGCAGTCCTAAGCTGTTGTCAAATCAAGCCTTGATGTTGTTTCAAAAAGTGTTCAGCGGATGACAATGTGACATATCAAATTGAAAACGTGTTGAAGATTTTTTAGCTCGATAAATCATGGAAAAGTATTGATAAGGGCGTTGTCAAAATTAATAACATTGATCAAACAAGTTTGATAATGTCAAATAACAGCTTTGCAAACGACAATCATGGGAGAAGATCAGTAACAAGAACCTCTAATTGGAAACATATATCAGTTTTATAACATTTTGAAAACAAAAATGCTTGAATGACTTAAATGAACTGAAACAGACTTTTGAAGAATATAAATTGACAAAATGACAAATAAGCAAGATATGTGATCAACCATGATAATGATTCGAATAATTTTATTATTAAAGGTTGGCGTCGTATGGCACTAAGTTAATGCCAGCGCTTATTGATAAAATCGCAATAGCATATATATACTGGTAGCTAATAACACTTTGCGGATGGAATTTGTGGCACTTCTGCTTTCTTTAAAGGCAATCTGTCTCGTTGTGGATTGGTTAACGAGAACAATAGCTGGAACAATAACCTAAACACAATTCCAGTGCTCCGCCATATTTTGTACAATGCGATAAATTAAAGGGGAACTTGAAACAATAAAAAATCCCTTTGTTCTTATAATCAGTCAACGTCGTGACAGATTGCCTTTAAGCTATGTTTGACAAGAAAACTCACTGATCGAGGATTGGTCGTATATATAAATGCCAGAAATTCTCCAAAATTTCAGTAAAGATGACTGCTGCCTAAGGGACAATAAGCCTTTACTCTATTGTTTAACAAAAATAAGTTTTTACCTTGGCTTCGTTGTCTACCTCAATTTGAGCAATACCTTCAAATTATTGCTGATGTATAGAAAAACCTTAAATCAAGCGATTTCAGTACCTGTTCCACAAGTGACACTACAGAATCCTTTTGTCACTTTCCAAATGTATTGTATTGGGCAGTCCCCTGCATGACATGCTTTTGAAGATGGCGGCTTTTGGTCGGCGATGCAGTTGCCATCAGCAACAACGCTATTGTCATTTTGACTTACGCACGTGACGTTGAATGGTATTGTACCTGAACGGCAAAAACAAATGTTTGAATTGTAATTGCATTTCATACCAATCGTTACATAATGGCATTCAAGATATATTTCAGATCCTTTATAGTTAAACAATCCATTGATGAATTTTAAACACAATTTGTTCTAAACACAGTTTTCTAAACACATTTAAGACTCAAGACTTTTTTAACTAAGAATGGATCAAATCATCGAGGTATCATTAGTTGGTGAAGAATTAAGAAAAATTAAATAACTGAATTCAAACCCAGCAACTCCATACAAATCGTTCCAGGTACTGAAGCGGATGCTAGTTAAAAAAATTACTTTTTCAAAAATTTTAATTGAATATAGACATCAGACGGAAGATGCAGACACTAATCAAACTCAAAAGTAATAATTTGGCAATATAGCACCCTATTACTAACCAAAAAGTAAGCGTTCTTCTTTAAATCAAAGGAACTTGAATTAGGAAACTTTGAACTTTTATTGTCTCAATTTAAACGTAGTATGACAGAGCTTTTAGGACACTGCGATAGCTTACCATTTCCACAAGTGACGCTGCAAGTCCCCTCAACTGATTTCCAGGCGTAAGTTACGCATGCGTGTGGATTACAAGGCTGGGGGCTATATGTGCTTGTGTCTGGTTTTTTATCCGCCTCACATGCAGCATCTGATTCTACCAACGCGGCAACTACGCATTCGACAATCGGATGCTTAAAACCTGCAGCAAAGGGTTCAATTACTCACAAGAATGTTTCTTGTCCAGACAATGTCTACTGACGCATCGAAATGGCACACAACACTGACCGTCATAAATGCGCAAAAAAGCTTAGAAATTTATCTATGTAGTCGATAATTAGAAGGCAACTTAAGTTGAATACAAAAAAGTGTTTACTTCTTTTAAGGAGAAAGAGGAAAGCGTTTGGCTCAAAAAGTACTAATCTTCATTTTTTCTTGATTTCTCTTTCTTGTTTCCTGATTTTGCGTTTTAAAACCTCAAAATTTTAAAATGCTCGGGTCGTTTTAAAGGTACAGCAATTGGATGCATAAATTTTGCGCACGGAAAGACTGTCATGGTTTTTTAAGCGACAAACTTTAAAAAAAATAAGTTACAATGGGCTTTGATTCTTTGCGTATTTTACAGAATGAATATCTTTAAAAGCAAATAAATGTAGTATTTAAAATGGATTCAAACATCAGCTACGGTAAAGAGAAGAAAACGACACCCAGCTGATCAGCTAATATTTTCAAAATGTTAATTGTATTCCTTTTAGTTATTACCCATCAAGGTAATATGCATTTTACATTCTATCTGTAAAAGTAATATTCTAAGCGAGGAAAAGTGATATTGGACTTGTATAAAATTTATAGCTATTATTTAAGGTCTTCAGCCGATTATTCTCACGCCGAAAGCTCTACAAATAGAGACGAAATCTTCTGTTACCTCCTCCACATTTTTTGGAGCACTCTCCATATCTGACCTTCCATTGTGCACAAGGCTCCTCCCCACAAGCCTGATTTTCAGCTGGTTTAGCCAGACGCGAGCATTCGAGTTCTGTGACGTCGACTGTTTGGCCATCCTCGTTAATTCGTTTGCAGGTAACTGACCGAGATGTTCGACCTCCCCCACATGTTGCACTGCACTAAAACGCGCAAAGGAGCCGAGGAATAAAACCAGGAAAAAAGGAATAGAAGGAGCATTTAGTAGAATTTGTGCAGTCAGCAGAGAAAGTTTTAGGCGGCAAAGATTGGGGGAGATAACTTTTAGCGTTAAGACTCAGAAAATAGGTTGATAAAAAAGTATATTTTTGCATTATTTGTTACTTCTTGCCATTGAAACTGCTTTTTGCCGAATCAAGGCAAAATATAACAAAGGGATGGGTGGGGGGGGGAGGGTTGTTCGGACAAATGAACAAATGAATATAATGTTATGGAATTGTGTCAAAAAACTCAACGAGATAAGAGCCTGATAGCCTAAAGTATTCCAAAAAATGAGATGCATTGTCATTTCATTTCATTTGAAGAGGCTGATGACAGAAGTGCCCCTCCTGGCTGATGTCTCATTTTACTCCCCAAGAATCGTCAGTTTCACAATAAGGTGTTAGATACCTTGCTCCACGTTCCAGGAACCCACATGCTTGGACATTTAATTTCATTACAATTTTCCATCAAAGGAAGATCATTTTTGGCAGTTTTGCACAATGTCTGATCGTCCACAGCGTAGTACTTCCCATCGCTTCGCAATTCTGCGCAGTTGTGTTCCCGCTTGCGTGTCCCGTTGCCGCAGGATTTGCTGCAGTCTGACCAAGGATGCACGTGCCATCTTAAATGATAAAACAAATCCAGCGTGAGCCTCGGAAATGGAATATTACAGCCTTTTTTATTCTGTGTGTCTATAGTACCTATATAAACTTAAAACCAGAGCTTTTGCTTTGATAGATCTTTGTTGATGCTGCCCTTTCTACTATGCATTCAGAATCTAATATCAAGCTCAAAGCCAATAATCTTTTTAAACTAAGAGAGAAACCTTCTCAGTAGGGACACGTTGCTTATTATTTGGGAAGGAGTCATCAACATAAAGTACCCTATTTCCAGCTTCCAACCAATTCGCCATTTCCGGTAATAAGAATCAATTCAAGTCTGCTGAATACCGCTCTCGTGCATTTTTCGTTATATTCCTGTAGCTTTGTATTGAAGCTAGTCAGTCGCATCTATCCGATCGCCAAGTCACAAAAAAGAGGAGCTTTACTACAATTTATTATTACTTACGCAGGAGCACAAGCCTGCATGTTACAATCACGCTCTGCAACAGGTGCTTGCAACTTGCTGCAAAATGTTATACTCAATGTCGATTTGTCATCGGTTCTTCTACACCCAAGCAGTCTTGTCTGCTTTCCTACAAGCAAATATCATAGGAAATCTCTAAAACAATTTTTTAACGACAAACTGCCTGTTAATTTTTGAATGAGGATTGTTTAGCCAAAACAAGGTTCTTTTAGTTGATTTTAAGATCATGCAGGTATACCTGTAATTTTTTTCAAGAGGTTTTGTGATTAAGGCTCGCTTACTTCGAAATAGAAATAATCATAATTCTAACATTTTGAAAATATAGATTAAGATCTCTTTATGCAAATCGGTTTTTATATTCAAGATCAAAACAAAGTTTTCTTGATGCCCTATTTATACGTTCATCCTCACCCCCAGCACATGACTTGCTGCACTTTCCCCAGTCCTGCAGAATGTAATATTCTGGATCGGATTCAGTCCCTTTGCCAGCGCTGAAATATGTCCATCTTATCCCTTTGCTTGGTCCCATGAGATAAAGATTGCGAAGCTATCACCAGAATAGAAATCAATTCATAAAACAGACTAGACATAGAGCATAACAAGAGTTATTAACAGAGTCAAAAATTCAAGATCAAGAAGCTTAAATCAAATGCTTAAAAAGATTTGATTTGTTGATCATTGAAAATCTATTTTTCATAATATCAAAATCCTCCTTTCAAAAGATTTGAATCTACTTATAATTACTTAGTTTTTTTGCAAAAGACTCCAAGTTGTTTAATTTCACGTTTCAAAACTGCTGTAACGAAACGTCTCTATACTTTACAGGCTATTTACCTTACAATGATTAATTTTACATCCAAGTATTGACAGTACTGTAAATCGATGTTTCCTTCCAAGTGTAAAGATTTGTTCGGAAAATAATTAAGAATTTAAATTTCATTGGTAATTCATTCCATCGCACTATAACACAAGTTAGCTATTTCTTATGTTTCATTTAAATTGAAATTGTTGAATAGAATAAAATATGGGTAGAATTATGTGTATTATTACAATATTATTACAATTATATACAGCATATGTATCAATATTGTTGAAAGCGTAAGAAGATGGATTTTGAAAGAAAAATTCTCTTTTAATCATATAGAGTATACAGAGATTCATTTTGGTTCTTTCATTAATTGCAAAACAACCTATTAGCTCTTATATAAACATCTTCAAGTATCTTAATAACCAATGAAAGTGTTGCGTTATCAAGTGGTCAAATTTGTAATCGCTTACAACGACATGAACATCTTCAGTTATTGTGCCCGTAATGGTGATCTTGTCAGGAAATGAATATCCATTCATTGTGTATACCAAATCTGCCCCTGCACATTTCATTTTAGTTGACCATCGAGGCACATGATACAGCAGGGATGAACTGCTACCAACTTTGACAGCTGTGAACAAAAAGAAAACATGCATTAATAGAAAAATCTATGATAATAGGTATGACATATCAAAATAGAATACAAGTGTGATGACGTCATATAAAATTTATAATCATAATTTTTATAATTAAGACCAAATAGCTTGAAAGAAAGATATGAAATCGGCTGAGATATGGCCACGTGAGCACAGGGTCTCTCCTCCATCGAACACAGTAAATTTATATTGGATGAAAGTCCATCTAAAAAAGTCAGTTTCTTTTCTAGCTATATCTCAGTCAACTTGCTACATCCTCAGATTTAGTTTTTTTAGCAGTTTTAGTGGCATTTTCTGGTATTCCTTCAGGTTGTTTTGCCAAAAATCAAAGATGCTGAAAGTCCAAATTTATGTTGTCACACATGGAAACTCTATTGCAGTTAGGGTTTGAAAGTCTTGCAAAAGCTCAAGTTACCTTTTCTGTGCTATCAAAGTTTTGTGCACTTGAAGAGGGAAGAAAACTTAAATATAGCTTTTCTGCAATTCCTAAAAGTACATGCCTGGTTTTCGCACAACAGATCAACGCACAACATAGGATTAAATTCGTTTTTAATAAGCTCTTCATATCTTGAACATATATTCCGCGTTGATGTCATAATTGAATAAAGTCAGCATCTGAATAATCTGTCATTTGTTTGATGGTTATGCTAACTAGCTTCTTCTATATAAATATACCATGTCCAATATCAAATAAATAGTTATTGCATCACAGTAAAAATCTTAGTCATGAACGCTTAGAAGCTCTGTTTACAGAAATGTGACAATTTGGTGTAGCTTCAAATTTTTAATTTAAATATCTTTATATCTATATGAGTAATGACTGTGAGTATAGAAAAATATAGAAAGCATGGACTAGAAAACTTACACAAAAAATTGTAGGTTGGTCCCATTTCTTCGATAACAATGTTTTTCGATCCTTTTGGTATTGTTACTACATCATAGTAAGCTGAAAAGTATTATGTTCATTAAATGCCTGTTTAGAAATGTATAATAAATGCAAACAGTTCAAGAAGCAATCATCCAACAGAAAGACAAGGCGCTTTTTGGAGTGTATTGTAGTTTAGTGTCTTTAAAGTAAACGTAATAAAGCCCTTGTCTCTAAATGAGAGGAGTACGATATAAAGTGGCACTAAAATGAATGGGTGTTGATTAGGTGTTTGAAATTGATAATTTTTACTTTGACTTTGACTTCCGACCACCTCTACAGTAATGAATCCTACATTTTGTAGACAAAGCCCCGCTAAATCTCAGACTAAAAGTCTCTGTAGTGTAATGTCTAAACAGCTTTTCCATTAACGGGTGCTCGACAAGGTTCTTTGATCTCTCCTCTGCTGTTTAATTTTGTCGGTGTCGTTATACAGGTTTTAAGTGAATTCTATACTGAAAGTGATATTGTCAGCGGTCTCGAGTAGCTTTGTTCAGTGTTTGCGAGTAGCTTTGACAATTGACCTATCATCGCATATGACAATTGCTATCACTATGCCTTGAATTAAAGTTTTGCTCTGTTTTAAGTGTAGTTGCATGAATGAGTTTATTGAGCGTAGTTTTGCAACTGGTAAGCAGATGAAGGAATACTAAAGAGTAATGGCTTAAAAAGGAAGATTAAACATCATTATCGACAATGTTATTTTTAATCGAACATAAGTCGGGAAAATGTTTTGATTTCATTTGTAGATGGTTTAAAAGAAATGTTAGAAAACATATCAAACTATCACTTTAAAGGTGATTTATAATAGTTCAAAACGTTTAAAATTCAGCACTGTGTTGGATTTAGTTGATCCACATTTCCATAAGAAGACTAGGGGCAAATAGTAATGCCAAGCCATATTTCAAAGATGGTTCATATTCATTTAATGTACCTTGATTTGGAAATGGATTCATGTTTGTACCAGTGAGTGTTGTACACTCAGATCCATTTTGTCCACAGACTCCACATCGGTCAGGAACAGCACCAGAATGCAAGTTTAGATCGCAGCCTACATCCTGGGAAAAAGACACCCGATTAGAGAGTTTACTGAAAACAGAAGAGTTAATATGATTTTTAAGAAAGATGTAATTCCTGAAGTTTTTAAAAAGAAAATCATATTGTCTGTAAAAGCATATTCTCAACCAACCATTCTTTCCCCTAATATACAGATATCGGGATTCCCATCGACTGCTTGTGTTCCATCTTTGACCTTACCATATATAAGCCAAGAGCAGATAAGTGCGCATGGCGAGTCGGCTGTAATAAATTCAAAATAGCATTAGAAACTCTAAGCAATACTGCATAATCAGTATAGAATATACTATACTCTCTAAAGTATTACTTTATACTCTTACAAATAAACAAGCTGTATCCTTTAAAATTGGATCGTCCTTAACAACTCCTACATTTGAAAACTACTTGAATCAAGCTAAAGTGGATGTCGCCACATTCTCCTTAAACAAAATTGTTTGTTCTAGATTCGATTACCAAAACCACCTGTCCGGCATCCACGTTAGTGGAGTCAGAAAATCTTGCATTTTATTCATACTGTTTATTTTCTAAACCATTTTAGCTGTGAAGAATAAATGTTTAAATATATAGGAAAAATGTAAAGATAACAGATTTACGCGATAGAAAAGGAATGTTTTTGATAATCTTCAAATAGTCTAGTGTAGCGTACCAAAAGCTTTGGAAGATGTTAAAAGACATTTTCTTATTTCAATTAATCGGCGGACAAGGCAGCTCAGCTCAGTGTATGCATCAATGTAGAAAAATTTTTATACTCACGATTAGTAACTGATGTTTTATCGGGGCCTTTCTCGGTACATTGTTCCTGTCGGAATGAAGTTGTCCCTGGTGCACAGTCCTAGTTTCAAAGGATAAAGAGACAGTGTGAAGGCAATGCGAACTATGAGAAACCCAACAAGCATTTCTGTGGGAAAACTATATAAGATGTTTTTTGAAATCAAATATTTCTATAATCTTTGTAAGAGAATAACAATTCATTTGGTGAAGAAAATGCGCTTTGGAGTGCCTTCGTAATTTGCAGAGTGGAGAGGAATTAACTTTGAAGAGGTGTCAATACCCGGCGTGTCAGCTCTAAGGGTCCAAGTGTAACCTAATGAGTCACTTCGTGGACAAAATGACGACCGATAGATCGTACCGTGTAACGTGGATTGTATCGTCAGATATCCGTGGATCGTCTGATTAATTTTTGATTGCCCTGCTTCACTAAAAATAAATCCCACCAAAATTTTTGGTACTGAATGTATTCCTTTATTCAATGACTTATTTAGAGTCATACTGATTTTTGGTACCTGATGCCAAAATAATCCAAAGCCAGTTTAGTAACTAAAATTTAGTTAATTAATATGGCAAGCTGGACACGATTTTGTGTTTAGACTAAGTTAGTTCAAACATAGAGTGGCTACAGTTTAAAATTTGAGACTTCTGGTCTGAAATAAACTGATTCGATAAGGAAAACTCAGGACAATTCTTTCAAGCTGCCAATATTGTCGTCTAGTGATTGACTCAAGCTTAGGGAGGAAAAAACAAGGAAAATGACGATTGGGGTAGTAAAAGTATCCTGTAAACTCACCTGCATGCCACATGTTTTGAAGTGACCACGGTCAAGTCCAATGCAATTCTTCCCACCATGTTTAGGCCTGCAATGAAAATAATAACTTCAAGCAACTCTTGTAGAAACATTGTTTCTTGTTTCAGATGTCTTTTTGCTTGATCTGATTTTTGGTATTACACTATGTTATCACAAACAATGACGAGACTTACCATTACTGCAGAGTATCTTAAGGTTACATCTAAAAAAAGTATACAAATGAAGAGAAAAGAAGCAGCAAATGCAAGGATTGTTTTGACACGTTTCTTTTTCGAGGCGAAAATGCGAGGGAACGAGAAAACTTATGTAAAGAATTTGTACATTTATTTAAATTTCAGTTCGTTATTTTAAAGTGTTTCACCTTCAGGCAACTAAATGTGACCAAAAATATTGCAGAAATGTTTCTTGATTATTCTGTGAACACATTTCATCTACCACCCTTTTTGTAGCCTGCAAGACTTCTCTTACTGTACTGCACATTAGCATAAAACCTTAAAACTATCGTCGTTAATTTTGAAAGGGGCCAAGGACATGGAAACTTACGCTGGATTGTTGCATGTTCTTGACCGCCATTGTGCACCTCCTCCGCATTTTCTGTTGCACGAGGTATATTCACTCCAGGTAGACCAGCCTCCGTCCACAGGTGAAGGGGGTTTCGACCCGTCGCTAACACATTCGCCAAATATGCACCACTAGAAATAAATCTTAGTAAATGAAGCAATCAAAAAGCTTTGCACTTTGACTTTTCATGCAATAGAATCTTGGTATCCCGAGGGAAACTTTACAGTCACACAAGATCTCGAGAAAAATGTTTCATTTTTTTTACTGTTTCATTACTGTTTCGAGTTAAATGTTTCATTGAGAATTTTAACTTAAATACGTAATTCAAGACAGCAGACGCCATGCTATCTCCAGACCACAAATATTGAAATTTTTCCCCAGTAAGGAACAGGATTCTAAATGAAGAAGTTCCTATAAAAATTTGTTTATCAAAATGGCTCCTTCTTTCACATTTTGAATAAATGAAAGAAATATGTACCGCTCTTTATAGCTGCTCCTACTATTTTGCGTTACACTGCACAGGTAACTTTTACTGAGCCCCCGAGTCTCTACTTTTTATCGTTGCTTCGGGCAACTTTATTTTCTTTTGCGCAGGGATATCAGTAAAGGGAATCCGATATCTAAAACATTTCAAACAATCAATTTTTCTATCATAATTTGCAGTGTAGGAAAACTACAAGACTCCCGCAATGCGATTGCTTATATCAATTTTCCAAAATTCCAAATTTTCTACAATAAAAAACAAAGAGTGTACATACTAAATGTGACAAAAATTTGAATTAAGAGGTTTTAAGTGTTGGAATCTCACCCTTTGTGCTCCACACCATGTGCCATGCGCTGCCGGGGGCACGGTTGGATAGCAAAGAGCTGTGTTTGCCTTCAGACAGTACAAATGGTCACATCGGCTCTAAAAAGCAAATAAATTTTGGGATGATGCTTCAGTACGAGGAACTGTAAAGTGCAGAAAGTTTAACACAAAGTTCACAAAAAGAGTGCCTTTAAGCAAGGTACCAATCAATTCTGGTATTAAATGAGCTGGCACATGGTATTAAATGAGCTGCAGTCGTTTTTTACGGACAGAGAAAAAGTAGCCATGCGTTTTCAAAATTTTAAATTGGAAAAGCCGTCATCTATTATTGCTTATCAGAACCAATGTTGTTATGAAATCATGCCACTAAAGAGGAATTGTTCAAATCCAATTTCCTCACGAGCCTGCTCTTCAAACGGCAAGAAAATGAACCTGCTCAATGAAAATTATTGCCATTGCGTTTCTTTACTCGTAGAAATGTTAACCAATAGTATACGACCCTTGTGTACTTTGATTGGTCTACTTTGTGGCAAAATCAAACACTGCTACAAACCAGTGGATTTTTATGATAACAAAGACAATGCAAGCAATTATTATTTATTTTAACAATAACTTCTAAAGTATGTATGCACTTACTGCATATGGTAGACAATGCGAGTAACCACTGCCAAAAACCAGCTCGCATTGCTTATTCCCATCATATATTTCTCCATAGTGTTGAAAACTGACGTTTGTCAAGGATTTGGAGGGCTTATCGTCAAAACATTTTGAACTATCTGACCTGAGAATCAGAAGGAAAGCTTCATCTACATAACAGAATTGCTAGGCTAAAGGCGATCGACAGATAGATGCTTACATGGCTTAAGTCATCTGTCAGTCAAAATCAGCCAATCAAAAGGCGTAATACCACACACACATTTATTGATTGGTCAATATTTGACTGATCGATTGACTTCCGTGTTTCCATTATGTCTTCTATTCAATAAATGTGGCCAAGATACTCTGACCAAAGAAAAACACTTGGTAGAATTATTGGCAGAATTGATCCTCTTCGTGTTCAGTTTAAAGACTCATTGCTAATAATCAGCCTTTGCTCCCATGGCAAATCGCCTAGGCAACGATGCAGACAATGGTAGTAAACTTCTACGGATCAACCAAAATTGATTCAAGTCTGTATTAAAATGCATCATGGGACTCCTAAGCAGCACAATGGTGCATTCGTATCAATGAGTCTCTAGAGAAGACATAAAGGGAATGATGTGTGCTCCGTTATGGTGAAAACTGCGTTACTTCGATATGTGGCAGTGAAAATAATTGCGCACTATAAGCTGTCACTCTTTGAACGGTAGAAGATCGTTTTCACAGTCCTTTCAACATCTTATTCTAGATTATATCTATAAGCAATAAAGTGCCCTTAGCTCAAAGTTTGCTCCACCTGTCATCAGTCCTTTAAGGGATCCATAAAATAAAATAACTAATCTTTGCGAAAATTAGAGTTGATAATAAGACAATTATAAGTTTGAAGTAACTCACAGAAGGTTTTTCTCCAAAATATCAGAACTACATTTTGACCATTGCATACCCTTCATTCCCGATGCAGTAATAGAAGACATGATGTTAACCCCATTAGAACAGCCGTCGCTTCCATCATGACCTAATCCAAGACTGAAAAAACATGAAGTTAGCTTTGTCTGTTTAGTCATATTTGGACAACAGGATCGTAACCATGCTATCAATTAGCGTAATTCAATATGAATGAGAAGGCAATGTCATGACAAATCATGACATTAATAGCATGACATGACATGACATGACATGACATGACATGACATGACATGACATGACATGACATGACATGACATGACATGACATGACATGACGTGGCCATTTAATTTGCACCAAACCTGATGCCAGTATCAAAAAATGTAAAGGAATCATAGATAATTTTTTTGACAAAAGCCAAAACATATTTTTACTTGTGTCCAAGCTCGTGAGCTGCCGCGGAGAATGACATTAGGCCCAAATCTTTGACAGCAGCTTGACTAGTGGATTTCCAGCACATTCCTACACCAGCCCAGCCTACAATGATAGAATGAAGTGTGTAACGAGCTTTAATAGAAATATTTCAAAGGATCTAAATATAAGGAATACGTAAGTTTTAAACACTTTAATGCAATGAGGAAAAAGCTAAACGTTTTATCTAAATGTATGTATGAGTATATGAACTTATTGCTCTGCTTCTAATCTGTGCCTCTTGTAGACTGTTTTCCCTTTAAGAATATTCATTGCCTCCAGTAACTTATAGTTGTTTTACAAAAAAACCTTTACGTGATTGTACATTGGCTAAATTTGTAAGTTACTGGCATTATTATACATTCATAACAATTTTTCAATCATAGGAGTTACTTAAAAGCCCCCGTCTTAAATAAACTCTCTTCTTTATTAAGCCCCCTTTTTGGCCCAAAGAAAACATGCGCATTGAGTGGGTCTCTTTACGGGTGTGATGATGATAAGATCATGGGCATTGAATACTGTACATGTAAAAATATCCTTGATCGGCTTATAAGTCAAGAGGATACTAATGTTGATCCTTTCGAAAAATCCTGGAGCATCGTGGCATTTTTATGATATGGTTGTTTTAAATAATTAATAAGCCCCCTCTCTCTAATAGCTCCCCCTTCTTTAATCCCCCCTGCTGAAAAATGAATTAGCCCCTAGGGCTTGATAGAGCTTTTATGGTATGCTGATCTAATTACCAGCTATAGAGCCACATCCATCTCCACAACCATTTCTAGGAAAGAAAAAAGAACCTTATAAATGGCTGTAAGAGTTAGTGCAGAAAAAACTGTATTGCATATGCACGTAAAAATAACAGCGTACTAATTTCTATGTCAAAAAGTCTTCCATCATAGATATTCATCCCCCATTAATGTTGTCATAGTTACAGCATGCTCTTGAAAATTACTGCTACGCTGATATTTCAAAGTTATTGTTTATCTCTATCTTAAGTCTACATTTGTACAGGACTATGAAAATTTCTCGTTGGAGCTTGATATCAAACAAGAAGTGATTCTCGAAAACTTCCAGCAAAATCAATTCTATTAAAAAAAGTTTGAATTGGCGTAAACTGCAGACGCCTCGTTTTTGTTATTTTTCGATGTTGTTTCGTAGAAATAGCGATTGAGAGCAAGAAATTACAGCAAGCACAATTTTTGACTTAATACATTATAAGTAGATATAGATAAAGTCAATAGATGTAAATCTAGTAAAATTGTATGGAATTGCGATATAATATTAAGCACATACTTTGTATAGAGGATAGCATTGTCAGTGTGCAAAGGATTACTGTCATCATCTGGGTTATTCTCGTTTACCCATACTCTGAATTTGCTCAGAAGCTCAGACCATGAATTAGCACCGTTAAACTGTGGAAAGGATTTCAGCAAAAGTTCATAAAGATATAATTTTTGCCAAAAAAGTGTAAAGGATGTAGATGCTGTTCCCTGCTAATATACAGAAAAAGTGAAGATAAATACAATCAAAGAAATTTTGTTTGACTTTCGGGGGAATTATTTTTCATATTATTCGCATGACAATAAATTGTGGTACAAAATTTTTTGGAAGTGGAGGATGACAATTGGCGGGTTTCAAGTTTACGCAAAACAATGTAATCTTTCTGCTTAGCAACTCTTTTCCCTTTTCACACATTTGTTTTAAGGTCTGAAGGTGCTGTTTGCTCTGTTTTGAATACAATTTCATTTAGAAAAGGCCCTAGATCCTAGACCAGCTGCTAGTCCGTTACAAAGATACAAAGAAGGTTACGAAATAGAAACATTGATAAGAAAGAAACTGCATATTTTTTCCTTTTTACATTAAAAAGATTGAATTGCCATTTTTCAGTCACACTAATGTGTTGGTTTTCATTCAATCTTAAGTTATGCTTGGTAGTTTCAATAATGGGGGCTACTGTGACATACATACCTCGTCTGTTTCTAGTATGACAATTCTGGTCACGGCAATAGTTAATGGATAGGCCAAAGATTTGTCTTTGAATGTAGCAGCAAGCTTAAAAGAAAATAACGTATGATTGGTGCTTGAAGTATCTTTTAGTGTAGTTTTTAAGATAAAAGCATCAATAACAATGTTAGGTGGAAAGTCGAGGGGAAATCTTCAAATCAGTGTGGTAAAGCTCCATCTTGGAGCCAGAGAGCATGCGTGCTAACAACTTCGTTTCCCCGCGGATGCTCTTTGACTCAATGACGGAGGACAAGGAAAAAAGGTTGCCTCACTCATTAAAAAACTCTCTCTTGCTCGTCTCCCTAACAAAACCAGAGTGTAAAAAAACACCTAGTAATGAGCGGACAAAGACGTTACCATGTTTCCTTGCGCAGTCATATACGAATGTAGAAACTCTTTGCCATGAAATTCTACCATTGATTTATCAGCCACAAGCATGAGTTCGACCGTCTTTTCTTTTCTTTCAGATGTGATTGATCTCCTTAAGCGTTGAGGTGTCGAAGGAGCTCGAGGTCTTTTCGCTTGATCTGGTTCTGAAATGAAGAAATAAAAGTACTATTGAACAAAAACCTGTTGTGATGATTCAATTTGCATTCGTGTTTGGCATATTTAATGTTTGCATAGTTCATGAAGATTAAGCTAAGAGGTTCGTATTGTAGTAAAGACCAAGTAATGGTAAAAAGAGAATTGATGTAAGTTTGTTCTTTGAGATATTTGCTTGGCAAGGCGCATCAAATTTTATTAGTATGTTATTCCCTGGTAGTCTCTGTTGAGCAATAAAACTAGAAGAGACAATAAAAAAGACAAAATAGAATATAGATGAAGATGGAATGAATGTTTTTAATTTTATTTTTAGAGTTAACATACCAATAGGCAGCTTCCATTCATTTTTTAAAAGTTGCAAAACAAAGTTCGAATTTTTCAACAATTTTCTGTGCAAGAGGTGATTTAGTATATGAAAATGAATGAGCGCCACCCATGCTAGTCTGAGCTTGAAATTATAGGGAAGAATTTGAATTGACCAATATTTATAGATAACAATATCCTTTTCCTTTACGTAGAGAGGCTGACCTGCTATTTTACCAAGGCATCACAAGTGTTTCACTTTTGTAACTTTGAAAACGCTGTTCATTTTTTAAAATCTAAAGAGACCATTAAAGTTCAAGCAGCGTTCCCATATAAGGCTAATTGAACAAAATATAATAGGAACGATGAGCGATCGTTACCGGAGTATTGAAAACGAGGCTTCACTACATAAATGATATGTGCTCCATGCGACATATGATCAGCTTGGTCCATTAACCAGTGTGGTACTCGTGTAATGGTATATAGCTGATTATCCTTGGAGATGATTCCATTCTGTAAAGTAATAAATGTGGAATTTACAAAGCAAAAAAGAAAGAGAATTTGCAACGTTTTAAACTAAACTAAAGCTTCCCAAAACTACATAAATCTCAAAAAGCTGTTTCTTATTTACTCAATCCCATTTCTCATCAATAAATCAAAGCAAGATCTTGTTTACAAGATGTTGGTGTCAAAAGCCTAAGCCATCTTCAAAATCGTTTCTAAGTTCTTTTGCCTATGCAACTGTTGTGACTAGTTCTGTTGGCAATCCCAGTTCACACCTTTGTATGGAAAGTCCTCAGAGCCCCCTAATTGCTTAGTGCAGTCTTCGTCTTCTTCCTTCCATTTCCACCCAACACTGCATTTTCATTGGGTTTTTCAAATAAAATTTAGTTAAAGCTAATATTACCATGCCATCGGAATGCTCCAATGCTACCATCGATTGATCACTGTTCAACACCGTTCCAGTAGTGTATGTAGCCTCTTTTCCAATCAGCCTCTTTATGCCACTTTTGGTGTGATGCTCTATGAACTGGTTTTCGTGAATAACTGCTCTGTTTGCTGAGGCATTTATATGGAAATTCATCCCAAATGCTTTGAAGAGTAAGAATATTGCGTTTTCTTTGTGTATCTTCTTTTTGTCGACTCTGTTACCAGTCTCGTCAACATTGTATGGGAAAACGATTTCAAAGTCAGTCACCGATACTGAAATAATAGAAATCCATTGTTATCTTGGATCAGCTATGATCATACGCAAATAAAAGAAATTGCAAAGAACGTAAGCAAGAATCACTGATTACAACTGCAATCACGGCCAAAAGTCTTGGAACACTAAACATGTAAAATCTAACTTAAAAGAATGGTTTTCGTATTATGATTACTTTTCTCTTAATTGACGATGCAAGCAATTGAGTAGCTTGACTTTCCGGGCTGGGAGGCTGGAGGGTCATCAGTAGTAAAATTTACAGACGGAGACACAGATAAAGAGAAATTTAGGTGCTTTTTCATCTACCGCTGGACGATTTTACCGAGAAACCAAGGACTTTTTGCACCAACTAAAAATTTACCATCAAACTCGTTACCGCTAGCTACGCCCCTTGATGCAGACAAGGTATAGGCAATCAAACGGGTTTCTGGATGAAGCCTTTTGAAAAGGTAATAAACTAACAAGACTTTTTGTTCAACGGCCTTAAGACTATACTGGGCAGTGGCGAAGCTAGCGGTCATGCTGGTCATGCTGAGCATGACTAAAAATTTCCAGAGATAAGGTTATTTAATATAACGAATAAAACTTTCCTTTATTGGCAAAAAAATTACAAACCCTTTCAATTTCAATTCTTATTCTCCTTATACTACTGCCGTTCGCCACCTTGGTCCCTTGTGGTCAGTCATGCTCATTCTGGAGAGCATGACCTGCCACAGGGTTTCTCAACGAAAATGTGCAACTCTCATGAGTTCTTCCAATAACTTTTCAGTCGGTATCCCTGTGGTAAGTCATGCTCATTTGGAATAGCATGACCTCGTCATTATAATCATAAACCTAGCACTGATTTGATTGGCTGAATTTATCTTTCGCGTGCCTTATTTGGCCCGTTCGTGACGCCAGGTCATGCTCATTTTTTTCAGCATGACCAACCTAAATCACTCATACATGAAGTAGCTTATCTGATCTTGAAGGTTTGCCTTGTGAATCAAGATATCTTTTGAAACATCGCTATAATGGAGTGGGAAAATTCAGTCGAATCTAATTCTGAGAGAGATATTGTTGATCAACTCTTGCAGAAATCATTTGCGTCAAGACATGTGGCTGAGCAAAAGTTAATTGTTAACCAAAGGCCGACCCCGAAGCTTGGTATCAAGACAAGAGACCGTATGTTTCAAGAAGTTTGGTATGAGAAGAAAGATTGGCTGTGTGGAAGTGAATGTAAAAAACGCCTTTTCTGTTGGCCTTGTTTGCTTTTTCAGTCAAAATTGTCCAAAACATGGACTGAAACAGGTTATAACAACATGCAAGGATTCCTCTCGGACTGCAAGAAGCACGAGAAAGCCAAGTCTCATTTGGAGGCCTATAAGACATGGAAGACATTCGATGTTTCGGAGAGAGTTGACGTGCTACTTTCGAGGGCCAGAAGGCAGGAAATTGACCGCCACAACGAAGAGGTAAGGCAAAACAGGGAAATGCTAAAAATCCTAAGTGAAGCTACTCTCTTTTTGGGTAAGCAAGAGCTTTCTTTCCGAGGCCACGATGAATCAGAAGGTAGCCTTAATAAAGGTAATTATCGAGAGCTTCTTGAGTGCCTTGCGAAGTTTGACTCCATTTTTGAACGTCGTTTGCATGGGAGGTTAGCCGATTCCGAAAGGACATCTTCAGGTGGGGTTTTCACGGGTGTTTCTTCTGATATCCAGAATGATCTTATTGAGTGTACAGACTCTGTGATCCAGGACCAGATTGACAACGAGATCCAACACTGCACTTTCTTGTCCATTCAAGTTGATGAAACAACAGATGTTTCAACAAAGGAGCAGCTGAGTATTATTGTACGTCTTGATCGTAAGGGAGAAATAGTTGAGAGGCTATTGAAATTTGTTAACGTAAGTCAGGATAGGTCAGCACCAGCAATAACTGCTATTGTAAAAAATATTTTAAGTAAATATGGAGAGTCTCTGAAAGAAAAAATGGTTATGCAAACATATGATGGTGCAACTGTCATGTCTGGGCACATTGGTGGTGTCCAAACTCTTCTTCGTCAAGACTATCCTTTTGCATATTTTTTTCATTGTGCAGCTCACCGTCTTAACCTGGTCCTGTGTCAGTCTGCATGTAGAATTCCATCTGTCAAGGTATTTTTTGCCAGCATAAGTGCTTTCAGTAACTTTACAAGTCTTAGCTCAAAAAGGAAAACTGCTCTTACCACAAAAGGCATTGATATTCCAAGCCCAGGAGAAACAAGATGGTATTACCGGTCACGGACCATAGGTGTCATTTTTGAGAAATATGAATTGCTTGTTACTGCTTTAGAGGAGATAGTTGAGGAGCCGCGAAGCTGGGATGACAGTACTTTGATGCAAGCAAGTGGTCTATTACAGTACCTTAGTAGCTTTAAATTTTGCTTTTTGTTATGTTTGTTTGACAAGATTCTTAAGCAATCATCTATATTGTTTAGCATTCTGCAAAACAGATCAACTGATTTCTCTTTTGGTGTGAGCAAGATTAAGATTTTTGCAGATTTTTTGTCTGATTGTCGCACAGATGTTGCATTTGATGGTGTATATGAATTAACAGTTAATTTGGTTGGATTGCCTACTTCAAGGTCTGACAGAAGGCCAAATTACAAGCAGCTTTTCTTTGAAATCATTGACAGTACACTAGCTATGCTGAATGATAGATTTGCAGACTGTCAAAGTTTTGAATTTCTTGATTTGGTAAACCCAGTGTTTTTTAAGAATTGGAAGGAGAGTGTTCCAAATAGCAAACTGTTGTGTTTGAAAGCTAAATATGGACCTCTCTTTGATATGTCTTCTTTAGAAAGCCAGCTCCTTTTTATCTATAAGGATTCAGATTTTCACAAAGAAAGTCCAACAGAGTTACTGCATTATATTTATTTTTACAATCTTCACCCAAGCCTGCCTGAAGCTGTCAAACTTCTGAAGCTTAATGCTGTCATTGCTGTTTCAAGTGCTTCTGTAGAAAGATCGTTTTCTTGTCTAAGAAGAGTCAAGACCTACCTTCGCAGCAAAATGAGTCAAGATCGTCTTTCATCCCTGTGTAGAATTTCAGTTCACAAGGACATTCTTAAAGAAAAGGAAGATGAGCGACAACTCCACAACTTGATTGTTGAGAAATTCACCCAAAAACCAAGGAGGCTTAATTTCCTTTACAAATAGGTTATGTACCATTAAGATACAAATGGTTCACTTGCAAAATCATAGTAACCGTAAAAAATTTAATTAAATAGGTATTCAATATTACACCATAACTTGTTGCTGATAGATGGATCTGAACCCTGAAACTTGCCTGTTTATTCAATATTACACCATAACTTGTTGCTGATAGATGGATCTGTACCCTGAAACTTGCCTGTTTATTCAATATTACACCATAACTTGTTGCTGATAGATGGATCTGTACCCTGAAACTTGCCTGTTTATTCAATATTACACCATAACTTGTTGCTGATAAATTGACTGCATTGAAAAGAGATTCTGATTACATTGTATATGTGAAAAACTTCCACACAGCCAACCTTTTATTGCAGTTTGATTACCCCAGGTTTTTATGTTGCCAAGGAACCTGTGGGGTTCCTTCTGCTAAAAAAATGGAAACTCAAGCAGTAGGCAAACCCTTGACGTGGGGCTTGAGCTTAACTCAATGGTGTTCTAGGCACGCCTTAAATTTCAATACAGGGAGCAAAATCTTTTGTAAACCTAAATTATATTTCCCTTAATATCTTTGACTAGATTTGTATTAAGTCAGTTTATAAACTTATAGTTCAGTATAAAATTTTAGGAACTGAAGTCCCTGAAATCCCTGTACTGGAAACAGTGAAGTGCCTACCAATCATTGAGGACTAATCTTGCCTGGCAACTTATATCTAAATTCAGAAGCATCATCAAAAGTGTCAAAATAATTATTGATAATACTAATTATTTATAATAATAGAATGAATATTTTCTAGCCATGACAGGCTTGAATAAGGTGAATTATGAGAAATTTAAGTATCATGAATATTTGTAGATATAATTTTCCCCAAGCATCATCTTTAAGATTTGTCAAAAAATGCTTAGCAGTTGGAGACGGGAGTATAGAAGTCCTTTATAAGGCGACGTCATTGACAGATAGTTGATTGCAAAAAGATTTTGATTCATACATACTAAAAAGGGCGTTACCCTCCTTTTCCAAGAGTTTGTAGGGCGTGGCTCAGTAAAAATTTCCTGGGGGCCCCTCCGTCTTTGAGGAGCATGACCATCATATTTCGGTCAGCTTCGCCACTGATACTGGGTACCAGACTCACTATACAAAATAATAATATATAGTGAGTCTGGTACCCAGGGTACCTCAAGACACTCTAGAAAGTGGTAGCTTGCACCAGGGGTATGATTTATGTACCTTATATGAGAAAATAATTTGTAACCAAAGATGCAGTACGATGTGAAGAAACGTTTATGTTTTTTCTTTCTTAAAAATGCCTTGCAAATATATTTGGAACATCCAGGTATTTGCGTCGTGATTAAATTTTCTACTTCTTAGCAATATTGAGTGAATATCATGTAAATAGCATGTACATCTCCTACGTCATTGTAGCAAACAAGGTGGTTCAAGACTGAAAAGGGAATGGCTTTACTTTTCAGCCGAAAATAAGATTTCAAAACATTCCAAGATTGACGAGGAAATAGTTTGTTGCAGATGAAAGGAAGAGATCGTGTCAGACAGTCGTATAGTACTCTATCAGGCAACAATAAATGCACATGATAAAACACTTGATTGCTGGAGATAATAGAATTATTAATGCTACGAAGAAATTTGGATGCAGAGTGTCACTTATAGTGAAGGGAAACAAATTTGCCCCACCAGGCTCAACTGCTACTCCAAAACTGTAAATTAAAAACATTGTTTTGCCATCATTTACTTATCAGTAATTCCTCACTGGTGCGCCACTTCCATGCAGCCAGGCAACCTTATCATGAAATGCTCTTTAATAAGAATATTATATTAGGCTACTTGCTTAAAAAATATTTGCCAAAAATATTTGATAGATATAAAAACATTTAACAGAGATAAAAATTTAATTAGAGAGCGGTAAACTTAAAGTTAATTTGAGTTTTTTCCAAGGGGTAGTGACTCATTTTGTAGTCAGTGGCTTACACAGTACATTGCGAGTGCCGTTCAACATCATTTGATTGAAATCAATCCAAAGAAAACGCAATTTGGTATCATTCAATCCATTATTTATTTGAGAACTTAATTTACATACATAGTCAAGGAAAAAGGACAGTTTACCGCAAAAATGAAAGTGAAGCAAATTGCGGCCAAAATCTTTGTTTGTCACTTATTTGAATTTTGTTTAACTGTTTACAAACTGAGATTAATCGCTTTAGTGTTTTTATAATGTCGGTGAATCGTTTAAAGGTCAGAGATTTTGTTTCTTTATCTCGCTGCTATACCGAACAGTTGTAATAACTTCTTGCGGTGCGTCATCATGACGGCATATTCCCAAATGAAATAAAAGAGTAAAGGAAATCACGGCAGTTTGCTTTGATTGCAAACGTGATTCTGGTAGCGTGGAAATATGTTAAATTTCTAAAGGAATGGCAAGAGACAATGACTAGAGTCCTTACCATCTAATGCTTTTTGAAAGGGTTTAAATATTGACAAAGAAGAAGTAAAAAGATTAACTTGATTTCTAGACATTTTGGAAAATTCATGATACAAATTCCAAATTCCTTATTTTTTTACATTGCAGTTTACTTTGTCTAAACTTTTTACAAGTAAATGAATAAAGAACACAAGATATTATTGTTGTGAGGTTGATTTTTTATCTTTATCACCTGAACATTTCGTTTGTTTATTAAAGAACCTATTGTTGCCTTTTCTAAAGCTTTGAGGCCGGTCTTTTTTAATTAGCTACAAAACTACAAAGACTAGGTTAATGACCAAATACAATCTTGACTGCAGAACAACATTCGATGTGCTTTTGCGGATCGGGTATTGCTTTTTTGATAATATTAGCAACATATATAGAAATGAAAATGTTGCCAACGAAAAGATTCTTGCAGATAAATGCCTCTAATAATAATTTAAGTTGCTATATTCTTATAAACATTATCTTAATTGCAAGGTTACGCCAATGATTGAATAACGTAACTAGACACTAGGTATGCACACTCGTCAAGCTTGTATTGAACCAGAATGTTTTTTTTCTCATTTTTTTCAGAGCAGCAAAAATTTCAATTCCTTTTTCAGTTCTTACCAAATTTATACGCCGTTTTACTTAAAACTGATTTAAAGATAATTTTCAGGTTCAGAATCAGAAAGTTTGGGGAACGTCGAGGTGCAGCAAGTTTTTTAGGTCAGGAAAAGTACCAGCATGTCGAATGTCACCCATAGAACTTGATAGCAGAGCTTTTATTGTTGTATTCTAAAGCAAAACAAACTAACAAACAACAAAATGGACCAATAACGTACCTTCCGACGAATTTTCTGTGCCAAAAATGCGATGGCATAGGACCTTTCCTAGCTTGTCACGCAATGCCTACAAGGTATGAGGGTTAATGTTATTAGCATCGAAGCTGTTTTAAAGAAATCATTGATTGAGTTGGGAACACTCTAAAAACAAATAGTGTGAAGGAATTGAGAAAAATATGTCAATAACCACTCACCAGTTTTGATTGCTCATTATTCACTTCTCTTTCAATAACTTTACCTAAGAAAAAATTTACATAAAACGGTGTCAGTATGAAATATAAGTATAAAATAACATGAAAAATTGAACAAAAAGCTAAGTATAAAGAAGAATGAAAATTAAAAGCTGCCATCTTCACCTTCGTATGATTCGACTCACTAACCACGATATGAATTGTCATCAAATCAGTGCATTTTGAGCAGAAGTATTAATCTGTTTTCTCAGTATTTGAACCATTTTCGGCTTTTGTCCCACAGTATTAAACAAATTATTAACCCTTTTTATAAGCAAATTCTTATTGAGGTTGTTTCGGAAAGGAAATCTAAAGGAATTGGTTATACTAGATTGGTAAGTTCTCAGAAATGCGAGAAAGAAATCTCTGATTGCAGATATTCCTGGTCTCTCCTGAAAGCTGCGAGCATTCTTAAAAAGGTATAGGATGATCATTACTTTCTTAAATTTTTGATCATATAAGGGCTTGGTTGCCCATTGACGATTTCTGAAAAAGAAAAATGAGTACAGGCTGAAAAAAATACAATTATTTAAAAGAAAAGCAATTTTTACTCGAAATAAACGTAATTGCATAACATACGATCGTTAGCAGCAACAGTGACATTGAACAACAAGCAGGATAACACCAACACCAAAATTCGCATGCACGCCATCTCCACCTGGAAAGAGAGATGTGATGACCGTATAAGAAGCTCTACGGATTGGCCAAATTATCATATCCAACGCTTTAATACTGTTTTTCTGTATCAATCTGTCTACCGCAAATTCTTTGGCGAAAATCTTTCACAGGTGACAATAATCATTTCTGCTAGTTTCGAGGGATTTAGGTAAGACACGACTCGTTATTTGAAAGTGAATGATCTCTTCAGCTTTGTTTGACAGTTCGTGCCCTAGGGTAATGAACGCATAATAACTATTGTCTTTTCCCCTTTTTATCCCGATACTAGCGGCTCTAAAATAAAGGCTAAGAAATTCAGGTTTTAAAGAAATATTTCCGTAAATCTTCACAGTTTTCCTGGGAAAACGTAGCGCAGAGACCTTTGAGAATCTCGGGCCAATCGTTGCTAGTGAGTTGCACTACATTAAAAGAATGTCACATATCCTAAACCATTGGAGAAAAAGACATGTTTTGCCTTGTTAATAGAGACATTAGAGAGAGAAATTCCTACGCAGTGATCCAAATACAGATTTTGTGGCCTTCGGTGTTTTATAAAGGAAAGAAACTAAATCCTCAATTTAAAAAAACATCAAATGAGAACGATTAATAATGATTATATAACGTCATGAGAGAGCTTCTTAGTATTCAAAGTGTTCTATGTTTTAGCTGACTATAGTACAGTGGCCTATCCAGCTAAGCTTTGCAAACCACTTTTTAAAGCTTATCTTATATAATACACTTTGCTGATCATGAACTGGTGATTTTTTTCCGAAACTTTGTCAATTTTGTCCAACTTCCAGCGCTCAAATTTGAGAAATTAAGTGGAACAACGATTTTCAGATTCGTGACACTGTGGCGTAGCCATGACGTCACAATGTATTTGGCAGGACATCGCCTTGGTAATTTTTGGATAACGTTTATGTTTTCCGATAATACAATACATTATTGATGATACAGTTTTCGGAAAAATTCGAATAATAATGCAGACAAGGGAAAAGTGACTGTGTAAGCAGAATAGTTTTCGAGTAGCTAGCGATTCACAAGAAACAACAAAGAACAAGTAGACAAAATCACATTGAACTTTTACTTGCCAAACAGCAATTTTTCAAAATAAACAATAGGCAATGTAAATCGTTTTACCCCAGTTCATCTTTCAAGGTAGTAAGAACCAAATTGGAGGAGAAATTCCTATATCAACTATGTGAAAATGACTGCATTTTCGTATGCATTTTGGCTTCAAACTAGCTAGACTATTCATTACCAGAACGACAGTAGTTTCATTCTCAGAAAAAAGGGGAAATTTAAAGACAAATCAACGAGGCCAGTGTTAATGTGTTTTAATTTGATTATTAGCATAAAAAGTAAAGTAATATTTCTCCTAAAGCATTGTTTTTCTGCCAAACCAGGGTAATAATCAACAAAAAATTCCCACGTATTAAAACGCGATGAATTGAAAGCAAATTAAAGCCAGATCTTTGCCGCCTTAGCAGTGTATCATAACCTCATATTAAGGACATTGGAATAAAAATAGTCGTAATATCGTGGGAAAGTAATTGACGAAAAAAGAATTTTTTATCTATGATCAATTTCTAATAAAGATTTAATCGCACTGTAATTCTCGAATAATAATTATTTCTTGATATGTTCACACAACGTTATGTTATAATGAAGTCATCGCTTTGCTTCTCTTATAGATTTTGTAACCTGTTTAGTCAGTATTTCACAGTGTATCACAGCAAGGACGTGACAGTTGGCATAACCTGCATGAACGATAGGTTCCAGAGACGTCATCAATGGATGTACAGTATTCTTTAAATGCTAACAAAAAATTATAATCACAATTTTTAAAATGGTTTCTATTAGTCAATTACAGGCAATGTATTATCAATTACCGCTACTGATATCCTGATATTTATGAATTTCAACAAAGCTACCTTTCTTGCTATCATCGCCTTGAACCCATTTAAACAAAAAGTGAAAGTAAAACAATTTTCCTTGTCACAAACAACTAGCCTCCAGAAAGCAATAACTAATCAAGACAAGTGAGCCACAGGAAAGCACTTTTAGTAGCAATTAGTTCCAATGTCGATATACAATAGTGGGCAAGGAGATGCCTGAAATAAGTTTCGAAAAACAATAAAGATAAGAACATTGTCATTTTTGTGTTTGTAACCTGTCGTATCTTGACATGATATGAGCTCTGCACGACTTGGAAACAAAATGAAATTACATAATCGAACTTTGTTCGCTAAATTAATCCAATACAGGTATCCATGTTAGTAGACCATGCCAAAGCACTTGTGAATTAAAAATTACCAGCTTTGTCCCTTCTGCGTGGAAAACAACAACTTGTTTTTGCGCTTTGGATAAATACGTGGGCAAGAAATGTCTACTTTAATGTCTGAATTGTTTAAGTAAGATTACCCTTTTTGCTGGATTGAACTAGGATTCAGTAGATTGAAAATGCTTATAACAATCCTGCTTAATTTATCATTAGTAGCACTTGGTTGAAATTATCCAGAAAAATGACATGTCAAGATCAGACTCTGTGCATTTCAAAAGAGTGTGCATAAATGAGGACTTGCGAAATACGTTTCGAACAATATCAGTTTAACTTAAATTAGCCGGCTTCTATTCTCAAGTTGCGCCTCTTCCCCATAAAAATAACCCTTAGCCAGGGGCGGTTGTAAGCAACAATTATTAGGGGGGTGTTAGACACTAATTTTGGTGCCACACCCTTCAGGTCACTGGAAAATGATGGAGACGCCCATTTTTGAAATTTGGTTTTTAATTGCTGCGTAGCCAGGTTTGAAAGATTGGTAGGCCAAAAAGGAAAATATTTTTGCTGATCACACCTCTTCACAATTTGGGAAAACATCCATTTTTTAAATGTGTTTGAAAAAGCCATGGCATTTTTACGTGGCAATTTTCCTTTATTCAACGTCATAGGTGGCGGACCATATTCTACCACTGTCTATTTCCTTCACAATTTCACTATCGTTTAAATCCTGAATTGTGTAAGGCGAGGGAACTCTACGTGTAAAAAGTGATTTTCCAAAGTTGTTATCAAATATCTAAAAGAATTAACAGTATTCAAAAGTTTTAAACCAAGTCCGTTTTCCTTGGAGCAAAGTCCACGACAAGCATTCCAGAATCCAGTTTTTTAAGGATTTGACTGCTTTAGCATTTTTGTTTCTATTTTATCAGGAATGTCTCAAGAACGTGAAGAGTTTTTTATACAAACCCTAAAACGAGGGGAAATTACTGAACATTGAGGCTCTCCTGAGTAACATTGAGGAAAATTTTTGCGACGATGCGCTTGAGATCAGCTTAAAATACATTTGAGAATACCCCCCCCCCCCCCGCTTCGCTACTGATAAGAAGATAATTACTGATAAAAATAAATAAAGTAAAATTTTGGAGTTACTTTGCTACTACTGACTCCCAACAAATGATTTTTACCGAATGAAACAAAATTTACCAAAGGACACAGAGCTATTGGGGGTGTCGACCCCCCTACAACCCCGCTAAATCCGTCCCTGCCCTTAGCCATAGGTTTAAAGCCGAAAATTCAACCAATATGGTGTAGATTGTTCAAGATAAAGGTTTGTCAACGTAATTTTTTGGGGAAAAAGGGTAAATTCTAGCATTTTGCACTTGAAAGCTATAATTTTACAATTTGCTCATCGATTATAGGGTGTTTCAAGGAATTTTGTCAGAGATTATTGCCTCCGTGAATGTGGTTTAGGTTGTAATGACAATTCAAATGTTAAAAACCATCACTGTGGGCGCTAATGCTAAACCAACAAAAAATTTACCACCAAAGATAGTCAATATAACCTGATAGCTATGGTTAAATTGTTTAGGTTTTTCCTACTACACAAGTCTGGCTTGCTCCAACCTATACTTACCTTGGTTGGTTTTTCGTTATATGAATGTGACTATTCCGGGTTCGCTACATGTTAAACTAACTCATCGCTTGACGGAGGTTGATTGAAAACTAACCTGGGTTAGTTCAAAACTGGGCTGGGTTAGCTTCGATGGTGAGCTTTTGTGTTAGATGAGCGCTTGCAATACAAACCAAATTTATCCCAGCTCTGAGCCTTAAAAAATACATTCAAAAGTCGTAAATGTGCTAGGATCTTATATTAAAAAAGAATTTTAGTAGTTAGTAACAATCTATCAAGATCTTCCAGCTCTAGCCAATTTTTTTTTATGATTTCTCCTTGACGTGGGCATTTGGTAAGATTCATAACCACAAATCTCGCCTGTGCGTGGTAAAATCTTCCTGTTAAATCTTTATAGATCAACTACCCTGGGTTTCAGAGACATGTGATTTCGAGCGCGGAATTAATAGATAGGAGTCGGAAAGTGGAGGAGCCAAGAACATAGACCATAAAAAAACCCTGGCGCTTCTAAAAACCATGAAACTTTGGCGTTACCGGAAGTAGATAAGATTCTTGGCTTTACGTTCTAGTGACACCAGACACAACAGGAGCGTCGAGCAATGGGGCTAGGAGAGGCCAAAGGTCCGGAGCCCGTGCTTCCCTGGGGTCCGTATTAATCTTAAACCATGTTAGATTGTTACTATCAGATTTGCCTGATTCCTTCGTTTTAGGTGGTGGTTGCGAGGCTGTAAATTTTTATCCAATTGCACAAAACATTTCTCGTTAATTTTTTTCCTCAAAACATTTACAAAACCAAGCAAATTGCCAAATTGACCAAGATCACAAAAACATAAAATATGCTCTAAGCTTTACAAAATGCTTTCAAAAGTAATGAATGTTCCAAGATCCTGTTTCTAAAAACAACTTTAGTAGTTGAGAACCTAAGTACTTAATATTTAAACCGCTCCCGGAGTAAAACGGTGGCGGTAATCGTCCGCCATTTGTTTCGTTTACAATATGGTGCGCCTGCGTTTGTAAGGTTAGGCACGGGTCGGCACGACATTTGGTTTCATAAGTCGAACTTGGCCGTGCCTTGCCGTACCGGACGAGGAGCTTTAGACGAATGGTTCGATCCAGTCGACCGTGTCGAATCCAAGTGGAAAATTGGTTTCATAAGGTCGAGCCGTGTCGAACCAACAAGAAATAACATGGTACGGAACGACCCGGCTCGACGTATAAAACGGCCCTAACTTTTTAGCCTTATAACTTAATGAGTATTTAGAATATCTCAAAGTAATAGGGTTTACATATACTGCATGAAAGTAGAATGGGAAAAAATTTCAGTTAATTCCCCATTGGAAAATCAGGATAAGTGTTCCCTTACGATACAAAAATCTCGCCTCTCGTAATATCAAACCGACTCAGGTAAAAGTATTGTCCTTTTTATTTCGAGACGACTATTTACAGATTGAAGAAATTACGCAACAAAAATTCTATAGTAAAGTAACATTGAAGCGAGAAATGCTTACATGTATTCTAGTTTTTAAGTGGGGGATCTTTGAGGGGCAGTGGAAACTATCTATGACCAGAAATAAAATATGAGATTAATGCCAGTCATGAATGGATTTCTGCCAATATCATTATGAAGAAAAGCGTCTATATTACGATCGTAATCTGCCCGCGACTAGCACTGACTAGGCAAAAAAAGAATTTTTAATCGATCCAAATTTTTTGTATTCCTCGAAAAATACCCGTGAGGAATAAAAAGGGGGCAAGAATGTTGATTTGAAAAATCCTAGAAGAGAACACATAGTAATACTTGCTCTTGGTTGTTTATTGGGCTTTAGAAAAATAAACTGAATCGATACAAAAGCAGATTGCTTTCAGAAACTGTCATGAATATCTGTGTTTTGACAGGATAAAGAAGTGCTGAAAATATCAATTGCTTTTTGTGAGATATTCAAGGATATGCAGCAGGAGTATCATTGATCCCCGATGTCGCTTTGCGTTTTGATAAACTTAAAGAGCACAATCATGCTTAGTTCTTTATTTAAAAACAAAAGTCGTCTCTGCAATAAGATTGCCCTAAAATTTTACACGATTGCTAGCCTGTCTAAGTTTCAAAAGTTTGTAAAATGACCTACTCGTTATGTTGTCTGCATCCAAGTACACTAAAGCAAGATAATTTTTATCTAAAATCTGGAAAGCAGAAGAAATGCTGCAAAAAAGAGGTTCTCGGGCCGAAGTCAGAACGATTAATATGAACGGTGATAAAGACCATCTAAGGAAATCTGACACGTATGAAATTGAGGCTATTGCCCAGATTTTTCTTTTGTAATATAACAGCTTAAGCAAGCAGATTGAAATATACCAGAAAAGGATTATTGCAAAGAAAGACCGTTTCAATTTGCAAGGCATTACTAAGTAAAATAATGCGAATCATAGATAGATAAGTGACTTTGTAACTCTCAATCTTCAAAATGGTTTATAGACTCACCTGGCAGAACATTTGCGATATCCTTTAACCCTCTAATTCTAGTAACTCTGCCTTTATATACAAAGTGAAAGCAACAATACGCTATTTTTGTGGTGAGTCATTGGAGTAGAACATAACATGAAGCAGGGGGTTAGAGAGGAACTCCCTTTTCTAACGCTGGTTTCTGCAGTGGAATAGTATCCTTTTAGTCATCTTGCTTATTCTTGGCTGGCAAATTATTTACGTCGTCAAAAGCAAAACGCTTTAACTATAACATTTAACTGCAAACAAAAAATATTTTTCCAGGAAAACGAATAAGGTCGCGGTACGAGCAACCGGTACAATAAAATCATAAAGTGTATAGAAAACAAGGTAAACAAAAAACCAAAAAAAAACGTAAAGATAAAGCAAGCTTTGACGTGTTTTCCATTTTTTCATAAATATCAAAATCGCTTTTGTATATGCTGAGGAAATCTTGACAGACTGTCTGCTTTTTGTTTGTTGGTCAAGCTTAAGGGGCTGCCAATTTGCCAATAGCAAGGTCAATCCTTCATTGTTGCAATTAACAATAATGGTTCTATATGTAAAAAACAAATCTTTAAGCTTGATGAGTTTATTGGAAAATAGTCAAATGAGACTTTGAAAGACGTTCAAACGGATAACAGCTGGTTTACACATGAAAAAAAAGCTTACTGGAAAATGTAAGAGTTTTCCTTGATTGTATATCGCAGTACAATTCAAAACTAGGTTGCCTGCAAACATTAGATGGTGTATGAATTTAGACGCTCTTTGTTCGAATATTTCCCATTTACTGACAGGGACATAATTTTCCATTTCCCAAACTTTTCTCCAAAGGTATGCTTAAACCAAGCTATCGATGATACTCATAATTTTGCTAGCAGCAACAACACAGGACGATAGTGATCAATCCAACACGCCATGATTTTCTGGTTGGAATACATATGAAGACACTGGGAACAATTTTACAATAATTTTGTACAGTTAAATTTACTGTGCACTCAAGGACAAGGATGATTTCATTTAAACTCTATATGATTCAAATGCCTATACACTACGAGATCATTTCTCGTGGCACTGGATTGCTTTTGCTGTTCTGTGCTGTTTTTGCCCTTCATTCTTTTCGCCTTTCACAAGAGTATGAAAGTTTTTCAAAATACCTAGGCTCATTGTGGGGGACAGGTGCACACAAAAAATGTATGTCAACATACAGCGTGGTTATAGCCAGATTTTAGTAATGGAAAGCAAACATGTAAATACATGGCTTACAGTTAGATGAAAATACTCTTCACGGCAGTTGCAACTTTGAAAAGTACAAACTTTCTTTTGCGATACCCCCATCACTGGTTACGCAGGCAATGAAAATCGATGCTACAATGTATTGTAAATTTCTATATAAACTTTAACCACAATGTAAATCAACATATTGAACTGGGAAAATAACGGTATACATTTTTACAAATTCGCTTTTCTAGAACAAATCCTAGAAACAAAGCGAGAATTTGTTTTTGCAGTGGCAAGCGGAAGAATCAGATTATGGCTATCTTCATAAAGCTGAATATGACACAAATAGCTCGTAGCATTGAACAAACATAGACAAAAACATGTATAAACACAATTATCACTGAACTGAGGTTCACCAAAAGAGATTTTAATCACTGTAATGTGTTTAAACACTATCTTTGCAAGAAGACACTTCTTAAGAACACTGAGACTCGATATGCCCAAAAAAAAATTTAGCTTCAGGTAAAAAATTAGAAGAAATAACAATGTGCTTCTAAATACTATCTCTTGGTTAGCAAAACAGAGCGGATTATCTACTTTGCTACTAACAACATCATGCAAAACCTTTATTTAGCAGTTTAAAGAAACATATAGTAGTATTAACTGCTATATGAGTCAATAATGAAATGAACAGAACGTTAACAACACCGGAGACTCAGCTGTCTAAGAAAAACTAACCTAAAAATTGCACTAGAAAACCCATATGATTTGGCCTTCTGTTGAGTTGATGTAGAGGATTTATTTATTTCATGTTTCTTTTTTTAGCATTTTTAAAAGTTTTACATAGGGCTATAAATATTTGAGTTGACGAATGCTGAAATATTTCTTTGAAAAAATCATTAATACAAATGCAGTTTCATTTGAAATTTCTTCAAGATTATGAGGCGACCTTTCCCCAAGATGTCTTATTGTGTCTCCACAATTTAAGGACAATATCTCTAAAATTAGAAAAATGTAACAAATTTTGATAAATTCATTTCAATCTTGATAAAGTTTAACTGTTATCTAAGGGTTGACTATTATTGAAAAAATTGATACTGTCGTCAAAATTTGGAGAAAAATTTTGAGCATTCTATTCAAATATAAGAACTATTTCTTGCATATGATTTTCCAATTTGTAACAAATTATTTATAAATGAAATTTGAATTATTGACAAAATAAGGTCGATATTTGGATGTAATGGTGTCCCAAGAACTTGGAACAAAATTATTGTCTCTATAACGTTTTGCAGGCATGATTCTAGTTTTATTACATCTACTTATGTTTGGTTCTTAAAATATTTTCTTTTTATATGAAAACTCAAATGTCCGACCAATAAGTTATTAATCATAAAAAAATTTGTTTTGCCGCCAAAAAATCCATTACTCTTAGAAATGCTGTTAACTCCGTACGTAATACGTATGTGATCCGTTTTCTAAGAACGGTGCTCTGTCAAAACAGCTGGCATTTTATGCATTTCATATTCTTTGAAATACTTTATGTTTTAGAAAAGTGCAATATCTTAAATTTCATCAAAATAGTTAATTATTTTTCACTTCCTTTCGCATGTTTTTTATGTTGTTAATGCATTTTTCCCAATTTAGTTTTACTTCATTATTAATTATGATATTGTATGCACTTTTATTTTAAGAACACTGTAAATATTTTGTTCATCCTCTTTATTGCTAAAAAGCTTTCGCTTTCAGTCTTAACATATTCCGAATATTTTTCAAATCTAATTGGGTTTCAAAGGAACATCGCCAGACCTCGAACTGAAACAATGCTTTTTAAAAAAATGAGATATGTCAGTCAGGCGATTCTCTGTTATGAAAATAGAAAAACAGGCTGCTGAAAAATGAGACACAAACATGCGAGCTATGGCTGAGCACTATTTTCATAATGTTCTTAAACATTTGATGATTTTAAGCCTGAATAATTTTATAACGATATTGTTATGAAAGAAAAAGAGGGTAGCGTTTAAATAATATTCCTGCTAAACATTTATTAAATCAAGAACAAAGCAATATAGAAACTTCCTTGCATTCATTTTTCAAAATTGAATATGAAGCTAGCCGCAATGCCGCAATGCAACTTTTATCTGCAATTTATTTAAAGCGATTGAAGGCGGGTTTTTTTACCAATTTCCATTCATTTTCTCTTGCGGATTTTCATTTAATAAGACTGTGTGAAATACAAGGATTTTCAAGGTTGAATGAACTATGTTTGTTTAGCACTCAGCAGTGAGTTGATAAGCATGCAAACTTTAGTGTGCATGAATTTATGCCCTAGATTTGTTTATTATTTACCAGCTGAATTTGCTTCTTTTTTTAACTTGAATTACCAAAATTATCTGACACCTGATTCTCAATGTTGATTAACAAACAACTTAACGGCTCTTGTATTGAACTTAGAATGTACAAGACGCTCAGGGTATTTACCGTTATCGTGTAACAAGGAAGTGTTGAGCAGTTTTCAATTAAAATAGATTTACATGAATTTCTAAGAGCATACATGGCTATAATACATCAAATAAACCCTTAACGACATGAAGTAACCCTTTGACAAGAAAGAGTGACTTCTTGGTCAGCGACATGAAATAACCCAACCCAGTTGAAGAATTGAAATATATTTAGCAACGATACTACCATAGAATATGGAAAAAACCTCTCTACAACATTTGTAGTAATTTTTTATAACCTGTTTATTTACAAGCAAAGCCAATTCATCTAAGCAACAAAATTTCCCAAAGGGTTTGCATTTAAAGTATGACGTAAGAAAAAATTGATAGCTGTAATGAGAATAGGCCATAACATCATACCAGAATTACTGGCCACAATGTTGAAAACACCCACGCAATCCTACTCGTCTCCAAGCAGAAAATATTTGCAAGAAAGATGCTTATAATAAAAGTGTAACGCATTTCCTAACCACAGAAAAAACTTATAACATATGATAGTTATAAGTGTCATTTATGAGTGTCATTCAGTGACATTTATCTGAATATCAAAGACACTAAAATGAAAAGGCTCTCACTATCTTGAAAATGAAAATCAAAGCTGAAAATCAGAGCAATGATTACGTGTTGAGTAGAAAATTTATTTTGCCAGCAGTAACAAATATGAAAACTGACTCAATATTTGAAAAACTTTTTATACTTTGTGTGTTAAGACAGTTTAGTTTTGATACTTTTTACCTCCATTTTGAAGAGGCTCTCAAGTGTCGCACAGCCAATGAACGAAGGAAAACCCCCAACAAAAATATCGTTTTATGGAAACATCCAAAAGCTATATTTATTTCTAATGTTTCAAAAGGAAGGTTTCAAAAGAATTAACTCTACAGCTCTCCAGCATAGATCTCTCAACGAGCGAATGAGTAAGGGAACTTTAAGTAAGAAAATGAATTCTGAAACAGTGTATCGTATCGTAATTAACAATGATCATCGAATGTGTATCGTATTCTTGGTTTTGTGGTAAGATCATCGAATGTCTATAATTTAAAAAACCTTTACTTTCCAAGATGTATTTGGCTACGTCGATAACAAAAGCATGAAAAATATATCTGTTCAGCAGTTTCAAGAACATCGCCATCCCCTTTGTCGCAAGATCTGTTCGTCGATTTTGTTTCACCGCATCATGAATTCACAATAACATTATCATTGAAGGCAAGGCCGTCGGCACCGCGGAGGCTAGGGTGCTAGGGGGGAGCTTGAGCCCCAAATAAATGTCACTCTGTAGTATATTTCCTTTAAAACAGTGTACTGAATGAGAAGTAATACAATGGGCAGCCCCCCTCAATATG